TTGAGTGTTGTAAAACCAAACCCAAGGCAATCACAACAGCTGGATATAGCAAAGAAAACATCACCAGGAGTTAATGAAAATTGAACTAAAAACAGGCAATCTGCCTGAAACATGGGAAAATGCAATTAACCAAGTTGCAGTTAGCTTTAGTTGATTGGCAGAGAAAGTGGTGAAAGTTTTCTGTACCAGTCACAAATGAAATAATTCAAACCAAAGTAATCCAGGAGTACTATTGACACACAATTGAAAATTTATCTAAAAAAACCTTACATGTGCACACCTTATGAAAATATACTAATTGAAGATGCCTTACCTGAAAAGGAAGTTATAGTTACTAGCACATTCACTATAAAAAAATTGATTTGACTTTCATGATAAGGCATTTGCACGACAAGAAACTTCCACAAAGTACTACTTGCAGGAGGACTGACAGGATGGATGACAAGGGATATATTTCCTTTACAATTGCCTTCAACATACAAAGGCTAATAAATGGTTTTGAAAGTCAATAAGGAAACCACGCTCATTTGTGGAGAAATAGAGAGCATAACACCTTTGTAATGAGACTTACTTATAACATGTTCTGCTGGATTATTGCTGGTGTTTTCTAAATCTAGGTTTGAAGACATATACCCAGGAAGTTAGACTCATGTTGGAAAGGGCTGATAAACAGATACATTGCAGTCAAATTAATTACGCCATGGTGAGAAGTTTTGGTTACTGGTAGTACTATTGAAAACTCTTGTTATCATTTAGAAATATAAGAGCATCTTCCCCATGCTATGAATCAAATCTTGCAATTGGCCACATATCAATAATTACAATGACCATAAGCTAGTGAAAGTCAAAATCTAATTCCCCTTGTAAGTGCCACAGAGCACCACTGAATGTGATACAGCTTCATTGGAGAAATACCACACTTCCCCCCCAAAAATAAATTATTGAAATTGTTCACATTTCTATAATACAAGAAGTAGATGGGATAGGGTTTTCTACAGTGTCAGAGCTGTAAGAAAAACCCAGAAACTTAACTAATGTCATATTTTTATGGACTTAATCACAATACCAAGCATTGTCACTACTCCTTCAAATAAGATCTTTGAAAGTATCTTCCTCTTAGTAAATGTTTCCTTGAAAACCACACCCATGTTTAAGAATGTGTTCCCTTGTAGTCCTTGGCAGGGATATGTAAACCCAAACCGCTCTGTCAAGTTCCTTTACTTCAGGATAAGAATATAAAGTGCCATTAAAACACAAGATAGTGCCACAACCCAGTGTAGGCGAATTCCTATAACTGCAGCTACAAGGAAATAAACACAAACACTTAATTCAAATATTGCATGTACCTTAATGAACCTAGTTTTTCTTCCGTGAACCTACAAAAATCTGACTATACTTTCACTACTGGAACTGCTCATAGCCTTTTTTCAAAATGGATACGAGGAAGAATTTTGGATTTAACGTATTTAAAATGTGCTTTGTGCAGTTACTAGCCAAAACAATAAAGTTGATAGAAATCATGAAAAAAAAAATAGATGCAATAAGGATAAGAAAAGCAAAAAAAATATAAACTGAAATTGGTGGATGAACAAAATGCAGTACAAGTAAAACAGAACATTCTGTTGCTGATGACCCAGATAGTGTCAAACTTCACTGCAAGGTGATCACACCATTTTTCAGGCAAAATTGTTAAAGGAAATGGTTGGTAGTTAAGATCAACAAATGATGGCTTGGAGGCAACCACAAGAGAGAGCTAAAACAATTTTAAAGAAGCATAAGACATTTGGGTTGTGTTAGCAGTTTAATTATAAGAAGGTGGCTGCAATGTGAAGATCCACTGTAAATGGAATTAACAACTTCATGGTTTACCTTTATAAAATACACCAAAGAATCCCTTCTTTTCAGAGAGAAAGAATGACTTCAGTCTGGGAACTCTTGTTATGTATGCACAAGTACAAATGATCAACAATGCCAACACCAAAACACCATCAAAAGAATATACTGAAAAAAAAGAAAAAAATTAGTGAAATAAGAAATGAAATAATGGGAAAGGGACTAGTAACTAAAAACTAGTGGGTTGGTAGGCTTGGGTTTTCTCACAAACAAGATAAGCTGAATAATCAATAAATAATTTTGCTTTGCTAAACAACATGATAATGAAAAGCACTATGATTTGTGGTTTTTGTAATTTCTGACATTATTAGTAATACTGATTTTTGATTGGATGGAACTTCACAGATACAATAGACAAGGAGGAAATAAGAATCAGAGGCACTACTTGAAACAGTGAACTTATTTATTGGTCTGATCACTAAACAAAAATTAAGTGGTTTAATTTCATTGCCTGATACTTTGTTGAGTCCTTGAGCTTCAAGCTTTTCTTTTAGAATAACCTTCTCTGCCCCTGAGTCTAAATTGACTCTGCTAACTTGTTTCAGACTAGTATCCCATTGATCTATTGGGTAACATTTTTAATTTTTTAAATTGCCTCAAAAGATTCCTGGTTACCAATCCTAAAAACAGGTCCATGATCTGTTACAGAGTCAATAGGACATTGTTAATGTGTAAACAACTTTCAGCCCACTTTTTCCAGCATGCTAGCATTCTCTTGTATTTCAACAAGTAAAAATTTGGAATGACAAAAGGAAAGATCACAAAATTATACACAATTAAGTTTTAAAGTGTAAAAATGTAACAGGCTTTTAACTGTTAAGTAGTCAGATTCATACCCAGATCTAGAGCCATCCATTAATATCTAAACAATACCCCTAAAATTTAAGGGTGTATGTTTCCTACTCCTAGAGTGAAATAAATATTTCTTGACCATTTGCCACAGCTGCACAAATATCCTCAATAACCTTTTTTATGAGATTTTTCAACTTCTTTTGCATTATGTGGAATGAGACACCATCAGCCGTTAAAAAAAATACAGTATTACCCCTATTCATTTGGAATATATCACAGATTCCTTGGCCAATTGAAGAAAAAAACATTTTGTTAAATTAGAGAATTGTGATAAGCACAAGATTTTATTTTGTACCTTTAAGAAAAAAGGCATACACAAGATATTGTATGTCAAACAATTCTTGGGAAAGGTTATTACAGTTCTGCACACCTTAGACACAATAATCAGACAAAAGGTAGAAATGGTAATAAATATCAAGGTTTTATAAGGGAATGTTCTTTTCTAGTTTAAGATGAATTTAGATCAAAATGATTTCATACTTATTTTATTTGAATTATTTCCTTATTGTTCCAAGTAAATTAAAAAAATGTGTTCGAAATCACTTTAAGCCTTTGACCCCAAAGGGTGACTGGCATCTAATTTCTCCCTACAATATTACCTCTGAATCAAATAACAAAGTCAAAAGAATCTAGGAAATCATCACCAACTAAAGAAACTCTTGATTGTTAAACAAATTCTCCTTGTCAGCACCTTAGAAAATGTATAAAGAACAGTATGGAGAATATGCATACTGATACTAGGGTGTAAAAAGGTAACTGGCCTGAATTTTATTTGAATCTACAACATTTGCATAAGAAGACTCAGATCAGCTAAAGTTCTTTACAAGGGTGACTGTGTGATGTTAGACTGCATCTATAAACAGCTGTTTCTCCTTTTTCCCAGTGAGTCTATCTTGGATTGATAAACTTACACATGTTTTACTGCACTTCATCAGGCCTGGATTTTTTTAAGTGTGGACGATGCTATTCACTAGATAAATCTCAATCCAGTGGATAGCCCAGGGCATTTTGTTAACAATTATCTGGAGAATAGCGATTTATCGGTTGAATAGTGTAACCCACTCATCGTAAAACTGGGTCTAAAAGCTAATTTCACATCAAAACAAGTGGCTGGTCTTTGTTTACATGATACTGAGAAGAGCTTTTGTGCTGGAATTTCGTTTTTACTTCAGTATGCAGTCTGGTTCACAATCAGGGTGAACTTGCACCGGTAGAACTCACTTCTGCCTACCAATTTCTGGCACTATCATGTAAACGAATACAAAGCCACGGGAAGAAATTGGGGAGGTCTTGTGTCACATAGTTTTTACTACCTGCATCCCCCAAAAACCCTCCCACTAGAAAAGTCATTAATTTACGGATTTGAGGGCGCCATTTCCCTTTCTTTACAGATGATCCAAAAGATGATGCTGTTACAAAATTTTGCTGAAATATCCACCGGTTACAAAAAAATTATGCCTATAGTTTTTTGTAACGAATAAGTAACAAAAAAATCATCGAACGAAAGACCCAAGTACCTCTTAAAGGTAAACACGACACGCTAAGCATTTAATTTGATGAACGTATATCAACTAGCGATCTAATGGGTGTAAGCAAAATCAACCCTTAAAAGGTAGATTTGTCATAGTTACACATGAGATACAATTCAAAGAACATTCTTTATGTTTTAGTCGAGAGTTTGCTTGAAATTTGAAGAATAAGAGTGAATTTCCATATTTCAACTTGCCACGTCCGTACATACAATCTATCAAATCAAGTCGACACAAACACAGAATTTGGACGAGCAATTTTGGCTTCAGTGTAGCCTGAATTAATCAAATACTTTACCATTCATTTTAAGTCAACATTATCGTCCCAGATGATGGCTGTATTCAATTATTTCGCTTCCCATAAATTCCGAATCCCTCCTTCTTCGCTTGATCAAGCTCAGCAACCGAGAGGTACTGGGTCTGGGAAAGCGATGACTTGACGGTTTTTCAACTCAGTGGTATATCTGTTGGAAATGTAATTTGGTAAAGTTAATTCCTTTCTTCGTGAAATATGTTGGCCTTGCTCAAACTATCCAAAAATTTTCTGTAAAAATTATTATGGTATCTTAAGGAGAAAGGAGGCAGTTTTTGACTCACAAGTTCCTTAAGTCTCTTGTAAGACAAACTACTCTCCGTCCCCTCCCTTAAGACTCCTTAAGGTACTTTGAGTCGATCACGTTTCGTACAGGATCTTTACGTCATCGCCGGTTATTTCTTCTTCCCACTTGTTGGGTCAAGGTGTACAAATTCTTCTCCCGATGAATTTTCGAAGGCTTCAGCCTAAAAACACGTCTAGCTACAGTTTCATCGCCAGAAAAAGAAGAAGTATACGAAAGAAAACGTATTTTGTGGTGAAATAACACACTAGGAGGAATTTTAACGTTTGATTCCCGAAAACAACATGCCCAAAGGAGACTCGAAGGGCAAAGGGAGTCGCGGAAAACGCGGACAGCAACCAAGAAAGAGAGGTGTGCTTCTGAGAGTTTAGTCCTTTTAATTCAATTTTTAATAATCTAGAACACCCAAAAATTTTTGTTAAAATTGTAGGTCGAATCGGATCTCAGCAGTCGTTTTTTTACTGCGATTTTTATTTTGGTTTTACGCCGTGTTGAGAAATCAACAGTTACGCGCCATTCTCCATTCATTCATGTGCTCGGTTTCCGTTCGATGTGATTAACCTCTTCCTATTGTAATTTGTGATTTTCCTTGTTTACTATTTGTGTAGGAAGAAGAGGAGGCGAGGACAGTGATGAGGAAGATTTTGAAAACCAAAGTGTGGCGAGTCATGCCTCTACAACAGACACTCACAGTGCAGAAGAAGGTTTGACTGTTTTCGACGGCACGTGAAAAGCTAATGCTTCCGCGGATTCTTATGAAGTACTTATGATGTAGGTATTTGCTTCAGTATTGTTAAATCTGATAGCAGTTTTTTTTTGCAGCTGATGGTTTCGACGAAGGAGCAGAAGAGGACATCGAAGACGATTTTGAGCATATCCTTGCAGAAAATATTGATGGTGCAACTCAGAAAAGGTACTTTGTTTGGCACGTTATTGTTTTTCATTTTAACATGATTGTTTTCGCTTTGATTTGTTGCCCTTATGCACGGCTTAAGTTAAATGAATACTTAAGTTAAAAACCCTGAAGTTTTGCACACTTTTTCGCTGTTCATGTGGATGGAATGGTTTTAAATACATTGCTTGACCGTGATTAAGAAAATGGAACTACGGTTTGTGCTACAAATTGATCATTGAAAGAAAACCTCTCGTTTTCTTTTAAGCCTAGAAGCAAGTTTTCGTTATTTTACTCGATACCTAAACCTATTTCATTAACTGGACAAAATTTTAAGAAATACCAGAACTCCGTCTATTATTTTGCGTAGATTTCGACAATTGTTAGAAATATAAATGTACGCTCTAACAACCGGAGTTATTCTGGTTTTAATGGTTGGTGTCGATAATTCCCTTATGGATTTCCTTTTCTTTTCTGATGTTTTCATATTGCACCACAATCCAACATTTGAGAACCGTTGATATGCTTACATAACATGCTTCATCCTTCATTGTTCGTTCCGAAGCTTTTTCAAAAAAATAATGTTTCATGTAGCAACCTGAAGTAAACACTCTCATCATCTGCAATTATAGTACCAGCTTGAACTTGTAAGAGGGTTGGGGGTAGAATGCGTTCAAGGGGTCAGTTTGTCTTTCAAGTTGCAGTTAAACACACAATTATGTGGCTAATTCATGCTATGACCCGTGGAAAATTTTTGGCTAAGCTGCAGAATACCCTGCCACTCATTTACATGTCTTTGAATAAGAATAATGTTTATTGTGTTAATGCTACGACCTTCAAAGCCTCCCGACACATGTAAATGAGGTGGACCAAAGTGGCAGGGTATTCTGCAGTTGCTCCAAATGTTCAATTAGTTGAATCTGTCTCAAGTGGCACCATTTAAATTAACCAGTTACCCTGTATTTAGCGGTTGGTTGTCCAGGTCCTGAATATCACTGTAATTTTAACCTCTATAAGTGGTCACCACAATTGAGAAGTTGTGTTCACCTTTGAGTGAGTCCCAGTGGCAACACTGCAAGACAACTCTTTATAAATGTTCCATGAAGTTGTGTTGAGGGGGAGAGTTGTCTTGAGTACCCAAGACCTATAAATGGAGCCAAACACTGCAACATAGACTCAGTGATAAAGAGGGAATATGGAAATAGAAAGGAAAATCATGTCTTCAGACTTTGTTTTGATAGAAGCTTCTACATATCAAAGGACAGGTGTAATGACAATATATTATGGACAATTAAATGTCATGTAGACAGTCTTAAAAAATTGGCCCGAGGAGGTAAAACTGAATGTGAGATGAATCTAGAAAATGGAATGAAAATGGTAAAAATGTGTATTTTATTTCTAAATCAGCAGCTTTGAATTTCACTGAATTTTTAGATCATGTTTAATTTTATCTGCAGTTCTAAGGGAAGGCAGTCTGCTCTGGCTGCTGTTCAAAAAGCTCTGAAGTCAAGGATCATTGGTGAATTTATCTTAGACAGGTGTTTTTCCTTTTCATAGATTATTTTTGTTATTATTCCTTTTTCTATTATTATTATTATTATTATCATATTTCAATGTATTTGTCATGCTTTTTTAACTGATATACAAATTTCATAGTCCTGCTTGTTTCCTCACCAAATAGGGGATTAGTTTCTAAAGAAACTGTGGTGCTGCATTGTGGTCTAACAAGATAATTAGGTTTTCAGACATGGTTTGATGCTACTCTGGTTTAAAGATTTAATGAGTGTAACTGAAGAAGTTACAATTCATAGACCCAAGGTTTTGACACTCCTGTCTGGTGCCTTTATCAGGAGTGATCTAAACGCTGCAACAAGAGATCCTCTTGTTGTATTACTTAACCCTTTAAACCCCAAGAATGACCAAGAATCTTGTTGCAATGACCAAGAATCTTGTTTTCATAGATGTTGGGTCTATGAATTGTAACTTCTTTGGTTACATTCATTAAATCTTGAAACCAGAGCAGCATCAAACCATGTCTGATTGTCTACCTGGTTGCCATGTGAACTTTAATATAGTATAATTAGGTTTTATTGACAGAGTTGATAATGTAAATTAGCTCTGTTAAGAGTTTGAAAGCTGAAAGCTCAAACTCAAAACTCTTTACAGTGGCCAATTTAAATTATGACCTCAGTTGATAAAACCTAATTAATTTTTAAAGATGGAGTAGAAAATATTCAGTAGAGTCATTTTTTTACCTTATTACAAATTTTCACAATGGAAATGAAAGCACTGTATGACAGTTGGTGGATGATTTTTAATGAGATATTTGGAGTGAAGGAGTGAAAAGTTAGACCATTCTAGGGGACAAGTTGTTGGGACAAATCTTTCTGCTGTGTGTGGTATGGATGATTTTTGCAAAATTCTCTGCTCTGTAACATAAAATTTGCCAAAATGAAAAGTTGCAAAACTTCACTCTTTTTGAATTTATGTAATGACTGCGGCTATGATATGAGTCACACTGATTGGTTCAGGAAACAGTGCACACAAAGTAGTATGTTGTAGAGGCATGTTAAAATAAGTCATCTCTCAGGGCATCCTCACCTTAATTCTTTCCTCTTATGGTGCCCTTTTTCCTTCAAGAGTAAAAGTTGTGCATGTTGTTAATTTGTCATAATGTTAATGATCTTATAAAAATACTCAAACATAATAAAGATATGGTGAAAAGCAAACAGCATATCTTCTATAAACCCCTCTATTGGTTGGGATATAAATGAGGGTTTCACTTAAAACCATGCTACCATGATGCCAGTTTTAAATGTTTTTTTTCCTGTTTTTTTTCTTCAGGAAAATGACTATTCTGGATTTTATTGAGAAATGTGTTAAAAAAGGTAGGTTTTAGCCAGCTATTAAACAAAATTTGTTTAATGTAAGTAGTGAGTACTTCTTGTATCTCCATCTTCAGGTAGATGAGGAAGAATAGCTTTCAAAATTAGCTTTATATTCTTAAGTAACGATTGATTATCATATGTGCAATGAAAAAATAAAACAAGAGAAAAGACTTGAATTCCTAGATTCAGTTAGACTCTCATAATACTTAACCTCTTAAACCCCAAGAATGACCAACATCTGTTTTCTGCTTCTAGCACTACTGCTGTATCATTAATTAAGATCATGAGAATTAAGGAAATGATTGCCAACCTCGGAAGCTTTGATTGTTAAACAAATTCTCCTAGTTAGTGCCAAAGGAAATGTGGAGAGAAGAGTAGGAAGAATATGGACAGGGATGTTAGCATGTAAAGGGTTAAAATTTATGTGAGTAACTTGTCACCTGAATTTCCCATGGAGACCACTTATGAGGTTTTCATTCCCAAGATAGTCTGCACCCAATTTTTGCTTTTGTGGTCATATGCTGTCAAACAGTCCACAGATTATTGAAGCAATCCTCGCAGTTATGAACACTGCTGAATTAGTAGTTGAATAAGGCCTGAAAAAATTCAGGCCTGTATGGGATTTGAACTCATGACCTCTGCAATACTGGTGCAACGCTCTACCAACTGAGCTAACAAGCCAACTGGGAGCTGGTCGTTATGTTGGATCCAAAACATAATCGAGGATCGCTTCTATATTTGTTTCTTCAACTGCAGTGCACATATACAATTTTCATATATATACAGTCATTAGTTCACAGATTGTTTAATGATGTGCAAAGGGTACTGGCACTGAAGGGATTAAACACAAGTAAAAGTCAACATTCTCTGTGTTGACAAGTATGATTAAGTAACAAAATGGAATTGTTTTAGGTACCACAGAAGATCGAGTTCTGGCATCATCCATAGCAGCCCTGTTATGTGTTCAGTTGGGTGCAGGGACCGAAAGTCAACATGTCTTCAAAACTCTCAAGCCATATCTAATCACTGTTATCCAGGATAAAACAGCTATGCCAGTTGCCAGATCCAGTGTAAGATTGGCTCACTTTATGTGACTGTTAGCTATATTTGGTTCATGGTTACTTAACCCTTCAACTCCCAGAAGTGATTAACATGTAACTTCTCCCTATAATATCCATACATTATCTAGCAAAGAGGTAATGAGAATACTCAAACCTAAGTAGAAGTTGTTATCTTTATCTACAACCAAATTCTCACAACTAATTTAAAAGGGAATGAGCAGAAGCAAGAGGGGAGAATTAACAATCAGATCTTGGGAGTTAAGAGTTAAGCATTGAGTTGTGTCTGATGTTACCATTTTTGCTTACAAACACTACATTTAAGTTTGCTTAATTGACTTTTATTGCAGCCTGTCCCATGGTTTTCTACTGTGTTTGACCATGACATGGGTTTTGCAGGGACCTATTGTTCCTTATGACAGACTCTTGAGTGCTGATGAAGAGTTAACCCTTTCACTCCCAGATCAAATTTGTAATTCTCCTTACTGTCAACCATCCAATTCTTATAATGCTAGCTCAGAGACTTTAGTATTGGATCAACTAATTATCCCCAAATTGATATTTTTCTCAATTCTCATCAATTATCTGGTTGATATTGTATAGATATTGTTAGAAGAAATTCTGTCTTGGTCACTCATGGGAATTAAAGGTTAAGGCTGGATATCTTTTTCTTGAGTTACAGTTTCTAGATCATCCTTTTTTTTGCTCTTTTAGTGTGCAACAGCTCTTTCTGTCTGCTGTTTCATTGCCAATGAGGATGCTGATGTAAGTTTCCTAAATATATAATAAGTATTGATTTCACTTTATCATACTCTAAATATAGTAGTTACAGGTGTTGTAAATTGCTGCTGTTTGTATAATAGTGCTAATTGTGTTTAATTTTTTTTTAAAATGCTTAAATGTCAAGAATAGCTGCCAAACAAAATAGATGTTGATCTTGCTAAGTGTCAAGTTGCCCTTAAAATGTTACTTGGTTCTTGCAAGTAGAACCATATTGATTCTCTCATAAAGCTATCACAACTTGACAATCATATCCCTCCATTTTAGGAGCTCTTTGAATGTCTCAGTACCTTGGAAGCAATATTTGACAGCAAGAAGACTGTTAAAGCAGATGAAGTGAGACTTTACTGTGGCATTTTATTAGCATGGGCTCTCCTACTCTCTGTGACACCTCCCCCAGAAGCTTACACACTTATTAACAAGTAAGAATACCCAGAACTTTAGAGCTGAGCAAAATCACTTTGAAAGGATCTTAGAGAAAATGGCCAAGACCAGTGTTTCTTGCCATTTTGACTCTCAAATTGTGATGTTGCTTACTTTAAATCTTCCTTTTATATGCTGGTTCAAATGTTTAATTAGTTGGTAAAGTGTGTAGAGGATCTACAGAACATAACTTGGTTTATGTGTATCAACTAAATGTTATGTTTTCAACACCTTACTTTTTGTTTTATCAGACACTTAAGAAGGATGAAGTTTCTGCTAGAGACAAGTGACCTCAATGTGCGCATTGCTGCTGGAGAGATCTTAGCTCTTATGTATGAGATGGGGCGTGATATTAATGAAGACTTTGTCGGGGACAATAATGGCTTGTGTGACTTGTTGAGGGATCTTGCTACAGATGGAAACAAGCACAAAGCAAAAAAAGATCTCAGACAACAGCGATCAAGTTTTAGAGACATTTTAAGAACTGTGGAGGTACTTAGATCTTTTATCATTCTTTGTTTCCTCTGGACACTTATTAAAGCTACAACTAGTTGCAATAAAATGGTGAGACACCTTGAGCAACAAGTGCCGTTACTAACTTCATAAGATATTCAATGTTGTCTATCAAAGATTTGTATGTGATATGTGATTTGTATGATGATCATTTTTCTCTTGTCATATTAGTGTGTCTTAACTACTTTTGTAACTAGTTGTAGCTAATTTACTGAAGATTTCAACAGTTTTCACCCATAATTGGGAACTTTTTAGAGGTTTATCACTCTCATGGGAAGATGTATCAGAGAGCATTAATGGTAAATGAGAATGTAGAGCTGTAACTTACCTACATGTTGAGCATAATATTTCAGTTGTACTTAGTAACGAAAGTTTGGAATAAGCAATCCTCTTTGATAAAAACTACTAGATAAAAATATTGGCCAAAATGATGTTGTGAGTATTGTATTTTGTAAATGCTCTTATTGAAATATTGTTGTACATTTACTCTAAGTAGGTAACAGTTCACTGCAAGTGATAGTTTTAGTGGAAAGCCTACATTAAATTCCTATTCATGCATTGTACTTTGTTCAGAGAATACATATATACAATATTCACAGAGGCTTGGCAAGACTTCAGAAGAAAGACAGTTGCTTGGAAAGAGTAATTAATAAAGTCTGACCTCTTTAATAAGCATTTTTGTTGAAGGTCTGTAAAATTTCACAGTCTCCTGTGGGCTCATCAGTTGGAACTTCAAAACATTTAAAAGTAAATTTAGTTTTCACTAATCAATATCCTGTATTAGGATGGTGTTTCACCAGATGAGGTTGTAAGGTTTGGAACAGAAAGCATTGCATTACACTCCTGGGTTCAAAGAAGACAGTACTCTGCTTTAAAGGAAATCCTGGGAACTGGAGTGACCATTCATTTACAGGTAACAATGTGAAGTTTTTCCCCTAAGCTCTATACATCATTTCAAGACACAGTGTTTAACACTTCATGTAGGTATAGAACCATTTTCAGTGTTATCATCCATGCAAACACTAGCATTGTTGGTATACCTTCTGTTTTCTGATGCTGAATCTAAGATTGCTTTCTGGGCTTTGTTTGATTTAGAATTAAAAGTTGTTTCTACCCTTTTCCTTGATTCTGTTTTTTAATGGCCAAAATTGGCCATACAATTACAGTCAGGCACAATATTCTCATTTTAGTGGGACAAAAATGTTGAGATGAGACTCCTCACCAAGAAGCCTATCTCATCTGTTAAGACTTCCGTTATTAAAAAGCCAGTTTAAAAATGTCATGCTAGATATTTTTAGTGCATGCATTGGTGGAATGCCTTTAATATATTGTTACTTAGTCACAATATTGGGACCTTCGGGATAGTTCTGTCATGCAACAGATATTTGGCACAAGGAAGGAGTGAACTATTGGTGATTTCTTTCAGTTTTTAGCATAAGGGAGGACTGGAAGAGTCATCATTTTGTAGCTTGATGTTTCTTTAGCTTGTGGAAGTGTTTCTTTCTTATATTTGCCTTTTGAAGCACAATTGACTAATCTTAATTAACAATCTCTTTTTCAAGGAGAATGATTTACTTCGAGAAATATTTGACCTGGGACCGCAAGTGAAATCCTCAGAAGTTCATAGATGCTCACGCTATGAAAGGGTAAGTGTAAGATGCATCAGTGTATTTTGCAGAAACTTGATTTAAATAAGTAAAGTAGCAGTGCAATGTCAATCTTTAACTGATGAATCAACATTTCCCCCTGCTTCCTTTTTTCTAATTTCCTCCATTACAACCAGAAAATAAGGAAAATAAGAAAGAAAATAAGATGTAAATAACTTTTAATGTTTTTGTCATCATAGTTTGTGATGAAAAATTATGACTACTTCAAACTGTCATATGGTAATTCTCAGGTCACTGGTCTGAGTTTGAAACTGACTAATCCTTTTTTTACTGCAGCAACTTTACAATAATGCTGTCTCCAAGGCAAGAACTGTGGCTCGTGCAAAGAATAGAGACAAGAGGAATGCATCAATCATGTACTAGACACTTGGCATTTTAATGTACACTTTAATTAATGCTAGTTAACAATCTGATGCACCAAAGTTATTTTACTGTACTTGGCTTCATGTTGTTCACATTGAGTTTGCAGAATAAGCAATGATTTTTTAGTGAGAGATTTGAATTTTTCCTTGAAATGATCCATGACTTCATGTGTGGCAGTGGTACATTTAGTTAATTTACTAGGTCACAAGATTTTGATTCCAAAAGCAGTTTAGGCCAGTCCAGGCTAGTGTAGTCTGAGAAGGAGGGTAGTGACAGTATATTTGTTGCTTTGCTCAATAGAAGTCCTCTTATCATAAGTGAATCTGTAATAGTTGTAGATTTAAGTTAGATATTTAAAGGAGTCATTGATTTTGGGATTGGTTTTTAATTATGGGTTATGAGTGTTGATAAAAATGTGTTTATGGACATGACTGACTTGATGACAAAGTCCTAATATGCCATACACTTTATTGAAGACTATGTGGTGATGAAGATAAACACCACCAAATGAGCAAACACAGCAGCCTTAAATTCAATATATTATTATTAATTTATTTTAAGTATCCTTTCAAAGCTGTAATGTATGCTAAATTCTAAACTAATTTGTTTGTTTGGTGACTAATCAAGATTTTGCCTAAAAAGTATTACATAAACTGAAGAAAAGCATATTATTTTGGCAATTGTAAATAGACAGTTAATAGGGAAGTATTGGTTAATCCTTGCACCCCAGCACCAGTATGCATATTCTCCATACTGTTCCATCTTCATTTCCCAAGTTACCAATAAGAAGAATCTGATTAACAATCAAGAGCTTCTTTGGTTGGTGATTATGTCCTTTATTCGCATTACCTTAAGGTGTGATTCAGGGGTGAATTGTTAGGAGAAATTAGATGCTTAATAAGAGGGTTAAAGAAGAAGGTTGCCCAACTATATGATATAAACCTCTGTCATTTAGAAGTAAGTTTTTAATTATTTTGCTGGTGACAATTTGAAATCCAAAAATTGAGAGTGTAGTTGTGACAACCCAGAGAGCTCATGCCTTACATATTAATGTAGTTGTCCTTTGAAGAATGCCTGGATAATAGTTCTTTTGCTTGGATTGTACTAGTTCTTACTTTTTCCCTTGAAACACAGAAATTTTTACATCTTTGATTAGGGAAATAATACCGTTTACAATAATACTGGTGTAGGATATTTTGAAATATAAGTAGGTTAGTGATATTTCCTTTCTGTAATTGCGCAAAGTTGTAACAATTTTTGATTGCTTTATTTCACATAATCTAGCTGGACTAGGTATCCTATGTACTAAAGTTATCCTTAATTACTTGGAAGGAAACATTCCATTTCACGGGGTAGTATCTTCTACATACTGAAACAACTGCATTAAATATCTGGTGTTAAAAGCTTACTGGCTGCCTATTGCTGCAAGTTACACGGTGTTACAACCACCAGGCCATCGGTAACGTTTGCTGCTCCTCCTTAAAGGAATACTCGTTCATCACAGGAAATTTCGTAGCTATTCATTATTCCTTGGGCAGCTTCCTAGTACCTAAATACATCCCCTGTTAGATTAAGTCTGTATGAGAATGAATATTCTTGCCCATAACCACGGCTCAACTGTGCATTTACCCCCTTCTTTTAACCCAACTTTAAGTTTTAGGGTTGGTAGTGTTCAGCGCGGTAATCGCGGTTCTATCGCTTCTCTCGCATTCAGAGTGCATTTGAAATGTTCGGATAGCAATGTTTCGGATAGCAAGAATTTGATTTGTCCGAAAAAAAAAGAGGGAATCGCCCAGAACGGTGTCCTTCTAGAATTTAAGACGTTGAGTATGATAGGGTGAAAAAGATTTCGGGCCGCGCCCACACGACGAAATTATTTCGCCCCATCGGGTATATCAGTGTCGTTTACGACACTCCTTTGAGCACCCATGTCGTGATAGCCTCTCCGTCCCTTGCTCTTCTCAAAGTTTCCAAAGAGAGGAGTTGGTAAAAGGTAGCATACATGAGCATGTTTGATTTTACTTAGTATTAAGGGAGAGACAGGGACGGGAAGAAATGGATAGAGGACAAAAATTCAATCTGGCAAAGTTCCTTTAATATTTTGACTGCAATGAAGGCCGATAAGGGGTATGCAGGTTTACATGAAAGAGGAGGTGTAACGTCCATAATTAACTGTTACTTTAATTTTTGAATAAGAAAATATGTGAATCATCCATTTTTCAGCATTTCGTTAGAGATATTTTCACCAAAGAAATGGAAAAAAGGCTCTGACTTCATTATATAATTTTACGCAATTGTAGCACTTCCAACTTGCACAAACCAGTGTGATTCTCTCTTTCTTAAGGTCTGAAGAAAGATAAATTTTGAACTTCAAGGCTATCGCTAGTGGACTTCCGGAGAGTTAGTATATTTTGTTTTAGCGACAAACAAAAGAGAGAATGGAAACTTGGATTTTGACTTTTCCGAATGTAACGTGCTTTCGTGACTTTCTCCATATTTCTTAAGTAAATATGCAAGTCCTCCCGATTATCTTGTCAAGTATGACAAGTATATGTTTCCCGAGCAATATCGAAAGTGAGAAGATTTACGCATGAGAGGAGTTATTATAGTTTAGACAAGAGAACAAATTGGGTCCTCTCGTCTCAATTCAAAATGGACAAAGGACGTGGAACAAAACGAGAAATTAACTTGACAAAACGTGACATTCGGGACAGTTGTTCTAATTAAAGGGATCAACTCTGGACTAATCTATCGTTTTGCCTTTTGTTCTCATTTCAATTTAAAACCGGGGTCTAATTTAAAAGGATTAAAGACATTTCGCGACGACAAAAAGTATGCGATGAAAAGGCTCCATACGGTAATCAAAACACATCTGACTTGAAATGCCAATCATTAATTATGCATAGCTCAATTTAATTTCTCCTTGGCGACGGGTATATGCCTTAGATCCTTGTAAGTTTTTGGGCAAACATAGCTGAGAATGGCTGCGAGTTAATCGGTTGTCGCATTAACTTAGAATATGGAACGAAAGGCAAAGGAAATGCAAGTTTCATATCGAAAACATGTTGTACCGTCGAGACGGACGAGAATTCGATTAAACTGACACCTTTACCAAACGAAAAATGGCGGCATCTCGCGAACGTAGCGAGGTAAGAATCGAATTTGATTTCACATTTACTGTGTTATTGTGGAGCATATTTTGGTATTATTCATTTTTGTAATAGTTATGCTACCGCATAACTTTGAGTATCTCTTTGATGCATGGAAACGGAAGCTCATTACAACTAACGGAGTCGCACTACAACAATACACCCAAGAGATCGAATTGTTAATAAAAACAATCAAAATGAGATAGAGGATCTGTCTTGTAACTAAACTGTAAGCGCTTTTCTTTGGATACGATTTTTTCTCCAAAGAGAAAAGGGATACCGGTTTGTTCGATCACAAAATTTGTACAGAAGGAAGGTTATAAAGTGATCGGCCAGTGAGAACCAGTAGTGGTTCATTTGGCAGCCACAAAATATAAACATTCAATTAAAACTACTACATTAACTATAATTTTCAGCCTGTTCGACCACGATGATTACATTTCATTGTAACGTAAGAAGTGTTAGGAATTAGCGTCTGATGATGAAGTACATTGTCAGCGATTTGTAAAAATGAGTACGATTTTGAATGATGAAAACACATGGTGGGTACATCATCGATCATGACTCAGCGTCTTACTAAGTGTTTTTATTTTTATCTCTGTAAATATGCACGTTACAATATTATTACCTGAAAACTCCTGTCAATAAAAACATGCTGGGTAATTTTTGGATTTATTATGTATTTGCATTTATTCGTTTCCTTTGTTGTTGTTATTGTGTTTTTTTTAAGAGGCTGAGTCAGGGCTTAAATAGGGATTAGGAAAGATCGGGACATAATTGTTTTTGTCTGGCTGAACCAATCATAATTTGTCATTCAGGGCCTAGTAGTTAAAAGGAGTTGAAAGGGCACATAACGGTATCCAACCGATCAATTGCTATTGGGCAAATGTGTTTCACAAAAAACACTTTGCTTTCCACAGGATTGAAATTTTTCCAGTACATACAGTTATCCATCCCTTGAACAACTGGGGCTAATTCTTTTTCTCATCCTTTCCTTTGGCCGAGAGGCCAACATGCAACTTGTTATTTATTTCTTGTTAATAACAGTCTTCTCATGTGAAATATTCTGCTGACACAATTGAGTTTATGCTCTTGAAAAATTGGCTACTCTGAGCTCTTAGAGAGTAATTTCAAAAAAGAAAAATTTGTGGAAAACAAAATTTTATGGCTGTTTGATAAATAAATGATTGAAAGTGGAAAATATTGTTATCTTCCAGGGTGTCTTGTACAGACTAGCTTTTTGGTTCAGCTTTGGCTGTCAGTAACTAAGTGGTGTGCTTGCCACTAGCTTTTCAAGTCTAACCCTTTGCACCCCAACATTTATTAACCCTTTTACTCCCACAAGTGACCAAGACAGAATTTCTCCTTACAATATCAATACAATATCAAGCAGGCAAGTGATGAGAATAGAGAAGAATGTCAATCATGGGATTATTTGTTGATTCAATACCAAATTCTCTGAACCAACATTATAAGAATTGTATGGCAGATAGTAAGGAGAATTACTAATTAGATCTTGGGAGTGAAAGGGTTAATATTACAACAACAACAACAAAAATATACATGGACCCAAAAAGCATAACTAAACCACAATATATGAGCATGTAAATGTGAAGTGTTGATTGGAAATAAAACACAAATACTTTGCAGCTTGATAGAGTATTAGATTATTTTGTTACTGTTAGGTCACGTAAGATACTTATTTGTCAGATTAATCTTATTTTGTCTCTGTTGTTCACACATGATGTATAAATGTTAAATATTTGATACTATTAGTTAATATGAAATATGTGTTTCTTATCTTAACCCTTTAAATCCCAGAAGTGACTAACCTGTAGTTCTTCCCTATAATATTCAAACATTCTTCGGAAAACTGGTGATGAGAATACTCCAACTTATCACGTTCAGGTAGTAGTTGTTATCTTGTTCCAACACCAAATTCTCATTAATAGTTTACAAAGAAGCTTGTGTTACATAAAAGGGAGAATTAACAATTGGATCTTGGGAGTTAAAGGGTTAAATGAATAGTTCGGATAATTGCAGCTTGCACATCATATTTCTTTAAGTTTGTAGCTTATTGAGTGTTTAAACTTCATTTCTAAGTGTATACGCATCAGTATGCAGTATGGGCTTATAAAACATATTTGCGCTACAATTTAACAACTGTGTTGTAACAGTATAGTATTTTGAGTGAGCTGAAAGTCTGGAAAGCAAATGATGTATCTTATGTTTATGTATGCACTTCATTAATTTATGATTTTTGTTTCAGTCAAAAGACCTCTCAGATACTCTTTTCAACATTAAACATCGCGACATCTTTGGTCACCTTCCTCCTTTGAGTGCACCTCAGGTAAACAAACTTTATTAATACCTTTAGCATTTTCATGCACACAGCACACAGTTGATATCTGCGGGTGATTCTTTTTTCTTGTGCTCATAAGCCTGTTTCAAAAGTAGTTTCATGAAACTTAATAATATTATTTAACTACCATGTACCTTCATGTACCATAATTAGTGTATTTTATAAGGTTAATTAGTGTAAATTTTTTTTCTTCATTTCATTTTTACTTTTCATTTGTTTTTATTTAAGTATGATAAAAGCTTAAATCCTTGAAGGCTATAATGAGTGGTGGATATAGATATCCCCTGAACAATGAGGTGATAATACTCCATCAGTGAGGCTCTTGGTCAAGGGTTGGGTACCTGTCACCTCTATGTAAATATTATTTATGATAATTTATTTCTTAAACAGACTTCAATGTATCTGTTGGTTTTGGGCTCAACACAATCTTCTAAAAACATCCTACATAGCATGTTGTTAATATATACCTAGACTTTCACTCAACAAAATGAGCACTGTGATTGGTTGATTCTTGGTCACTTGCCCCTGATCAAATTCAAATGTGTCCTGATGGGGATATAATTGTGCAGTTGTTGCCTGTGCACCTTTAAGGGAAAGGCTAATTATATATAACAAAGCACTTAATGTATGGTCCCTTGGGAAACTGGCTCTTTTTGTTTTCCCTCAGGACCATGCATTAGGTGTATTTTGTCACAATTGCTCTGACAAAGGGCAGATACTTGAAATGTTAGCTCTAGGAACTATTTGCAGTGGCAAATTTATGCTATCCACTCAGTTGATAAAGCCAACTTATTGTACTCTCACAAGCTTGTATTGACACCCAAAATTATTGCTAGCTAAACATGTAGTGGGCTGGCCATTTGTGAGTAATGTCATATAATTCTCTGCAGCCTGCTTTTAGTGAAAGACCAAAGATTGTGGAGTATGGTGCGTACACCAAAGCGTCACCTACCAAAGAAAAAGGTCATTATAGACATACGAGGTGAGTGTATACTGGTACTGTAAATTGATTATAACTAATGTTAGTCAGATTTCCATTTAGGTATTCATAAACAAAGCCATAACAGTCTGTACTCAAGCCAAGTGGCCCATCCAGCTGGAGCTTATCCCATTTTCAATTCCTCAGCATGAAGCTATTAGGAGTAATACTACTCCCCTCCTGGATGGGATGCCAGTCCATGGCAAGGTTATCTTCCAGCATTTCATCAAATTGTCAGGCTTCCCTGACAGTTTGATGGTACCCATTTATACTCCTGGGTGGAGAGAGGCACTGTGAGAGAAAAGTGTTTGCCAAAGGACACAACACATTGACCTGACCAAGTCTCAAACCTGGATGTTTCAACCTGGAGTCCAATGCACAGACCATTAGGCCTCATCGTCTCCCCTTCAACTAAAACCATGAGATGTGCGAAAAAAGATGAATTCAATTCAGTGCAATAACTGCAACCAAACAGCTCACATTGTTATTTTTTGCTCTTCTTAATATTTGGTTGTGCGAGAATATAAAGCTCTAACAATGCATAGAATGATGTGATGTTACAAAAAATAACAATGTCACATCTAAGGAGTCCCTTTAATTATAATTACAATATGAAATATTTTTCATAATTATTGAACAGTTTTTTTTTACTGTTTGTGCTTCTAAATTTGTGTAGTGATGCAGTGGCTAATAACTACACACCATCTGCCCAGGCTTTGACAACAAAGCTGATCTATAAAAGACAAGGCAAGTCATCTGGCTCAGGTTAGTTGAGGCACACCTAACTGATTCTTAGCTTCTAGTATGTGTAGTCCTTAGTGTTTTGGCTCGTCAAACACTTATATCATGAGCCTGATGGGTTAGGAGAGCCTCTCCCTGTGTATTTGAGGTTCAATAGATTATGTTATGTTATCTTATCAACCTATTTTACTGAAATAATTACATGTATTCCTTTCTATCATAGTTTCGAAGAGGACTAATCTGAGGAAACAGCATAATTCCCTTAGGAATGTGATTGAAGGAAAACTGCAACCCCTTCATGGAGGAAAATCACCATCATCTGCTTCTGGATACTATGTTAGAAAAGGGGCATTGGGGGCAGAGCTGAACAAGGGGCACTCAAGTCCACCTCACATGGGATCACCCACTAAATTATCACCCCAGAATGAACAGGAAACCCCTGAAGGAGGGAGACAAATTGATGTTGATACAAGTCCTCTCTCAAGCTCGAAGCCTCCAAGGGTTAAAAGACCTCAGTCTGTAGAAGAGTTTGTCAAATCAAACAGCCGTTCCCCTAGTCCTCAGAGTAGTGGTATGCATTATAACAACAAATCCCTGTCTGAGTCTCCAGACTTCAGAACAGCAAAACTTGCATGGGAAGGGCAAAGCAGGATGACTGAACCAAGCAGAAATGAAACAGAAATCTCAAATGGTCATACAGACTCAGTACTCCAGGATTTTGTAGAAAGCTGCACCCTAACAGCTTCACAAAATGTCTCTTCTATGTATTCATTTAGAGAGCACGATGACGAGACACTGTCTGTTTTAAATATTTGTTTCCCTCCATCAACCACACCTACTTTTGGTTTATCATGTTCTGTCTCACCACTTGAATCAGAGCGTGAGAGATACAACAGTCTTGTGGAGAAGGCAATTCATACCAGCATGGTAGCACCATTATCTAGGGAATGGAAGAAGAAGACACATGATTTTCTTCCAAAATCCTTGAAACAGGATTTTAAAGAAACACTTGATGAGCTTGACAAGGTATTTGTCTTAATTCTTGCATTTTGTTAGCCTTATGCACAAGTACAAGTTGTAATGATATCAATAATGATGTTTTTGAGGGAACCCAACTTGCCAAGGCAGTTTTCATTGGGACCCTCAAGTTGTCATTTATCTTTATGGTCATGCAGTGTGAAGTGCTTTTGGGGAAAATTTTCTACTGTTTGGCTTTGATCTCTATGCTGCTCCACATAATTTTCAGATCTTTCATTACCTCTTTTTAATCCTTTATGTTCAGGTTATAAGTTGAACTATGGTTAGGAAAAATGGTAGCACATACAGAGGGTAGAAAATGCTCCATAATCAAATATATTCCTTTCTGAACTTATGTGAAATTTCTTGATCTTCCAGTCTCCATGGGGGTGGGGGAAGGGTTTGGCTAATCACTGCAAAAGAAAAAAAGAGGTCATCTATCATCTACAGCCAGTAGTGTGTTTTGCAGGTGCTGCATATACAATACAATGCATATAAAATAATTGACAAAAGTACTGAAGACTTTTCACCGACGAGACCACTATCCTGAATGATCATGTTTCCCCTTTTTTATGCTACATTTTCCTCTTTAACCACCCCCCCCCGCTCCCCCCTTTTAAATGTTGTTTCAAAGCAAAGTAAATTTTGGCAGTAAAAGACACCCAGAGTAGAGGGTGGGAAATTGTATGAGGGAGGGGTGTAACTTGTCCAACATTAGTAAAAACAGGTAAGTGCCACAACCCTTTTGTCAAGGTGAGTGTCAGTGCTGATCTGACTTTGGAGACTAGAGACATATGCGACTCTTTTTCAGTTATGAAGCCGTAGTTCAGCTTCATAAGATAATTGTCTGACTGAGAAAGCCACACTGTATGTAATTTTATATACAAAATTTTTCCAGGAAATGGAGACAGAATATACAAGAAGTGTCAAGCAAAGTATTCTGGACTATGTGCTTTTGGATTTAAAAGAACAAAGAAGACTAGGACTTCATATGCCACAACCAGTAAGACAAATCTTACATGATGTTGTTATAACCTTTTTCAGTCACATATGATAAAACAGTAAATAGTTTATGTCCACAGGCATAAATATGTTTTGGGCCCAACTAAGAATTGTTTTAAGATGACTCTGAGAAGGGCTCCAAACATACTTATGTCCAAGAACATAAACTATTAATATTACTATTGTTATCACTTTAGAGGTAATTGAAAAATAAGAAATGAAAAAAACAACAACAACAACAACAAAACAGTCTGAACAATTATGCAAGCATGCAAGTGGGCTTAAATGCAACTCCAAAAAAAAAAAAGAGCAAAACAAAAATGCATCACAGTTTCTGGCAAAGTTGTAATGATTTGCCTTTTATAATGTAGTTCTTGGTAAACTTTTTCTTGTTTCTATCTTTTAGGTCATATATCCAGCTGGAAGAGAGACTTTTCCTTGGCATGTTTCTGTTATCACCTCACGGGAATGGTAAACTTTTTCTTGTTTCTATCTTTTAGGTCATATATCCAGCTGGAAGAGAGACTTTTCCTTGGCATGTTTCAGTTATCACCTCACGGGAATACCTTGAGAATAATCTATTTGTAACCCATGTTGTTCAGAGAGAATTGTTGTACCTTTGGGAATCAAAGTAAGTTGAACCCTTTTAAGTTGGGCATGAAGAGGACACGTCACAGTACTTTTACTTTAATGAAACAACTCTGCTTATTTAGTTTATGGTAAAATATTTTCATCAAAGAAATACCTACCAAGTTAATTTTTGAGATATTCTTGTGAATCAAAAGGTATCATAATAATGGTGCTTTTCAGCAAAATTTCTCCATTTCTGTTTGAAGAGATTTGTGCCAATGAAGTGTTTGAAGTATTTGTGATTATTGTTACTACCAGAGAGCTGTTTGGGAATTAAGTTCAATGAGGTATAATATACCTGCCCACTGTCTTGCTTTGGTCTTGATTCTTATACCTGCAAATCAAGAACTTTGATGTCATGCCTTCTTACGCCTGTCCACTAATTTTAGATGACTTAACAAAGACTTGTATTATCATACTCCAGACAGGCACATGTTATTCAAATTTAAAAAAATGGTCCTGAAAAACAAAAGCTTTTTTGAATGATCTTGATATTCCTGAAACCTCTGATTTGAGAAAGAAGGATATTGAGGTGGAGGTTGTGTTAGAGCTCTGAGTCATTTTGGAAAATTTCAGAATGGGTCCTCTGCCAAAAATGTCAAACCTTTGACTTGGAAAAAGTTGGCAAGTATATGTTATGTTATGTTATCAATTTTTTGGGCTGTTATCAAGTGTAGGTCAAGTAGTGATACTTTTAGCTGGGTATCATTGTTGTAACCCACAGTGATATGCAACCTCAAATATACAGCTTACAAAGGAGATTACCAGCTTCATTGCATAGCTTAGAAAAGCAGTTAGCAGTAAGAGCAGTAAACATTTATCTGGTAACTTTTTTATTGTTTGATTGCAGTTATTCAGACTTAAGGCTAATTGACATTCAGAGTTTAAAGGAATCTCTCCCCCTGACAATAACTGAGCTCAGGAAAAATACTCACAAAGCAACTCAAAAAGGAATAAAGAGACTTTTGGATGGATGGATACCATCTTGTGTTAAGATCATCAGCGACAGAAGAGATGACATTGAAGAATGGATGCCAGAGGATGAGGTGAAAATTGACTCCATGTCATCAAGTACTATTTGTAGTGAATTGTTGTATAGAGCGCTTTTTAACTGAGTTTCATAAAACGGAAACCACAATTATCACACGACCAAAGCGCGGGAAAACGCGGGTGACAAAGTCCTGATTTATTCTAGTTTTGTATCTTATTGGCTGAGAGACTGGCGCAAGTTTTCAGGACCAATCATAGAGCGAAATGAAGCGAAAACTAAGCAATCAGAGGATTACTTTCAACAAATTGTAAATAGCTCAATGTATCACAACAATGACAGATCAATTCACTTGCAAGCTTCATTGACCTGATGAAGAGGCATGACATACCCGTTCAAAAAATTGTCAAATCAGTTTACTGACGTGCAAGATGGCGGGCAAGTACCTGAACATTGAGTCTTGAGTCTCGCTATTGTTCTTGATTAATTGTTCAGTAAATGTATCAAATTACATAGTTCATACAATTCACCAGTCTGTGGTGTAGCTCGGTGTTTCTGTTCCCTTGCAAAGCCTTTAGGTCCAGTGACAATGATAAGTAAGTTCATAATTGGAGAACAGTCAAGGTCTGCCTTTGCAAATTTCATATCAATCCACACATTAATCATTTGAAAAGCCATTTTATTAGCTATCAAAAGAACCGAGAGCAAAGTTTGCTTTCAAGTAATCATATTATCTTTTAATAAAATTTTAGACTTCCAGAGTGGAGAAGATGGATCATTTCTTCTCATCAGTGGCATCCCTTATGTCACACAATCTTCGCAGTGCTGTGTATTCTTCTATTGACGACGTGGTGCAGTTCATAGAGATGTACAAATTTGGAAATGATTTCACGGAACCATTTGAAAGAAGTCTTCCCATACTACCACAACCAATCATTCTTACAGTGGTAAGACGTCTGTATTTTCTCTGTTAACGTAATAGTACTTCTGTTAGTAGTATTTTTTAGGCAGTATTTTTGTAGCAATCTTTTCGGAAATATTTGTGGGCGTATTCATAACTAAACTTTACTTGCATGTGCATATTATGTTGGAATCCTCTTTCATATATCTTGTTGTGCCACAATATAGAGTCACCTTTGCTTAGAAGGCAGAACGGATATGGGAAGATAGGGGCAAAAAAGGGGGGGGGGTGTTTGGGGGGTGGGAGATCTTCAGCCTCTCCTTTACGAAAATTTGGGAGTAGGTATTCACCGGTTTTGATGCAGAAAATAACTTAAACACAAGATTCAATTGGATTGAAAAGATATTTAGTTGATGTGGTCTTTTGACTTATTGTTTCATCAAAATGGCGCCCGGCGAAGTGTTTATTTGTAGCGTATGTCGTTTTTTCAAACAACTACTCACAAATGCATAGTGTCAAATCGATTACGGGCACATTGGACACGGTTGCGATTGCAAGGAGATCAGCGTGTCTTAACGAACTACAGACAACAGAAATGTTGGAAATATTAGTAGTGTCATGCAGTTTTCTGAGTGAACGATGAGCCCTAGGATCATTGTCAGTCTTGGAGCAACTGCGTACCTACCCCTCCCTTAACCCAACATTAACTTAACTTGCTGTCAGTTGACTGTTGTCAGATTAGGGGAAGGGGTGGGTGCGCAGTTTCTCAGACACTAAAATTAATCCAAATCCTTCATGTTTCAACTCGCTCTGCCGCTTCTGTTTAATTGTAGATCTCGACGATTCCATTGTTATATTGCATGTCTTCATGGGGTGATGAGGTCAAATAAAGCGTCGCTTTACTTAGCACATTGGACACCTCGTTTCCGGCGCGCTGTCATTTTAGATGTATTTCAAATCCTATTATTTTTTATCTTATTTGGAGCGATTTCAGATTGAGTATTGTTAAAGCAAAAACAAGGAATTCAGTACGGCTTGTCAGAAGGAAGGAGAATACCCTGAAGAGCCAATGAGAACTCAGAATAAAAACAAGCCAACTGCCCAAAGCGCAAGAAAACTCGAGTGACCAATTCGGGATAGGGGTTTAGTTTGCATCTGATTACTTGAGAGAGTCAAGCAATCAGTTGCTGATGTACCAACCATAGAGTAAAAAAGCAAGACTTATACAATCCAGTGGAGTCCCTGATTACCTTCCATACTTAATTGAAAACTGCTCTATAGGAAACAATGTGAGCAGTAAAAACATTTTTATGAACCCATTCGTTTTTTGATATTCCTATTTCATAATTGAAGGTTCCTGATGTAGAGGAGGTGACGGTTGCTTATGAGCCAAGTTTCTCAGATGTGACCGAAATCTTACACGAAGTCATCGAGCACATGGTGAAAAGTGTCCAAACCCTCGAGCGTGTTGAGCACCAGCTTTTCTACGAAGACGAAGGGCTAAAAAAGCGTTATATCAGCAGTGTAGAGCTCGATGAAGAAAGAGTTCTGGTGGCCAAGGCAAAAGTGGCTGATGTAGTGGAGAAAAACAGCGCTGGGCCGCTCAAGTAAGTCGTAACTTTGGAACTTTGTGTAATAATCATTGGGAAGACATTTTTACCTCTCAGTGCCTTTTTCACTCATCTTATGAAGTGACAGAGTCTATTTTACAGTTTGTGCTTCTTAAAAAACGTTCCATTGCAACCCGAAATTAATCTTGTCCATTTTTGACCATCCTTGTTCCTTCTTGGGGTTTTGAAGGTCGTCCTTTGCAATTCGCCCGAATCTCCTCTATCCTTGACTAAAGTGGTATTTTTAGTTTATTAACTTTTCACGTCGAAGAAAACTTTTTAAAATTTACGACACAGAGTCCTTCAACTGAAATAATTCCTCGCAGATGATTCATTAGTCTGCTGAACAGGGCTTACTTCTTTTGCTTCTTTCAGGCGAGCTAAGGCAAGCGTAAGGCGAACTTGAAGGCGAAGCGTGCTCGTCTTTTTTTTCTCAGCTCTTCGTCTCGAGCTCTCCACCGCTTTTGCACAGTTCCCAGTTCGCTCTGACGAAGGGCTAACGCTCAAAACGTCAGCTTTGGAACTCTTTACGTTATCATTTGATACTATCACTTGATAATACTGAATTCTCTTTAATACTGCCTGTTCTACGAGCTTTTGTTGCAATTTTGCTCCCCACATGACGATAAAAGAAAATGATAAACTACGACCAATTCCTAGTCGAGAACGCTGACCGAGTCGAAGTAGTACTACACAGACTGTCTACAAACTTGGCTTTTTTTAAAGAGGAGGGTTTAGAGCCAGTGATACGACAAATGTACTGGAATGTAAATGTTGTGGCCTTTTTCTCCTTTTTAAGATTCCGATCAGTTTATGAACCTCTACATTACTTACTAACAAGAGAGTCTGATGTGAAAACGATGAGATTCATATCCACTGATCGTCATCTGCTGGAGTATGGCAGAGAGTTACAAAAGGTTTACGACCTTACAAATATGGCCGCCTCTATGGACCTTTTTATTCCTATGGAATTATTTGTGCTTGACTGTGCCAAGATCAAAGAGGTAAGACATCACCAAAGGCAATGGACAGGTGTTTATGCCCCCCCCCCCCCTCCTGAGAGCGAAGCCCCTTTTTTCTAATCTGTTTGTAATTGTTTCTCTGAAATTAGATCGTTATACTTTAGACTTACTATGAAAAAAATAATTGGTCGGGAGCATTCAATCAATATACAACAGCGTGTAACGTTGACATGATAATGCAATATCTGCAGCGGATATTGCATTTAATGTGCCTAGTTACCGAGCCCCTTTGTCGGTGTGGTGTTCTCAAACTTTAATGAAAAAAAAAAAGTATCATGAATTATCGAACTTCGTGTCTGTGTTAACTCAGACCTCGGTTTTGATAAATCATTACATTATGCTCAACCTCATACAATGATTAGTTACTAGTGTCCGATAAGGTGGTTAGGTTAGTAAAAAAGTCTGCTGAAACAAAACAAATTATTTTCGAGTAACAGCTGTCATCCATTATGTTGATTAGAGATTTTAGAGGTTTGGGGATAAGCTTCAGAGGTTATCATGTTTAGTTGTAGTCTAATTACAGCCGGCTGTAGCTCTTGTTTTTTTTTTTGTTTGTCAATGAACCATCCGCGACGTTTGGAGCTGTAACCAACAATATTTAACTGTTATACACTCTTTGCAACTCAATTTAGCTTTCTTTTTACTGTTATTGATAGTTCCTTGTGTTACGTGCCAATGATCTGGTGGGCTTAATGACATCGAAGTTGGTCAGGAAGAGTTTTGATTTCAATCGGTCCATTTGTCATCAATATGATTATATCGTTAATCGTATAACGTCATCTTCAAAGACCACTGATGAGCTTGTGGATTTGGAGAAGTATATTGACAACCTGAGGAGTGGACCTTTAGTTCATTTGAAGGTAGGATTGGTGAATTTGCACCACTGTGTTACACCTGCCAACTTTTCATCACTCAAATGGGTTTGATTTTCGTCTTCACATCCTCTGAATCTCCCAACAAATTCGAGGACTTCCGAACATTACCAAATATGTTTCCGATTAATCTCGAGCACTCTGAATGTGGCGGTGTAAAGCGCAAAATCTTTGATCCAAAGGTTTGTGATACAATGAAAGACACCTTCTATGACTGTATCAAAGGAAGACGGACTTCGCTCACGATTTCCATTGGCTACAAGATTTTCCTGGTTTGGAGTGAGAAATTTCCTCTTGGGTCGGCTGCGGTTTTCTGGTTTCTGATAGTCCCCCAACCTCCCTCCCCCCTACACTCCACAACGATCAAGCTTGTTGCTGCCTTAGTTGGGGGGGGGGGGAGGGTGTGTTACTGAATGTAGAGATGAATTTAAGTTTAGTATTGTAAGCTGAGTGTATGGCTCTGCTGTTATTTTTCCAAATCAGGTGGAACTTGAGGAAGCAGCAGATCTTGTTCTGTTTTTGATGGATCACACGTTCCTTGCTGATGATCATTTGGCTCTCAATGAAACCACATTTACGTGGCCTGACCGGATTTTTCCTATTATAAAGATGAGGTAAGTGTTAAACTTAAATTTTACCATAGCTGTTCGGCGCAAACCAGTGAATTTGAATTCCAGATTTTTGGTATATTTCGCAATGGAAATTGACTTGAGCGCTACTTTAAATTATCTATAATTTCTTTACTTGCATTCTAAGCCTAACCCCTTGAACTCGCCTGATCTTATTGTCATTTCTCCCTTCTATTGTAAATTAGTCACAAGAACTTGATGTTTTATCAAGTTAAAAACTTTTACCTGATACGTTTGAATATTTTCTCTACCTTTTTGTTGGATAATGTATGGATATTTCAGGGAGAAGTTACATGTCAGTCACTTCTGTGGGTTAAATGTTGAATTGATGAAAGGTTGCTCTTTGGAGACACGTTGTATTATTTTGTCTTTGTGTATGATTTTTGTTTTTTTTTTTACGTACTCCTCAGTGAAAATCGTGTTACAAAAGAACACGACACGGCCATGAACAAACTGTTTGATTGGCTGGCGAGATTTGAGCTGCAGTTGAACGAGACTCTTCAAAGTGTCAAAGAATTCCACTCTAAAGACAGGATATCTGAGGCAAAGACATACGTGGTTCAGTTGGACGAACTTAAAGATAAAGTACAAGAGTTTCTTGACGAGGTACGGTAGCTTCAAACAATCTAAAAAGTCAACCCATTATTGCAAGGGTGCGTTCAGTGCGCTCTTGGTAACTGCGTACACCAGTTATCGTGTCACGGTGGTTCAACAGTCTTTTTGAGAGCTAAAACTACCATAATTAAGTAATCTTTTACAACGTCATCTTTGACTGATGGTATTTTTTATCTTAATGTATACTGAGTTTACCTGAGTTTCTTACAGTGGCTATTTTGGAAAAGTCGTTAGTGCCATGACGAAAGTAAAAAACAAATTTTAAAGGCATAAACAGCGTCAGTTTTTTGCGAAACGGCCATCGCCTAGTACAAGAATTTTCTTTCAAACTTGGCATGGTTTACTGTAGGAGAATTAAAAAAAACCTATTTTTCTCGTTAACCGTATCTCAAAAACTTACAATTAGGTAATACTTGGCTGTAATTAATCCAACTTGTTATCATTTGACTGAAAAATCATCAAAACGGCTGACCAAGACCAAGGAGGATCTGTCGAGGAGCTGATGAAACCTAGTTGACCTCGTGAAACGACGGAAAGCGCGAGTAACCGATTTGCCTTTAGATCTTAGTTTGCGTGTGATTGGTTGACAAATCACGGAGCGAAGTAAAGCAAATCCAATGCAATCCTCGATTATAACGGGATACGAAGGAGACTCAAAGGAAAATTCTTTTATATTGAGCGATTTTTATGTAAGATAACAATAAAGAGATGAGTGATTTAACTGTTGGTTTAAAGTCGGAGTCTCTCATTTATTATACATGGTCTCTTTTATCTTTATTTGAAAAGTTTAGGTGGCAGAATCTTAAATTATAAAAGGTTTTGCAGAGCATCAGTAACTTTAGCTGCGCTGGCCAACAAAACGAAGCTTATAAAAATGTCTACGTATTTTGTCATAGTTGAGAGAATCAGTCTGTTTATCTGCAAGATTCATTCTCGTAGAAATATATCTGTGAATAATCTCATTAATAACCTAAATGGGAAATCAATGTTTGCATTTTTTAATGATAACGGAGCCGGGGGGGAGGAGGGGGTTAGTCACCGCCTAAGTATGAACTAACAGTCAGCTAAAGGCTTGAATGTGTATTTGTATTTGTTAATGTTTCAGAGAAAGAAAATCAACAAGGAGGAGGATTTACTCGGTTGTGAGGTGTACAGTGGATTTCCTCAGATCCAAGAGATAATTGACGCTAAGGAGCCATTTGACAAGTTATGGCGCGCACTGGTGACATTCCAGGACAAGCAAGAAATGTGGCTGGCTGGGCCTATTTTGACACTGAATGCAGAGGAAATTGAAGAACAGGTGTTGCATTTTACAGTTGATCGTTTAAAAAGTTGGAAATTGATTTTTTATCTTCTGATTTTGTAGATTTTCCAAGTTTTGCAAACTTGTCATCTCTACCGCCAATAGTCGAGCAAATGTATCACATTTGATAAGCGGATGTCAGTTGAATCACGCAATATTCGGAACATTTTTAATCACTTGACATCACTGTCATTGCTAGATTTGGAACATGCACTCCACTAAATCCAACGTTATATTGTATAATTTTTCTCAGGTCTCTGAGCTTTGGAGAACAAGTTACAAGCTGACGAAAGAGTTCGCGCACCCAGAGTTTCGTGGTCCACTCAGAGTGGCTTCTACAGTAAAAGCGCGACTAGAGAACTTTAAAGTTAACATGCCTTTGATCAACGCTTTGTGTACTCCTGGCATTAAGGATAGACACTGGGAAGCCATGAGTGTTAAGGTACATTGGATAAAAAAGTCTCAATTGTACACCTCAGGTGCGCAAATATTAGTCTGCCCACTTTATCTATTCAAAGCAACGAAATGCTTTGCAAGAGTGAAGCTTGACGAAAATAAAAGGTAAACTTTATGCAACATCCTTCAAAGAATTTTTTCGTACGTGTGACGAAATGTTTGATAGTATTGCTACTTATTTTGGAAACATTTTTACTGCGTTGGTTTTAATTTTTACTGATTCTTGTACGGCTTTACCGACAATCAAGGTTAACTCACCTCTGCGGAGACAACGCAAAACGCTCCTCTTATTTTAACGAATTTTGTATCACATGGTAATATTATACCGCGGATTCCGTATACCTTCTGTTTGTGCTTTATAACCGTGGGAGTAACTTTTATTTACATTTATGCTTTTCAAAATAGATTGGCTTTAATATTTCTCCGAAAGAAGACACTACTCTGAACGAGATGTTAGTGCTCGGTCTGGATAAGTTTGTTGAAGAACTTACTGAGATCAGTGGAAAAGCAGCCAAAGAATTCTCTTTGGAGAAGGTGTGTACACTCCACATGTAGGATCAGTTAGTGCAGTCTGGATACGCTTAACCGTCTAGTCCTTCATGTAACATCTAGTGTTGGGTACTGACAGGGAGTTCGGTACAACTTTTGATAAATCTTGATGCAGTCTTTATGCCTCAATGTAACGTTGAGTATTATTTACTCACAATGGGTATTTCTACTCTTGCGTTATAATGTTAATCTATTTTTCTGTTATTCGGTTGCTTTGCATACTTCTGAAACACTGCCCCTAAACTTCAACATACACAAAAATAAAAATTAACTTGCATCGTAATCTTAATAGTTTAGGAGAGGTACACATCAACGCCACTGTCCTTGTTTCATACAATTCAGCCTTAAAAGTTGGGTCTTGAGATGAAAGTAACAAAACACCTGAAATCCTCAGATATATTCCCATCTTGATTATAAACTGCTTCCCCCCATTTGGCATATTAGCCAGACTGAAAGAAAACCAAAAAATGTTTCAGTTTGTAGGTTCCATAGATATACGTTTTCCATCATCCCCAACGTTTATGAATTTACACGAAACACCTTTCGAACTCGAAAATCATGCAGTTAATTTTATTGTAACTGTCTCTTTTCCCTATCAGGCACTGAGCAGAATGAAAGAAGATTGGAAGGACATCGAGTTTGTGTTTGTTCAATACAAAGACACAGGAATTAGTATTTTGTCAGCTGTGGATGATCTGCAGGTCAGTGATTAGAGTTTGTTGTCAATTGTTGTGTAAGCATTAAAGGGGCTTGTCAACAAAGATGATAAGTGACTGAATTTTAAAAGTACTGTACGGTTAAAACCTTTATTTCAGCTTCACAAACACACAGGACGGATTGATCATTTTACATGAGATCTGGACGTTATATCGAAACGAGATGAGAGATATCGTTCTAATAGATAGCAACATTACTGAGACGACGTGTCTGGTAAAAACGGAATTTTGCTGGTTTTTGTTTTCAGGTTTTACTTGATGATCACATTGTGAAAACATTGACAATGAAGGGATCTCCTTTCGTTGTTCCTTTTGAAGCAGAATTAAGAGAATGGGAAACCAAACTGGTAAGTTCCCTATTTTGATTTTCATTATTTACTATAACTTTTTAGGTAACTCTTTTTTGTGGTGAGTGTGTGATATCTATTATCAAAGACAGAGGGTTGGTATCTAAATGAATTCTAACTTGGGAGGGGGGTGTGTCTAGACAAACAGACTCGTATTGTCAAGAATCTTTTCTCAATTAGATGCTTTCTCGGATACCCCAGTGCTTTATGCAGTCGTGTTTGTTGTCAATCATGCTTGAGAAACCTTTTTGTGTTATAGAATCTAATGCAAGATATTGTGGAGTCATGGCTGAAGGTTTGTTTTGTATTTTCTGTCTTTTAGGCAGTGGTGAAAGTAATATTTAATTGAAATAGGTTCCTCAGGGGAACATGTGTCGTCTTCTACACACATGGCGTACATGACTGGTCTATGACAAGGTCTTGTAAATTTAAATATTGTGATACAAGGCAGCGAGTATAAAATACAGATTCGACGTAGGTCAGCATTGGATGTATATGACTTATCTTTATCCTGAATTTTTATTTGTCACTTGTTTTGCAGGTGCAAGCTTCATGGCTGTATTTAGAGCCCATATTTTGTTCTGAGGACATTCAAGCTCAGATGCCAGAGGAAGGAGAAAAATTCCGCACTGTTGACAAGTACTGGTAGGTTTCAGCTTTATATTGTTACTTAAGAATTAAAACGAAATTTCACTATTTCTGGGAATATTGATCCATGCTGCATAGAGTGCTGTATTTCTTAGACATCTTTTTTGCTTCCATCCACCCTTTCAGAGGATAATAGCATTAACCCTTTATACCCCAACATCAGTATGCATTTTCTCCTTATACTATATTTTATGCGTTTTCTAAGGTGGCAACAAGAAAAAAAATCAAGAGCATTTCCTTTATTCCCGTGACCTTAATGTTTGATTCAGAGGTGATATTGTAAGGAGAAATTAGATGCTAGTCACTCCTGGAGGTTGAAGGGGTTGATTTCGAGGCTTCACGCCATGTAGTAAATTTTTTCATTTATAAACTAATCTTAGTGGTTGCTCCTGAAATGCTCTGAAAACCAAGAGAAATATACGAAAACTCCCTGTCCAAGATTTCTCCATCGTTCCCTCTTTAAACATACACATGTTGCTATTCTGAAAGGTACCAGACAGCCATGCTTTCACTAACGCTCTTACATAATAAATTTAGTTTTCATCCGGCTCCACTGTTTTCTTTCTCTTACACGTTTTCGAGTTTGTACAACAAGTATATTCTTCACTAATTTGATGAGCCTCACTGACGTTTTGAATCACACAGGAGGAAGATAATGACTGAATCAGTCAAAGATCCTCGTGCCTTAGTAGTAACGCGACAGCCCCAAATGTTGGACAAACTTCAGCTCTCGGAGGTAACAACGGCGTCCTTCCGTTCCTATTCCTTATAGTAATTTAGGTGCTGGTGGCTAGGAGATGTAGAAATGGGTGTGATGTGATTTTGGTCTTTGTTTTTCTCACTTGTTTTTGTAGAGCCTTCTTGAAGACATACAAAAAGGACTGAACGAGTATTTGGAAAAGAAACGCTTGTTTTTTCCAAGGTATGATTTACTACATAAATCAATTTTTTACCATTGTGTACTTTTACACCTTTTGTTTTCTCGTTTTGAGTTTCGCGAACTGATCTCCAAATGCTCCAAATTAAGTTGTTCCTGCAATTAACACTGATATGAGGTGTTTGACAGGTGTTTCTTTTCTACTGAAATGAATTACTAAATTTGAGCCACTAACAATGGATGTATATGTCTTTCGGAAATAATAAAACACAATTAAGGTTAAGTCTTGCATTCTGAGAGGCCTAGTTCTTTACAGCAATACCTCAATCTTTGAAAGCAAGAATCAGTTAGGGTTATGAGTGATCCTTGAGCAGATTAGTAGTGATCTTAGATCAGTTCTCCGGTACCTACTTGTATTCCTGCGGGGAGAGAAACTCTGTGACAGTGAAGTGTCTTGAAAAAATGTAACTGAGTTATTCAGAGTTCAGCGCGCTTAACACCAGGCGACCGCGCCTGCCTGGAGTCTAAGTGAGGCTAATTGAATCTATGCTAATTATGTTACAGATTTTTCTTCCTTTCAAATGACGAGCTTCTAGAAATTTTATCCGAAACGAAAGATCCTCTGCGTGTTCAGCCACATTTAAAGAAGTGTTTTGAAGGTATTGCAAAGTTGGAATTTAACGAGAGGAAAGAGATTAATGCTATGATATCAGCCGAAGGAGAGACTGTAAGGTTCTCTAAGAAGGTGGTGCCTGCGCATGCCCGTGGTCTGGTCGAAAAATGGTTGTTACAGGTATGGAATCTTCTGTCAACCTAAGATTGCGTAAATATTTTGAGTTCCAATGTAACTTATCCTATCCATTATACTTATGAAAAGCTAAATAAAGAAACCAATCTAAGGATGCTTGGATGATAGTGTTGAACTAAAATCATTCACTGATGTTGTGTCTGCACAGATCGAACAAACGATGAAACTGAGCCTGCAAGAGGTGATGTCCGAAGCGGTTACCGCCTATCCACAAAACCCTAGGACAGAGTGGGTTTTGTCTTGGCCAGGGCAAGTGGTGCTGGCCTCCAGCATCATATACTGGACCAAGGAAGTCACTCAGGTAAGATATCAAAGGCGGACGTATCGTTAACCACTAAGGAACCCTTTTGTGTGACTAAACAAGAAGAAGAAAGAGGGAAATAAGAAAAAGAAGAAGATTAATGGGAAAAACAGCCTAAGCGTTTATTTGGCGTCCTCCTGTTTTACTGACTCTCTAAACTCCCTAATTTACCGAAGTGACTTACACGTTAATTCTCACAATTTCAGTTTGTTATTCAGCAAACAGGTAATAAAAATCGACAAATATAAGGGCAGACGGTGTTATCTAGATGGAACAGATAATTCTCGTAATTGATGCACAAGGAAACATATACCAGCTAGAAGGGAGAAACTTTCCAATCATAAAAAATGCTTTTAAACTCAAAGTATAATTTATTGCTGAATGATTTGTCGATGCAGTGAGAATCACAAGTGCACCAACGGAACCGTGTTTCCTGCCGTGACTGTTGAACTCAGAATTTTATCAAGATCGACAGATAATAAGTGGTCCCTAATGAGTGGTCCCAAACCTTCTCTGACGAGAAGGGAAAATACTTGTAGGTAATGCTTTAGCTGTGTTATTTTGATTTTACAGGCGATGATACAGAAAGATGGCCTAGAAGATTATTATAAACAAAGCACTCAACAGATTGAAGACATCGTCGGACTTGTTCGAGGAAAGTTGTCCACCATGTCCCGGATCACTTTAGGGGCTCTCATTGTGATTGACGTGCATGGTTAGTTATATTTTTGAACAAGGACTGTAAATTGTATCCAAACGTTCCAAATCCTGGAAGTGAAAAGTGAAAGATGCAGATGTGTAGGTTGATTGGCTGTTTCACCAATTTCTTTTTCATGTGGTATGATCAATTGAAAGTGTTGATAAAAGAAGAAGAAAATTCTCTTTGTTGATTAAATTTACTTCACAATATTTTGCCCGGTCTATTTAGCCAAAGATCATGAGGTGGTATCATGAATCAAACGTTCAAAGCAAGGTTGGAAATCTACCAAAGGTTTCGAATGGTACTTTACAGGATTTGCTCGATTGACAACAAGAAAGTGACTAATAACAGCAAACGTTGGTAACTTCGCCTCGTAATTTTGCCCAGAAAACTTGCACCACCTTCTTCATTCAATCAGATGAAAAACTAGGGTAACCGTGACATGGTGTCTTGCCCTTTTTCTACAGTAGTTTGTCGCCGATTTCATATGTTTTCTTTGCCTCTCATTGTTTCTTGTGATACCTTCCTTTAGTCCTGATAAGCCAATGTGACTGCTGTAGTTTTGGCTTAACGACCCATCACTACTTTTGTCGATTATGTTTTACTTGTCGCTTCTTCTCGTCAGCACGTGACGTGGTAGCTAAGCTAAAGAAGGAAGGCGTGACAAACCCTAACGACTTTCAGTGGATCAGTCAGTTACGTTACTACTGGGAAACAAAGGCTGTCATTGTAAGGATGATTACCACAGCGGTCAAATATGGTTATGAGTACCTTGGCAACAGCGGAAGACTAGTCATCACTCCTTTAACAGACAGATGTTATAGGTACGTGTAATTGGGTTTAAATCGCCTGAGTCTAAGGCGTAGACTAGTCTCACTAGTTTGGATCAGCTGATTCCATTTACAATAACTGAATTAAGATTTTTCCTTCAAATTCGTAGGACTTTGATGGGTGCTCTCTTGTTGAACCTAGGAGGAGCCCCTGAGGGACCTGCTGGTACAGGGAAGACGGAGACTTGTAAAGATTTGGCGAAAGCTGTTGCAAAGCAGGTATTGATAAAGTTGCAGATTTAAATCTTTCTACGGTTTGTAGAATTTACTGTTTGGTTACTATTTTTCTAGGTTTGTAATTCAACATTTATAAAGTTACTCATTTATTTTGTTCTTTTGATTTACTTCTAGTGTGTTGTTTTCAACTGCTCAGATGGACTGGACTACAAAGCCATGGGAAAGTTCTTCAAAGGTCTCGCCCAGGCAGGGGCCTGGGCCTGTTTCGACGAATTTAATAGGATTGAACTGGAAGTGAGTCAGTCGTAAAGTTATGATTAAAACTGTGTTCGATATCTGCAAACCTTTAAAATAACCTTATTAAAGCCAGATAGGTGATTTGATCACCTATAATTTCCGTCGGTTTGTTTAGAATTTAGACAGTTCTACTGGAACTCACGCAAATGTCAGTACAGTCAAGAAATGGATTTAAAAAATGTGACCTGCTCTTGATGATTTTGTGCAGGTATTGTCTGTTGTAGCGCAACAGATTTTGACAATACAAAGGGCCGTTATGGAGCAAGTCGACAAGTTTGTGTTTGAGGGAACAGAAATTTCTCTGGATCCGTCATGTACCATATTCATAACCATGAATCCTGGTTACGCTGGCCGTGCAGAGCTCCCTGATAATCTGAAGGTAAATGGGGAGATGCTTCGATAAGTTTCAGTGTTATTAGAATTAAAGAAAGTTGGATGCAACCGCTGTGTTGTTATTGTTTCTATTGAAACTGTAGACTTTTGGTAGTTTGCAGTAGTTAAAACGGCGCCTATTAATCCTTTTTACTTTAACATCAATATTCTCTACACTGTTATCTATACATTTCCTGAGGTGCTGACAAGGAGAATTTGTTTAACAATCAAGAGCTTCTTTTGTCAGTGGTCATTTCCTTTACTCCTGTGACATGCGTGATACAGGGGTGATATTGTAAGGAGAAATCAGATGCTAGTCACCCAGAGGGGTCAGAGGGTTAACTGTCACTTGATATAGGCTGTGACGGGATTCGAACCCAGGCCTCCCAGATACTGGTTGGTCTCCACCACAAACTGAGCTACGAAGCCCCATGTTATGAGTAGGGCACATTTTATTTCATCAAAAATTAGAAACTAATATCACTGGTGATTGTTATTGCAGGTTCTTTTCCGTACAGTCGCCATGATGGTTCCTGATTATGCCCTAATCAGTGAGATCAGTTTATATTCTATGGGTTTTGTTAATGCGCGGAGTCTGTCGGCAAAGATTGTGGCTGTGTACAGGCTCTGTTCTGAGCAGGTAACACTAACTCTTATGATTAGGCTATGATAGTAAGCGCAACAAATGTTTCTTTGAAGCCAACATTAACTACTTGTCGCTTGTCTTACTTCGTCTCTGTTTGTCAGTGAAATGGAATTACGTGATCGAGCTGTTTTTTCTCAAGTCTTCATTCAGACAAACAACATGATTTTAGAATAACCAGTGGCTTAACTGCTGGAAAATACCTCCTCAGCATTTCACGTTTTCATCGCAGTTGGCCTTTTTCTGGGTGGAGAGAGGTCATGTGAGCGTTAAATATCTTGCCTAAAAACACAACGTAATGGCTCGGCCATGACTAGAAATCGGGGGAAATTAGATGCTGGTCACTCTTGGGGTTTCAAGGGTTAGTTGAAGAGAGAAAAGGATGTCATAATTTTTCAGGTTTTCGACTTTTCGTATAATTGAATATTTTTCTCTGACAGCTTTCGTCCCAGCATCATTATGATTATGGTATGCGGGCGGTCAAGTCAGTTCTCACTGCGGCAGGAAATTTAAAACTGAAGTATTCTGAACAAGACGAGGATATTTTGTTGTTGAGGTCCATTATGGACGTCAACTTGCCAAAGGTTTGTTAAAATATGTAAACGAAATTGTGAGTAGTTTTGAAATAAACTTTCGGTGATTCGAGAGCTTTGAAATGGAGCTAAAAGTGTCCTTAGGGAACGAAGAATCAAAGTTCTCAAAGAAAAAATGACGGTAAGATTTGGCTACTGCCTCACGCCTGTTACTTTATGTTCGTCCTAACTGAGAATGGTTATAATGAAAAGATCTCTCTTCTTGTCTTTAATTGCACGCTTTTTTTTGCAGTTTTTATCGCAAGACTTGCCTTTGTTTGAAGGCATTGTGTCAGACTTGTTCCCAGGCATCACTCTGCCATCTCCTGACCACGGTGTCCTGGAAGAGGCACTCAGACGGAACAGCGTGAAGATGGGACTGCAGGCGGTACCATGGTTTGTTGAAAAAGTTGTGCAGGTGTGTTCACAATTTAAGGGATAAAAAGGAGATTTTCTTCGAATCCCTACCAACGCATCGACGAATCCAGAGTTTTCTTTGTTTGCGTTATGGTTGAAATTGACCTTGAAATTAGTGAATGGTTTTCTGCTTTAATTTAGGCTTAAGAGTTTGAAGCAGAAAGACAGAGAGCTCCAAGATGGTTGATTCTTGTTGTTCAAATTTTTCAGCCGTCTTTAAGGAAATGTTATTAACAACAACAACAACAACAAATCTTTTACTGCTCGCAAAAATAGGTATTACAATAATAAGAAGACTACTTATAATCAACAGGAAATTTTTTAGAACATAGTTTACTGGAGCCCAGAGGCTGAGGAATCGTAAAATTTTTAAGTTGGCTCCTTATCATTCTTACTCAGAGACTGGCTTGAAAGCCTCTCTTTGGGAATATTCATGTTATTTTGCTCAATACGATTATTGGAGTCCACATTTCCTTTGAAAGGTGTACGAGATGATGTTGGTACGCCACGGCTTTATGATCGTGGGCGATCCCATTGGTGGAAAGACATCAGCGTGGAAGGTTCTATCTGCAGCGCTGACTGAGCTTGGTAAAGATGAAGACTCGGATGAAGTTGGGGTATGTCAGTTCCGTTACCTATTTTTTTCTCTGCAAGTCTTTGGTTATCCTTGTAGTATCGATTAGTGCGTGTCTTTTTTAGTTACCACATTTTCCTGACTGCGTTAAGTGGAGGTCTGTCTTTTAACCCTTTTGCTCCGAAGATCTCATTGATAATTCTCATTACTGCCTCCTAAGCAATTCGGATCAATATTAGTATCCGGGCCAGATACTGATATTGATCCAACAATTCTAATGATGTTGATTTGGATAATTTGGTATTGTATGGACTAATTATCCCCTAATTGGTGTGTTTCTATATTCTCTTCAGTTGCCTGCTTGATATTGTACTGGTATTGTAAGGAGAAATTATGTCTTTGTCACTCATGGGAGTTAAAGGGTCAATGTTTTGTTCTCGGCCAAAGTAATCTACTTTGAAAATACTTCGCTCTGTGTATGTAGATAGCGGTTTTGACGATTGGGCGAATTACAGTTGATGATGCAAATGTGAATCAAGAGAGATTTAAGACCTAAAGATCAAGTTACAGATACAAGGAGGGAGAAATGTACTGTGAAAAATACGAGGTGATCACGTGATGTTCCACGTGATATTCACGTGATGACCACGTCACGTGCCACCTCATTGTTTCGTTTCCTGGTATTCCAGTTAACTCATTACTGACAAACACAGGGTATTGACAAACTCACTGAAAAAATTGAAACGTGGTCAATAGAAAACCATGGTCTCTTGCAGGTTCAGTACACGATCATTAACCCCAAGGCTGTCACCATGGGCCAGTTGTATGGAAGATTTGATCCTGTGTCACACGAGTGGTCAGACGGTAAGTGCTTTATTTCACGAACAGACTTCAGGAAAGATTACTTTTCATTAATAGAATACAATATTTTCATTAGGACTCCCGTATGGGGATCTTCTGGCCTAATTACAACAATGGTTAAAAAGATTATTAAGTGAAAAATAATTGACTCTATATTACATATGAAAAAACTACCATAAATATGATGTCCACAGCTATGGATAACTTTCTAGATGATGATTCCTCAACGTGTGTTTAAAAGTTGCCAAGACTCCGCATTTCTAGTTGCAAGGAGTTCCACACTAATGGGCCTCTATACGATAAATATTTTTGTGCCAAAATTATATTTATATATTTCTATTTCTATGGTTTATATGCTTTATTTATTTTCAGGAGTACTTGCCAATACGTTCCGTGAGCACGCAAGCTCAGTCAGCGAGGAGCGTAAATGGATCATATTTGATGGGCCAGTTGATGCAGTATGGATTGAAAACATGAATACGGTGCTTGACGATAACAAAAAGGTACAATTATATCGATAAATTATTGTTTTTTTAAATTGTTTACAATTTTTAAAAAAATTAGACTTGTGATCAGCCCTTTACGTTTCGTCTAACTGTCGGCCAGTTGATGCAGTATGGATTGAAAACATGAATACGGTGCTTGACGATAACAAAAAGGTACAATTATATCGATAACTTATTATTTTTTTAAATTGTTTACAATTTTTAAAAAATTAGACGAGTGATCAGCACTCTGCGTTCCGTCTAACTGTCGTAGACTTCTTCAAGGAGTTTTAGCTAAAATCGTGGCCTCCAAATATTTTTCTAACCTTGCCTGCAGAATTTTCAAACATTTACACAACTTCGCCTGTTCCTGTTTGTATGTCCTGCCAAGCCTATGGTCATTGGCCCCCGTAACTATGGCATTTAAAAATTAAATTGATTTTTGTCATTTTCTTTGCAGTTGTGCTTAATGAGTGGAGAGATAATTCAAATGAGCTCTCTACAGAACATGATATTTGAACCTCAAGACCTGGAGCAGGCTTCACCAGCGACAGTAAGCAGGTGAGACACCATTTTTTTTCACGAGCCACCTCGTGAAATTTCCATTGCTAAATTCCCAATGTTTTTGTTATTTTTATTATCGTTATTTTTATTTACCGCCTAGAGAATTTTTTACTTGCTTTCAGATGTGGTATGATTTACATGGAGCCAGGTCAGTTGGGCTGGGAGCCACTTGTCGCTTCGTGGATGGAGAAAGATTATCCTGCAAACCTTAGCTCTGCTAGCAAAAATTCTGTACAGGTCGGGGTTACCTTTTTGTAATGAAGCAGCAAAAATTTGATTATCCTCAGTTTTGCTTGAGGGTTTGAAGGATTTCACAAAGCATGACGGCATCTATAGTCTCTAATCATGTCTTGTTTCCCTCTCAGATGATGTTTGACTGGTTGATTGCCCCGTGCGTGGATTTCGTCATTAGACAGTGCCGTGAACTGGTGCGCACGTCACCAATGCGCATGGTCAAGTCCATGTTAACCATGTACTCCATTCTGTTGGATGAGCTGAGGTAAAACGGCCAAATGGCTCTCGACTAAAATTAAGGGCAAGGCATTACAGGAACGCTGGCTATCACTAAGTTATTGTTATTTTTTTTATGAAGAACATATCAAGGGAGGTAAACTGCATCCAAGCAGTTACCGAAAGCTCGTCCTGTGAAAATAAACTCAGGCTTCGTCGGGGTTTACCCGTTTTATCTGAGATGTTGTTGGTTGATCACAGACTTATCTAATGTATGTTTTTGCAACCAGAGAGCCACCCCAAGAGGAAAAGAAAAAGACCGTTATGGATGAAGAGGAGTTTGAGGGATTCATGGACGAGAAACCAGCCAAGACCGAGGCGGAAATTTTGCAATGGCTCCAGTCTCTCTTTCTGTTCGCTTTATGTTGGTCAATTGGCGGAAATTTAGACACTGACTCCAGGCTGAAGTTCAGTGATTTCCTGAAAGTCTTGGCAGCTGGAACCAACAAACAACACCAAAGGTTTGAATTAGTTTTTCTTGTGTTGAGATAAATTATCTTTCATTGCGGGGAGGAACTGGTCATGTTCCAAGCATTTAGCAGCTTACTTCATGCAAACGCTTGTGTTCTTGAAAAGGACATATGCCTATCTCAGATTTGACGTCTCCATTCTGCTAACATTAATTGAAAAGCGATGCGAACGTTTTGGAGATAAGGATTGAAAATGGCTCAATAACACTAAGCAACTGTGTGGTTTTCCACTTAGTTACTTAGGCAAAAAACGACATGGCAACCAAAACATGACAAGAACTTAGAATTAATGTTTTCCAACAATCTCTGTCGGATGCTATCGGAGGCATTCATTTAAAACTTTCTTTTATCTTTTTAGACCCAAAGATTTAAAGCTTCCCAAGAATTACCAGTTTCCTGGAAAGGGAGTTATTTACGACTTCTTTTTCGATAAGTCGACCTTTGGTACGTGGCATCCGTGGGAGAAGAATGTGTTCATCGAGGAAATTCCTCCGAACGCTAAGGTGAGTTGAGGGTAGGATATGGCTTAAAATATGGATCATCCCTCAGACAACCTATACTTCTTTTGAGCTAGTCAAATAAGAGGTCACTGGTGAATGTCGAACGTATGTGAAGACATGTAACACGAAAGTTGGAGTCGTTCATTCGCGAGGAACGTAGAGTCTCAATCACCCAATCGAAACAAAGCAAATGTTACAACGAAACAATGAGGTCGCAAGTGAAAACATGCAAATTGCTTGGAGCGCGGGAAAACGCGAGTGGCCAAGTTGTGATTGGTTTGTTTGGTTTTCAATTTGATTGTCTGAGAAAGTGGCGCGAGTTTTCTGGATCAATTGGACTAATTGCGCTATGAAGTAAAGCAAAACCACAGCAATCACGGATTATTTTAGATTCTCAAAACAAATTGCTCTATTCTGACTTAAACTAGAGTATCTTGTATACCCTCATTATATGAAATTACTGTGAGTGTTTTTCTTACCGAAACTTATCCAGCTAGGTCATGTGTATCAAATTCTGAATCAAAGAACGGTGCTTGTGAAGTGTTTTTCTTTTGTACTTGTAGCCGAATGAGCTGATCATACCTACTACAGAGACAGTTCGTCAGCGGTATTTCCTGGAGTTATTCCTCGATCACGAGAAACCTCTGCTATTGGTTGGCCCGACAGGAACAGGAAAATCAGCTATAACAAACAACTACATTCTGCGCATGCCCCCTGAAAAGTGAGTATACTTGGTGTGGTCCTCATCGTTTATGAGGAAAGGCGATGTAAAAATTCGCGGCGACCAGCGCCCAAAGTTATCGGTATCCTTTTGTCTCGGTATAAAGAATGGCCACCTTTGGAAACTGAGATTTGTAAGATTAGCCCCTCCTAAGAGCTGCCCGTAAGTGGAGGATTCAGTTTAGAAATGTCTTTTTCACATTTGCATTTGCACTGCGAATTCAAATGCTATAAGTTTGAGTTTGACTTTTTATTTTTTCAGGTACATCGCTAACTTCATGAACTTTTCCGCCCAAACAACTTCCAACCAAACCCAAGACATGATTCTCTCAAAATTAGATAGGTAATATTTAATTAATGAGTAACTTTTGCATATTGTCCTTCATGAGCGTGTCGGAAAATCAAGCGACATCATTGGGTGACTCAACATCTTCGATGGCCTTGTAAATCGGCGAAAGCTTAGAAGATTTGTACGAAAAAAGAAAAAGGAGCCAAGAGTCTTACTTTAGACAATACTTTATCAACTCGAGCAATCTGCTTAAAGGACAGGGGATTAGTGGGTCCCGAGTTACTTAAATAAGTAGCTCCTGGCTTGCTAAGCCCTCTGGCGGAAGGTAGCTCTGCAGTGTAACTTAGCCTCCTAAGCCCTCTGGCGGAAGGTAGCCTCGTAGTATAGCCTGCGAGTGAGCCGTTATTTTCAGTGTTTCTGCCTGAGTGTTTCTTTGCCGCATGAAAGTATGAGACCCTGAGCAATGCGAGCTGGTGATAGGTATGTAAATGCTAGACCCCCGTAAACTTCTCCTCGACTCATCTCAAATCTTCACACGAACCGAGAACCGCGCGTTCTGCACCGCTAATAACGAGGGCAAGAAAATGAGGAGTTGCTCGCGGGTTTTATAATATGATGGCGATCCTCTGTCTCTAGAAAGGTTAAATAATCGTTGGCCAATTCCTTTTTTTAGACGAAAGCGAGGTGTATATGGCCCGGCTATTGGTAAGAAGGTTGTGGTCTTTGTAGATGATTTAAATATGCCTGCTAAGGAGAAGTATGGTGCCCAGCCTCCCATCGAAGTTCTGCGACAGTGGATTGATCATGGATACTGGTTCGACAGGTAAATTGTTACGGATTCCCAGAAATTGAGACTAAAGAATTGCATCACATACCAAAGAAGTCCCTGAAGTCTCATCTTTTCAAGTTGTAGCGTTAAGCTACTTAAAATGAGTATTCATGCTTCGTTACTTGATCCATTTGAGTGTTCAGGGCCACGATTCTTTTTCTGCAAATATAAGCGGCAGCGGGTTTTTCCGCCGAAACAACAAAATTTTGCACTGGGGGGGGGGGGGGGGTTTGCCTAAAGAGGAGACAATGATAAGAAGCGCTAAAGTGATAACAGCTGCTACGAACCTCGTAGCCATATTACGGTTGCTCAACTTCAGTCACTAAATTCACACCTGTTGCCACAATGCTGTTTTTGTGAAATGAGACATGAGACGAATGAGGTTCGACAGAAATGTTCCTGAAAACGGCAATCTTATCTGTGTTGGTTGGGGCTTATCCCCTCGAAACGAAAACGAGCGGTGGGAATTTTAAAAATGCCGCCACTTTGCGTCGATAGAATTACATTGGAAATATTGTCGTTCCCATTCCTTTGCACGCTTAAATTTTTCTCGAGTTCCGAGCGTGCGCACTCGTTTTGCCGCTGTGTCGCCATAGGGGCAATGAAATCATTTTTGAAGACGAAAATATCAAGGAAATGCTTGCTGTACAAACTATCGAACCCCTTAAGAACCTATCGAACCATATTTAGAAAAATTTTCATATCGCAAGTGTGGTCCTTATTTATCACCTAAGGGGGGAGGGGGGGTTGATTGACTTGATCTTCTCCATAAGGCTCTGCAACATTCTTATGATCTCCTCGTATTTGTAATTGGCAGTCCACTTTATGCCCCCCTTTATACTCTGCTTTATCCTCTGTTGGGGACGATTGATTCCCCCTCCGTTCCCTCTGAAAACTATGTGATCCCCTCAAAATCCTCAAACCCAGCGCTCTACCAATTGAGCTAACAAGCCAACTGGGAGCTGGTCAATGAATTGGGTCCAAATAAACATCAAAGTGAATGAAGATTTTAGATGTATGAAAATTCACATATTTGTGAATATATATATAAATATGTGAATTTTCATATATCTAAAATCTTCATTCACTTTGATGTTTATTTGGACCCAATGATTAGTGCATTTGTTGCTTTATTTTTCACTAAGAGGTCATGGGTTCAAATCCCGACAGGCGAAATTTTTTTCAGGTCTCATTTACAACTACTCGTTTCATTAGTGTTCTTAGCTGCGAGGGTCTCCTAATTTCATCTTTCCACCGCAGTGCAAATATGTGAATTTTCATATATCTAAAATCTTCATATTTAGTCCTTTCAGTCAAATCCACCAATCAGAGAATTGATCAAAATAACCATAGCAACAACCACTTATCCTAAGGAAAAACTGTGGAAAAAAATGTCAGTGAAAACGTATGTTAAGAGAAGAACATCAGTCGATATTGTTCTGTACTTTCTATTATTGACAGGAAGGACACATCAGTACTAAAGCTTGTTGATCAGTTGCTAGTGTCTGCTATGGGTCCCCCGGGTGGGGGAAGGAATGAAATTACTCCGCGTTTCCTGAGGCATTTCAATATCATCTCCATTGACTCGTTCAGCACAGAAACCATGAGAAATATCTTTTCTGTCATCATGGATTGGCATTTTAACAACAATGGCTTTGAAATGCAGATACGAAGGTTCTCCAAGGTACAGTTTAATTACGTCGAGGTCAGCTGATCACTAGCTACCTTATAAGGCCTTCATTCGTACTGTCCATTTCAATGCTAAGATCGTCACCGTCCCGCATTGTATGATTGGATTTGTTCGCTCGTTGTAAGGACATGTTGTCTGTCTGTCTGTTCTTTACCTTTCTGTTGATTGATTTTATTTGATCTTCATGTCTATCTATTTGTCTGTCTGTTTGTCCTTCCTTCCGTACGTGTAATCGTTAGGTAGAAACTTGTTCAGTTTATATTGCCGTGACCTTTAATCCAACCATACTTTTAGCAATATCCGTGAGAAACGGGGGAGTCATGATGAATCAGGAGTTTCTGGTTCTATCAGTGTTATGCCCGTCTCAGCTTTGGAGTTTAACCCTTTAAACCCTGAGAACGACCAGCATCTAATTTCTCCTCGCAATAATACTGCTAAGTTCTTGTAAGCACCACAGAAATGTATCACAAGCGTATGGAGAATATAGATACTGATGTTAGGGTGTTAAGGGTTAAATGGATACCGAGCCACTGTTAGGGAAGCTATGAAAATACTTGGGGAATGCCATTCCATTTCCTTTGTCGCTTACTGCCTCAGTCTGGAAACCATGGATAAGCATAAACATTCACGGGTTACTATCTTTTACTGTTTGTACCTTACGAAAAAACCTTCACTGGTCTCGGACAAATGTAAGTGGTGATACAGGGCAAACAAATCGACTCAGTGATGATGGTGCGTCAGTTGTCGTCATTTACAGCTATTTTTATAATATTTGTATTTTTTTTGCTTTATTAGATTATAATCAGCGCCATTACCGAGGTGTACACCCAGGCCATTACCAGCTTCCTTCCTACACCATCTAAGTCACACTATGTGTTCAATCTTAGAGATTTTGCTAGGGTCGTACAGGTAAATAATTTTGGTGGTAATTTTTCTTCCTTCACCCTCGCCAATAAACTAAAAGGCCTTTAAAGAAGCGAGTGATCCGTGTGGGTCATAAAGAGCAATTTACAATGCAGTGTTGAAAGTAACTCGGGATTACTTTGGTTTCGCTTTACCTCGCTCTGTGATTGGTTTGGAAAACTCGCGCTACTTTTTCAACCAATCAGATGCAAAAATTTTCCCGCGCTTTAGGCAGTTTGTTCGTTTTTACCTGAGTTTTCATTGGCTCCGAAAGGAATTTTCCTTTCCTCTGATTGGCCGTTGTGGTTCCTTTGGTTATGGTTTTTCGACGCTCAACCGAAAAGTGCTCTACTTACAGCTCGTTAGTACCTTGCTGCATCTTCAAACTAAGGAATATTCTCTGAAGGCTTTTTAAAACAACCTCAATACCCTTTTGAATCTTCAAACAGGCAAATATTCCGAGGAAGTCTTCCTTAATAACCATATCAATACTTTGTCGATTCGCTCTTTGTTTCCCTTTTCCTCCTTTCGTCTCGCTACAGAAATTTAGGTCCACTATGGTACACCAGGGCAAATCAGAATTTAATCTTTTGATTTTCTCTTATTTGCAAATGTCTCATTAAAGGGGATTCTTCTATTTCCCGGAGTTTGTGCCACGCACCCTAGCAAGCTGATCAGATTGTGGGTTCATGAGGTCTACCGGGTGTTCTACGATAGATTGGTTGACTCTGAGGACCGGCAATGCTTCTTTGAGATAGTTAAGGTATGGTAAAATTATTTTTGTCTAGGTCTTGTCTAAAAAGTTGGTTATTGTCGATTATTAGCGTTGCACGACGTCGCCGTCCGCGGGAAGATTTGTGACGAGTCAGCGAGAGGTTTGCAATTAGTGCCAGACCCCAAGCAAACCTCTCGCCAGCTCGCTTTCCTCAAGGAATCAGATTTTCTCGCGGGCTAAGAAACGCTCGTGTCGCAGCGGTGAAAATGTGAGCCTTCTTAAGGGGTAGCTATATTTTACATCAGAGAGTTAACCAACCTAGGTGACTTAATCTTATATTGCGTCATGCTGAGATTTAATTTGAAGAATATGATAGAAACTCTAAAGGCTTTGAAGTGTTCAATTAATTGCAATAGGTTGATGCCTGCGACTTTTCAATCGACTGAAATAGAAGCTGATTTACTGAATGTCGCAAATCATAGTAGAAAATTAAAAGCGGTTTTTAGCGAAATAATTTTGCTATGACTCTGAATTTAGCTGGACCATGTATACTCTGTGAACCGTTTTTTTTAAAGTTCCTTCAGATATTGTTGTTGTTGTTTATGTAGAATGTAATGGCTTCAGAGTTTAAGGAGAAGATGAATAACGTCTTTGAACATTTGTCTGGCAGAGGAGGTGTGGTTACTGATGACAGTCTGAGGAGGTAAGACTTGATAACTGGTTTTCGTTTATGGTTAGCACACATTTCGGTATAGAACAACACATTGGTCAAACGTCTGCGCATGTGCGAACCTTCTAATGATAAGGTGGCGTGCTTCCAGGCTGTCAGAACCAATTGTTTCACACAAGCCATTAAGTCATGGAACGCTTTTCGTTCGAAAAGTCTCTAGTTCTCCTATCCCTACTTTTGTTTCCCTTTACAGATTTCTTTGAGCGTTTTGATTTTCTTTCGCTTTTTTCTAAGACAGGGTTTGCTTCTTTAGTTTTCCTTTGAAATCTTTTGCGGGAATTGGGTAGAATTGGTCCCTTTGCGCATGCGGGACATTAGATCGCTGTTGTTGTTGACCTAGAATTTCACCTTTTTCTCCTTTGGGTGTTGCTTTGTAGACTGCCATTTTTAAGAACCCTTTATTTTTTTTTTGGCAAAACCAACCGATGCGTGTGCTATTCGAGACTATTCCCACCGGAAAGCTGACAATATTCCGAAATTTGAGGCAATAAGTAATTTTTAGCCCCGTGTTGAATCGTTCGTACCATTAGTTGGAATCGGCTGGCCACACAGGAGTCCAGTAGAATAGCCGATACAACTATCAACTTGATTAACTTGATCAGAAGTCTGTGGCCAATGAAATATTTCACTCTATTAGCCTTTGGGCAGGCCCTCATTACCTCGGGACATGCGTCTCTTAGCCCGCGGAAAAGCAGGATGCCTCGCGCAACGCGAGCCGGTGAAAAGTCTCTAAGGGCTCCGGCACTGAGTACCAGACCCCCAGTAAACCTCTCCCGGATCGTTTCAAACCCTCACCGTGGGCGGTGAAACGCGTGTCCTTCAGCCTTAATAAAGAGGGCCTGATCCCAGGATATCACTCGATGAAAGGACTTGTCTTACCGGCCAGTTCTGATTGATGGTTGGCATCCCAGGAGACGGAGCAACGGTGGTTTGAGCCGGGCCTAGTCTGGCAGAGGTCTGGCACGGGATTTCTAGATAGAGCAAGACACTGAAATATTTTTAAAATATAAAATTGATGGAGACTGAAAGTAATCTCTGTAAACTTGGTTTTTATTGTTGATCCACAGTTTGTTCTTCGGTGATTATATGGACCGCAAAGCGAATCCCCGTCTATATGATGAAATACAAGATACAGAAGGACTTAGTTCGGTAAGAACTTCTGGGAAATTGGAAATGTGTAATAAATATGTGGAGATTAAAGCCAAATTAGGAAAGAGCAACAAATTACGCAGTGTTTCCTCAATCAGTATAGAATTATGGTCTATGATGAAAAATGCAATATGAAATGTTAGTTAGGTCACTGACATGTTTGTGAATGCGAATGGGCGTGATCAAGATTTGACCCGCTAAACACAGGACCACATGATAGTGGCTTGTGGTGTCTGATAAAGACTGACCCCACAGTTTTCGACGAACCGTTGCTTAGCAACTTGCTATATCTTACTGACAAGATAACTTTAGAGGTACTCTCTAGAGCTTGAATGCTTCTTTGACTCCCACTGGAAAAATACGTTATGTGCTGCTCAAACGCTTTTTGTGAGGTAAGGTTTCATCCAAAAAATTCAGAAATAATTGTGCCTTCATCATGTTTACTCCAAAGCCGTAATGTGTTCCATCATAGCTATGCACTCCACGAGTTAGATTGAATGTGTCAAACACTGGAACTTCAAAAGGTTCTAGAAAACGCCTCATTTCTTGGTTGTATTGAATGATTTTATCATTACCTTGGGATACACTAAACGGAATTGGTTTAAGGATGCCATGTGCGTGCGTTGTGAGCCATATAATAAGCGGCCATTGGCTTGCTGCTTGATTCTTAAGTTGAAGGATTGGTTTTATGTAACCATTAAACACTTTGTGAGCATTCAGACCCATATGAAGTCCTACTCCAATAGCGATGACTGAGTTTGTCGCGTTAAGTTTTCCCCGAACTTTTTGCAGTGCCAACTTGGCATATTGCATGCTATAAAATTGATGTAAAGAATACTCGAAGGTAGATTGTCCCTGGCAAAATTTCCCTTCAGGAAGTTGGGAAACGTTGCGGACCGTTTTTCCGTTACATGCCGTTTTACCAGAGTCTACGAATTGCATGTCGCCTGAACAAACATCTCTGTGGTATTCGTCGATGTCTTTTAGTGGGCTACCATATACCTTGTCGTCTGTAAATAAAATCATCATTGCATTATGTAAGTGCCTCACTAGCGAGTCACCGATTAACGACAAGCTGGAGACTCTTTCGGATAACAACTGACATGTTTCGGCACTGCTGAAGTTTTGAAACTCGTAGCCAGAAGAAGGAACGAACTCGTGTAGCTCCGCAGAAACTATATTTCTAAAATCGGTGCATGATGTGCACTGACAATCTTCTTTTGCTGATCCACACTTCGTAAGATTATGATTACAACAGGGATCCGTACCTTCAGGGTCACACAGAGAAGGAACTGGGAGGCCGAAATTTGGTGCCTTCAATTGGAATTTCTTTGCGCACTTCCTATCCTCTCTGTGTAAATTTTCCGGCAACCCTCTGAGTTTTCTGATCCTTAGGTCCTGCTCTCGTCTGTGAAGCACATCTGTGGGCTGTAGATCCGAACGTTTTCGCTACATTCCATTTCTCATTTGTCTCGTAACATCAACGCACCGTTTATGGTTGTAAGTACTCAGTCTTTTGACTAAAAGGTCAGTAAGTTCAAATCGTGTTTGTGAAAACGTTTGGAGTACAACCAAAATGAGCAAAATAAAGAACAACGCTTTGCAAATTCTCCCGTTCATAAGCTTCAAAAGATGATTTTTAAGCTGAAATCCAGACACTGCAAATAAGAAACAAGAGCTCTGTTTAAAACAATGTGTTGTAGAACTGTGTCTGTCATTAATCTACACAGCTTTCCCGTTGTTTGATGTTCAAATTTATTTATTTGTTTAAGTGATGCGGGTTCAGAATGCTTGTGATAGGTGCCATAGTCCCACCCGAGATTAAACTGATTCTACACGTGTTCTTAGGATTGTAAACTAATAACTTCTTACCAACCGAGCACGGGAGGAATTTTTGCCCGAGGTCGTCTTGAATTTTCCAGCTTTCGAGAATCAAAATACACGGCTGTTTCCGTTGAAACAGTCAGTATTGCAAAATTCCGACAAAATGAGCAACCAATCAGAACGCTTGGTTTAACCTCATGACAACCTTGCCTTTAAAAATTGGCTCGTGTTTAATATTTTCAGTCAAGAGCAAGGCTCAGTAATAACCTTTTGCGCGTGAAATTAATTGAAATAAGCGAACTTTTTTTGCGAATGTTTTGACTTGTTCTTCGTGGTTTTTCTTTTGATAAGTTCCTTCAATGCACCACTTGCTGACAGTAATAAAATACAGGTTCTCGTGCTGTAAAAGCACTCTGTCTTTGGTTTGCGCCTGTTCACGTGAGATTTCAGCCAAATTGACTGAAAAATTAAAGGTAGATTACTTTCGGCTAAAAGGAAACATAACTTACCACCGGAAATTCCTTTCAATGAAGTTTTTAGTTGGAGTTATGCTCCTTTGCAAAACATCGCTTGGGAAATTGAAATAAAGCAAGATATGTTTTGTGGCTTTAAGATCCTGCAACCAAACGGAAATTTTACAATTAATTTACCTGAGAATTTAACCGACCGTTCACCTGTTGCTAACAAAATTGAATTTATAGCCGAGAGCATCGCGCTTTTTTGGCAAACGCAGGCTCATACTGAATTTTCTATTTTTTACCTGCTTCTTTTCGAATTATTGAACAACTTTGTTAAAAGAAATTGGGGAAAAAACCAAACTTTAGTGCGATTCTAAACGGCGAATCTTAAAAGGGAGAGCTATGAGGTTTGTTAGCAAAATAAACCTAGTTCTTAACACCTCAGCTAAAACATTCAGCAGTAAAGTGCAATTAGAAACTTTGGGAACGATCCCAGGAAGACCATGAATAGAATATGAGTGTATGAGCATTAGTACTTAACGTTAACTGTCGGTTTCGCTACTTGTCAAGTACGCTACATTCGAGTGCGCTACATGTTCGCTATCAACATATTGAATTCGCTACTTACTTCATCCTACCATTCTACTTCCACGAACTTTTAGAACCAACATCTTGTTTTAACGAAATCTGCCTTACTCTGTTACTTTCTCAGTTCCATGTTAAAACTGACAATCTTCATTCGTTACGAAATTATTATGATTTATACAAAGTGCGGTGCTCGTGCTTATGCTAATTGCATAGTTGTGCATGCTGTGTAAGTGCGAAGGTGACAATTACATACTGCAACAACTCAACCTTAAATGGGCGCCAGTCATGCAGTTGGAAGTAAAAATTACAGATGTTGCTTATGGGTTATGGTTGAAAGAGAAACTAAAACTGTGAAATAACAGAGGCGGCGAGTTCGGAATGTTAGTAACAGTCTCGGGAAGAGCATGAATGGAATATTAATGTATGAGCATATCAGTGTGCTTTGTTGGGCATGAAACATTTGAATTTCGGTTCAGCTTTTCGAAATTTGTAAAGTTGCGTTTTGCAACACTATACTGTAGGTAAATGAGTTAAAAGTCTCACAAGATGATTATTAAATATTCCTTTATCTAAATAACTGTCCATTTTTTACTTGCATACAAGTGCTACACATTTTGCCACTTATCTGATCGATAAGAGTCCATATCAGTCTTATTGTGCAAACTTTAGTTTTTCTCGATCACGAAAAGCGTTCGGATTTAGCACTTTAGCAAAGCTGCATTTTACGTCACAACAAATTATAGGTAAATGCCTCAGAGTTCTATGACAAAGAAGTTGTGTTGATGCCCTCGTGGAACAAAACTTACAATTTTGTTGACTTCGCCATTACGTTCCATCCTCCAATCAGGTTAACTTATAAAACGCTACCTCGCAACAAGTGGGAAAAAAAACTGCAATCACGCAGTTGGGGGCATAAATTACAGATAATGCTTGTGGTTTATGGTTAAAAGAGAAATTAATACTGTGAATTAACAGAGGCAGCGAATTCGGCATGTTAGTGGCGAACATGTAGCGAACTCCAACGTAGCGAACTCGACGAGGAGCGAAATGTCCAGGAATTCTGCGCGATGTTTCCCGTGAATACTATCAAGCGAATCAACTAGTGGTTAGAGTGGAAATCAGCACACCAGACGCACTGAGCACTCGGCGCTCTGTCCTAGTGGTCAATGAAAGAGTTGTACTAGGTGTCGATTTTTCTCTTGCCTGTTAACAACATAAGCGGCTTTCAATTCTTCAGAACAGTAGACAGGCAAGAGTCCTGTGTACTTTGACAAGCCCTTTGCAGACATTTATTATCTCGGCGAATTCCTAAGTAAGAGATATGCAGGTATCTATCTAGTAATGCTCGCATCAAGAGTTGTTATGCAGACCATTAGAGTTTACACTTCTTGTGTTTGTTTCCTTTTTCGAAGATAATGGAAGGGTTTCTAGAAGATTACAACATGTCAAGCAAAGCCCCCATGGACCTGGTCATGTTCAGATTTGCCATTGAACACGTGTCTAGGATCTGTCGAGTCCTCCGCCAGCCCAATGGGCATGCGCTGTTAGTAGGTAGGCCGGTTTCCATATATTGAAGTTCCTAGGAGTATTCCAACCCCAACCCTACCCCCACCTCCCGTATGTTTTTCCGGTCCATGGCAGATTGCTTCAAAGTAGTTCGAAAGGTTTTTATGACATTCTACCCTCTATCCGCCATTAACCCTTTCACTCCCAAGATCTCATGAGCAATTCTCCTTACTGCCTGCCATTAAATACTTATGATGTCAATTTGGAGAGTTTGATATTGGATCAACTTGTAGATCCTTAACTGTAATTAAAACTGTAGTTTTCTTCTTTATTCTCGACATTTGTATGCTTGATACTGTATTGGTAGTGTAAGGGGAAATTCTGTCTTGGTCACTTTTGGGAGTTAAACGGTTAAGGTTCTTGAATAGAGAGAGACTCTATTAGAGTGAAGAGTTTTTTCCAAGAATTTTAGACACAAATCTGTTCAAGAAATTATGACCTTTCTTAGTGTGTTGGTTTCTGGCGTGTGCGTGAAAGGTTTTTTCGTAGCTTTCTTCTGACAGAAAATTGATGACTGTTTTAAATTGTCGCAACTAAATTGTATGTTTTTGGCTTGAAAGCACTCGTAACGCCATGGGGCTAATAGGTTAAAGTTATTTTCCACTCGTGTAACAAGGATGCTCGAGAATGTACGAAGAGAATATCAGCCCTTAGCCCTAAGTCGTGGGTCGCTTACAGTTAAGACACCCCGATCGATATACTCCCATTACAGTTCTTGTGCTTGGTTAGCAAGATATATTAAATGACGTTTTAATAGTTTTCAAAGGTCTTTAACCTGTTCTTAGGATTTATAACATTCATAGATTTTTTTTTTGAATATGTCCATAGGTATCGGCGGTTCTGGTCGTGCTAGTGCAACCAAGCTGGCAGCCTTCATGTCAGATTATGAACTCTTCCAAATCGAAATCACCAAGACATACACATTCACGGAATGGAGAGAAGATTTAAAAAAGATGCTGAGAAAGGCAGGCTTCGATGGAGCTTCTACAGTGTTCCTGTTTGGTGACCACCAACTCAAGGTCAGTTTTCAACTACTGTGACGCTAAAAGTTTTTAATAATGGTAAGTCTGTACTCCAACCCAGTGACCCGCGTAGCCGGAGCTCATCCCAGTTTCAATAGCATGAAACAGCTAGGAGTATTAATACCCTCCCCTGGATGGGATGCTAGTTGATCGCAAGGTTACATCCAAACATTTCCTGAGGCTTCCCATTCATAATTCACTGCTGCCCATTCCTACTCCTGGATGGAGAGAGGCATTATGAGAGTAAAGTGACTTGCCCAGGAACACAACACAGGTCTCGAACTCTCGACCCAGAGTCCAGTGCTCTAAGCATCAGGCCACCGCGGTACCTATTTAAGCAAAGTAGACGCCTTTCTAATGAGTTAAATGATCTAACTCCAGATGAAATTTGGAAGTCATTGTGACATCAGCAAGAGGTGTTTGGGAATAAAGAGTGATGTCTTAATCACAAGAGCCTTGCGGTGATGTTTTCTGTTTTACCCATAACACATAACTGAACTCACTCCACAAAGGCTATCTTGGGAACAACGAGTAGAGGGTGTTTTATTTAGGTAACCTTTATGGAGGCATGGGGGTGTTGTTTATCATCTGTTTGGGGGTTTAAAACGTTGCGATTTACCAAAATGCCTCCAGTAGCATAGAGGTACGTACCACAATCTGTCAAAATATATAGTAGCTGGAGGAAAGATAACAAAGAGTAAAAATCAGGGAAGAGTCGTCAACGAAAGGATAATTGAAGTGAATACCTTAGTTTTTACAACGGTTGCTTTTAGTTTCGAAGACAATCTGTTGATCAAAATGAAACAAAGTTATTCGTATTTCGACCTGCGGCTGTTTCACGATTAGTAAAATGATCCTTGCCAGGGAACTGAAAACAAAGAAATTGTCTGAAATAATTCAGGCTTCGATGGGATTCGGACCTTTGCCTCAGAGATACTAATTGAGCACTTCAATCAGCTGAACATTGAAGCTGCCCGTTTATTCCCGTCGAGGAATATGATCACAATTAAATTGAATAAATCGTTAACGAATGTTATTCTTTCCTCCCAAGTATAAATATGCTATCAATGTGTTTCTGGATTTACCTTTAATTTTTCTTTCTTCTTTGGTCTAAAGGATGAAGCATTCCTGGAGGATATCAACATGATCCTAAACACTGGTGATGTACCTAACATCTATGAGTCTGACGAAAAAGCTGAAATCACAGAACAGGTAGCTTTTGATTTTACAGCTTGGTTTTTGAACTGTTTTATTATTAATTATTATTAAATTTAAATTTATACCGCGCAGTTTCTATAAAAATATTCAACTGCGCCTTACAATAAATATTAAATTAGAAATTAAAATAGAAGTTCAAAATTACAATTCTAAAATAATGCAATTCAATTATAAAAACTATAGAACTAATTAAACGCCCTATTAAATAAAAAAGTTTTAAGTCTAATTTTAAAAATATCTAAACTGGAAATAGATCTTATTGTGGTAGGAAGCGAATTCCAAAGTCTAGGGGCGGCACAACTAAACGATCTATCTGCCAGGGTCTTCTTGGATATTATCTTCGGGAAAGTTAATAAAGCTGCAGAGTCATCGTTGCGCCTTAAATTATACCTAGATGGCGGCAAGATAGATATTAAATGGCGCAAGTAATCGGGCGCCATACCATGCAATACCTTAAATGTAAGAAGAATTATTTTATATTCGATACGATAACAAACAGGCAGCCAATGTAATTCGTGAAGTAGAGGCGTGATGTGGCACGACTTTGGAGCACAATATACCAAACGGGCACTAGCATTCATAACACGCTGGAGTTTAGACAACTGATATTTCGGTAACCCATACAAAAGGCTGTTGCAATAATCAAGTCTGCTTGTTATAAACGCATGAACTAGTGTTTCAGTGCTACTTCTAGATAAGTACTTCCTAATATGTCTGATATTATAAAGATAATAAAATGAGCTGCTGCATGTTTTGGTAATATGTACATCCATATTCAAATGCGGATCAAACCATGTGCCCAGATTACAGACTGATGAAGAAGGACTAATATTATAATCTCCGACTCTGATGCCATCGATAGACACCTTTGTGAGCTGCTTCCGTGTCCCAACAAGCATAAAATCAGTCTTGACATCATTTAGCATTAATTTCCTCACACACATCCACTGTCTAATGTCACGAATACAATTTTCAATGGCAGTGACCGCATCCAACTCACCAGTGCCAACACTAGGACTAAAGGACAGATACAACTGAGTATCGTCCGCGTAAGCATGCGCAGTTGGTAAATGGGACTCCAGGAGAGAAAACAAATCACTTGAATAGATAGTAAACAAAAGCGGGCCGAGGCAAGAACCTTGAGGTACACCCCACTTCAAATCAAATGACTGCGAAAGCGTCTCTTTTATGCAAATTCTTTGAGATCTCCCTTCCAAATAAGACTTGAACCACGAAAGAGCAGAGCCGCAAACACCTAGTTTCGTCTGAAGGGCTTTTAATAAAATCTTGTGGTCAACAGTGTCAAAGGCGGCACTCAAGTCTAATAACACCAAGAGTGATACATGCCCCTTGTTCATATTCATTAGCAAATCGTTTTTTACTTTTAACAATGCAGTCTCAGTGCTGTGATGGGAACGATAAGCAGATTGAAGCTGAGGGAAGAGATTGTTCTTAATCATGTGACACTGAATCTGATTGGCTACCACACGTTCAGTAAGTTTGGACACAAATTGCAAGTTGCTAATTGGTCGAAAATTCTTGAAAAGAGGATCAAGACCAGGCTTTTTCAATAATGGATGTACCACAGCAGTTTTCCAGGCGTCAGGAAAATATCCAGTTCGTAAGGACAAATTAACCATATTCGTTATTACAGAAAGGAGTGGGTCAAGGCAGGCAGATAACAGAGTCGCAGGTATTGGATCCAAGATGCAAGTTTTTTTCTTCCCTGATGTAATCATATCACGTATTGCTACAGCCGTTGTACATTGAAAATCAGACAGTACAATATCGCTAGGTTCAGATACCAGATCAGGCTCCGACGTCGACAGAAGATGCGATGGAGAGATACCTTCCAACTTTGACCTTATATTAGCAATCTTGGTAATAAAAAACTCGCCCATGTCATTTGCAAGCAGAGAAACGTCAGTATGAGGAGGAAGAGCTCTATCCGGCTGCATATTCAGTAGACTCTTACTTGCCATAAACAGCCTCCGCTGGTCAGAACTATTATCTTCAATGAATTGATTGTAGTAGACACGACGTGCCTCATTCATCAAGTTCACCACACGATTTCTTTCCTTTTTAAAAGCAGCACGATCTGCAGATAGGCCAGTAATTCTCCACTTCTTTTCAGCCTTTCGTCTCGACCGTTTAGCTTTTCTGATATCTTCATTAAACCACGGTGCTCGAGGCCGAACAACAATATCACGGGACAAGACAGGTGCATAGATATCTAGTATAGATCTTAGTGTCTCATTGTAACAATTGACTAGGGTATCCAAGTCGTCCGGTGGGTCAAGACAGAGCTGAGAAGAGCAAATCGTCTCGGAAAATTGATCACGGTCAATTGATTTAATTTTTCTGAACTGCAGATGTTTGATGGCCACCGGAGGTCTTTCAGGTTTTAGTTGACAGAAGACTGGGAAATGGTCAGAAAACAACTCACCAGTGTAGGGGCACCCAGCAATGATGTTATCAGATATACGAGTGATGATCAAATCCAGTGTGTGACCAAGTTCATGGGTAGGGTGTAGAACATGTTGTTTAAGACCCATCGACACCAGAAGGTCAGACATGTTTCTACAGTCAGTGTCATCAGGTAGATCCATATGAATGTTAAAATCGCCCAGTATTAACAAAGGCTCACTTGACATGACCAAAGACTCGAGATAATCTGAGAATTCAGTGATAAATGTTGAAGTAGACACAGGATGTTTAACAGAATATGGAGGCCTATAGACTAAAACAACCCGCAAACGAGTAGTAGCCACAGGATTGACCAACCATTCTGACACCTCGAATGACTCTTTTCCTGCAGCTGAAACCTTTTCAACGTTGATAGATTCTTTGAAAATCAATGCAGTCCCACCTCCTCTGCGATCACTGCGGGGATGATGAAGGAGTTTGTATCCCTGTGGTGTTATTTCACTAAGAATAGCAGTGTCATTGTCTGTAAGCCAGGTTTCAGAAACAGCAAATAGATCTGCTTTGCTATCGCATACCAAATCCACAAACGACGCTGACTTATTTCTCAAAGATCGAGCATTGAGAAGGCAAAGCAACAATCGTTGCGTATCGTTCTTGATATTTTCCAACACTTGTTGAGGCTTGGGCACAATAATGTGGACCAAATTACGTAGACACGGCGGTGCACGATTGCCAACAGCGCTAGCATAAGCAAAGTCGCCGTTTGTCGAGTGTCGATTTCCGATTACAGCTTGAATAGCAGAGGGGCCAGGATTTAAACTTACATCACCAGATTTGATCAGTCGAATCAGTTGAAAACTGGAAGTTGAATTGTGATGATAGTTCACTCTAGCGCCGAGGTAACTCATTCCACGAAGTCGACAACCAAGATGGCGGCCTAATCTCCGAGTGGAGTTTACTTGTTTGTTGCCCGTTATCACTTCCAACGAAGACATTGAGCTGCCAGAGCGAAGCGGTGCACAAGAGAAATAATATAGGCTATGTCCAGATAAATATTTCTCAGGGTGAAGACCAAATAAAAGCAATAAAAATGATAAAACTACGGAGCCAAGAAGGACACGTCTGAGTGCCATGCTGACCGCTGACCGCCAGGAAAGGAAAAGCTTTTCAAAGGAAAGCTCGAGATCTGTGGTCACGAACGACCTGGAAATTGTCAAAAATGGGTTTTCTCTATTCTCTAACCAGATGCAGAACATTGTTCAAGAAAGAAACCTAAAGGTGGATTCCAGTCCTCTGGCCATGTATAACTTCTTTATTGAGCGGGTTCGCCGTAACTTGCACGTGGTTCTGTGTATGAGTCCCATCGGAGACGCGTTTAGAAACAGACTCAGAATGTTTCCTTCGCTGATCAACTGCTGCACTATCGACTGGTTTCAGGTTAGACATTCAACGTTCATTCATTAAGCTACTGAAAAATTCTGGAACCAGTGATAACAGCAACACAGCGGTCAAACCTCTGCGCATGTGTGAACGTCGTAATGGCTAAGTAGCGTGCTCTGCAAACGACCACACAAGTCTATAAGTCGCGATGTTTTAAAAGCGTATAACCTTTTAGATAAAGCTTTCCATGATTGTTACGATTTTCTTCGCATGCTTTGCGTGACAACGATTGTATCTCATGTTTTCATTGGAGATTTGCGCGGAAAGCTGGTGCACGGCGGCTAAATTTGACTCCCAGTGCGCATGTTCAACATTTGACTGCTGTGTTGGTAAGAGCCCTTCTGTACTAAATGCGTTTACCTGTCACAGACAGTTTGTTTTTAAATGTTAGCAGGGGTAGTTAGTCGGTGTTTGTTTCAAAATTATGACAGGAACCCTCCAAAAGCGATGCTATCTTTTGGATTATCGTGAAAAGCCTAAACATATATATATTTCCCTCAGGCCTGGCCCGAAGACGCTCTAGAAATGGTAGCAAACAAGTTCTTGGACGAAGTTGAAATGTCTCGTGAGATTAGAGGGGAATGTGTTTCCATGTGCAAACACTTTCATCAGAGTGTGCGAGGAATATCAGACAGGTACGCAACAGTTGTAATACTGCTTATTGTTAACCGGTAATGTTTGCTACATAAAGTGACAAGAACGGATGAAAGTCAGGTAAAATTACGAATTGGAGTATCTGTAGGGCTACCTGTGGCTGCCTGTGAGAAGTATTATGGAACAGGTTTCGGTTAAGAGAGAGACACGTGCGCGTGAACACGGCTGAAAGGTGTCATTACGGCTTAAAAGTGTATAAAGGAGTATTACACGATTGATAACACAACCTAAATAATTCAAGGGAAGCCGTGTGGAAACTCAAGCCGTTGTCAATCATGTCGCGGACCTGTCGGGAAAACATGACTGACAGGTGGAGGATTTCAAGCCATTTTGTTGGGTTCAGCCTCAAGATGGCTGTTAAAATAATGATTGACAGGAACTTGAAACTAACTCGAAAGCTTGGCTCTGAACTACACAGTTGGTTTTTTAATGGCGTCACTGTATGTTCACTGCGCAATTAATGCTAGAGAACAAAGCCTTGACGCACTCAATCTTCCTGCCGTAATGTTGTTGTTGTCTCTTGTGCTATCAGTTCCAGCTTTTTTTGAGAAATGCTGGAAAATTTGAATTGTGTCTCTTTTACTCCTTCGATGGGTTCTAGGTTTTTTACGGATATTTATATGCTAATTTATGACGATAGATTTTTTCTTCACTGCATATATGGAAGCTTATTTGCTAAGGTATCTTCAAGTTCCTCTGTTGCTAGACTGGTTTATCGACATAACTAGGAAAACATTTTCAGGTTTTATGCTGTTCTTCTTCGGCGAAATTACGTCACTCCCACGTCATACCTGGAGCTGATCAAGACTTTCAAGTCACTTCTCGGGAAAAAGCGATTCCAGATACTAACTCTGAAGACAAGATATCTCAAAGGTCTGGAGAAATTAGACTTCGCTTCATCGCAGGTGAAAAGATAACGATTTATCTGTAGAAACAAATGAAGAATGTTGTCTTACTTTTTTATTGCACATATGCGTGATGATAAAAATCTTATGTGTGTCAACGTGTCCCACTGTCCAACTTGCGTCGGATTTTGTGTCTCTTGGTTATTTCTTTTCTCTTCATTGGCTTTTATTTTCAAATTGTCAGGTGTCGATTATGCAGCAAGAGTTAAAGGAACTGCAACCAGAGTTGATTGAAACCAGTAAAGAGACAGAGCAGTTGATCAAAATCATTGCTGACGAGACTTTAGAAGTGGAGGATAAGAAACAGGTGAAAATAAATTATTTCTGAACAGTACAGCAAAAGGAACAGCTTAAGCTTCTGGTGATGAATATGTCAATTTAAAATTGATTTTGCTCGTTACATAACTGTGTTCCAAACAAGACGATATTGAAGATTTGTGAATGATCGTGGTATTGTGAAAAAATGAGCTGAGTTGTTTCACAACAGGTGGTGCAAGCTGACGAGGCTACGGCTGATGCAGCAGCACAGGAAGCCCAAGCTATCAAGGTACTTCATAAGGCACTTACTGAATAGCAATGACAGCATTTGCATTTACAACGGAAACTTCTTGGGATCTGTCGTGATGAAGCAACTGTAGGAATATGTCATCCGATTCTCAGTGAACTGATGATAATGATAAGGATAATGATTCAGTTATGCGTACATCAATTTGAAGCCTGGACATTCTTCCAATCTCCGGGCATTTGAACTTTTGAAGATTAGTTCAAATTCCCGCGTGTTCATATGCCCCACCCATTTTTTTGTGAAGGGCAACATTAGCGAAAGTATCCTTCTACACGTTGACCAAGCTTTAAAACCTTGACCTTTTAGAACTTTCCTTCTGAGCCATTCGCTCGCAATAGTGAAACATTTGACTGAAACACCTGCATATTTATAGACATAACACTTGTGTTCCGCTGGAAAGAGTTGACACTTCCGGTTCAAATTTTGCAGGTGCCCCAAATTTTTGTTTTTGTGAGATTTGTGTATACTTGTTTATGAACAATTTAGGATGAGTGCGAGGATCAGTTGGCGGTTGCCATGCCAGCATTAAATGCAGCTGTATCTGCACTGGACACCCTTAAACAACAGGATATTTCTTTGGTCAAAGCCATGACAAACCCACCCGCTGGTGTGCGAATGGTGATGGAAGCTGTGTGTATATTGAAAGTAAGTCAGTCATTGACTTCGAATTCATTAACGAGTTTGCCTATTTTAAAAAACAGTATTAGAGTAGAAATCCGGGATGGCATTGGTTTTGCTTTACTTCGCTCTGTGATTGTTCCAAAAGAACTCGCGCCGCTCATCAACCAATCAAATGCAAGACTAACATTAATCACGACGTAGTCGCCCGCGTTTTCCCGCGCATTTTTCTAAGGCATTTGTATGTTTTTACTTTGAGTTCTCATTCGCTCTCAAGGTTACAAGATACTTTTACGGGTGCGTCTCAGAAAATTACTATGAAAGTGAGTGCTCTGAGGTAATCCCTATGAAAGTACATATCATTTTAAAGCTTATAAACTCCAGAATTCGAGTATGTTTTTTTTAATTGATGTTCTGAAGTGAATCAGCACAAATTTTGCTGAGAAAATTATTTAAAAAATCGAAAAATTTCGTCCCTGATAGTATCTTTTATTCTTTAAGGTATTTTGAGATTACTTTGATTTTGGTCGTACAACCCTTATCGAAAAGCACTTTATCAGTTATTTAAGTTTGCTATTTTTTTTTTTGTAAGTTAACTATTTCACTCTCAACATCTACTTTTATATCCTCCGTTCAAGCTGCTGTATATTTCTTTGAAATTGTGAGAAGTTACATGTTAACCACCTTTGGCAGTCAAAGAGCTTCATTTGTTTTATTTGTCACTGAAGTTTTCAAACAATAAGACATTTGATTTAGAAAATCCCTGGTTGTTGTTTAAAGTTTCTTTACATATGAGATGACATAAATTTTTAATAGATTCTCCAGGATACGAAGAGCCACAGAGGCGTGTGCAAGATTCACGAAGATTAGGTAGTGAGGCAGGTTTTTGTAACAGACAGATTGTTAACGATGAGTTATTTGTGTAGCTTGAGTTGTAGATAGCGCAAAGTACTTAAAATGATTTTGAGGTAGTCTATGATCAGATACCAGAGAATATGCAATCGTAGAAGCTAGTTATAGTCGTACAAACTAAACTAACACAAATTTTTTTCTAGAAGGATAGCACTTCCCACAATACAAATTTGTTGTCTTGTTTTGTTGTTTCATTGTATACCACAGGTTTGAAACAGGCCGTTTGATGCCTTTTTAGCTTTATTAGAATATTTTGAGGTAGTGTAAAAGCGGACATTTCATTGACGGCGGGTAGATGTCGTCACTCGGAAGTTTACTTAAGTGTGGCAATTAATTGACAACTGGGCTTAGGACTGACCGGGCAGTCTTTCTTTGTGCTTTTGAGGTAGTTACTGTAGTTTGTCCTGTTGATAAGTTGGTGTTCATGTTTACCCGTCCATTAATTTTCTATTTTTAGGGAGTGAAGGCTGAGAAGAAGATGGTAGACGGCAAACAAGTAGATGACTATTGGGCGGCTTCCAAGAAGGTTTGATTGGTCGATTTATAAGTAAATAAATGTGGTAAGTTTCTGAAGAAACTGTGGTGCTGCGTCGGTGGGAGAGTGTCACAGGATAATTTAGTGTTATCGACTGAGTTGATAACGTAAATTGGCCACCGTTAAGAGTTTTGAAGCTGACGTTTCGAGCATTAGCCCTTCGTCGATGGCTCTGACGAAGGGCTAACGCTCGAAATGTCGGCTTTGAAACTCTTAACGGTAGCCGATTCACGTTATCAACTCAGTTGATAGTACCAAATAACCCCGATTTACAATAAGCCCGCATTTCAAGCGTCTTAAGAGGATGAGCTAGCGTTATAAGCTTGCAAATTTAGATTCGAGAGGTTCGTTAATAAGATGACTTGATCTAACTCGGCCAAATAAAGCTTCATTAATTTCCAGTGTATTTGCTAATCGCTCCCTATACGCTTATTCAGCCACAGTACTCCCATCCTCACTCACGATTAAAATTATGCGTCTCAAGCCCCCGTATCTTGTTGCTAAATTGTTCCATTGTGGTAGTTAGCTTCTCTCCTGAAATTGCTCTCGTTTTTTCTTGCTTTACTCATCCACAGGTTCTTGGTGATTTAAAATTCCTGGAGAGTCTCAAGCTATTTGATAAAGAGAACATTCCCGCTGCTACAATCCGTAAAATCCGAGATAAATACGTAACCAATCCTGACTTTCACCCGTCACTTATCAAAAACGTGTCGTCCGCCTGTGAAGGACTGTGTTCGTGGGTGCGGGCCATTGAGGTGTACGACAGAGTTGCCAAGGTAACAAGTATCACGCCTTTTGTTATCTCATGTTTCGTAAAGAGTGAGTTTATGATACACACATATCAGAGCTACTATGTTTTAACCCTTTGAATCCTAACAGTGATTAGCATCTAATTTCTCTCTACAATATCACTCCTGAATCAAACGTTAAGTTTACGAGAGGAAAGCAAAATCACACCAAATAAAGAGGCTCTTGATTATAAAACAGCAGCTGAGGAAATGTTTAGAGAACACTATGGAGAATATGCATACTGATACTAGGGTGTAAAGGGTTAAAGAATAAAACCGATAAGAAACATGACCAAGCATATACCAAACCTGTAAATTCGGACTTCCGTCTAAGGTCGCTCACGCACAACAAATTTCTAAATTTTGTAATCATCCAAAATGTTCATTTTTTATATTCATCCTTGGCGTATGTCAACTAAAACCGTTCTCTTTTCGCTCGGAGTCTGGTCGTTTCAATAAAAATTCGTTTCGGTACAGGTCCATACAAATTGAAGCTGATTCGAGACATCGACAAATTAGATTTGATACAGTTAGAAAGTCGTTTTGATACAGCTTTAGTCATTTCGATACAAACTAGTGAAGGATACATATAGATTTTTTTCTACCAGTCCGATAAAGGGAGTTAGAGATGTTAAATTTTATGACACTTTGATTAAATTCTCGTCAAGGCAATGAATTAACCTTTTTCTGTTTTATGGATCAAGCTCGTCGCACCCAAGCGCAAACGTCTGAAGGAAGCGGAATCCCTCCTGGCTCAGCAGATGTCTCACTTAAATGAGAAACGAAGCGAGTTAAAAGAAGTCATGGACAAGTTACAAAACTTGAACGATGACTACCGATCAAAAGTGAACAAGAAACAGGTGAGATAAAGCAAGTAAAATTAAAAAGTGGACGTAAAATTTAATGATGTAGCATTCAGCATTTAATTCATCTCCATGATATCAACAGTGTTAAACAGACAGGTTCGGGGAAGTGAGAAAATTGTCAACTATAGTATGATGAGAAGCATTTCTTTGCCTTTGGGGTTGAGTCGTCCGAGGCTCGTTAGTTCAACTCCTCCCTGGAGCATTCTAACCATTTTTTTCCGAGTTTACTTGTGTCAATGACTAAGAAGATCGTCTTTCAAATTGAAGAAACTGAACGAAATTGTTTTTATCTCCTCAGGAGCTGGAACGAAACATTGCATTGTGTTCCAAGAAGCTTCTGCGAGCTGAAAAACTCATCAGTGGACTGGGCGGAGAAAGGACGCGATGGACTCAGGTCAGCGGTTGTGCGAAAGACCGAATGTATTCTTTGGTTCGGCTGTGGATAGTTTCGAGTCGAAATTAATTAAGTTTGATTTATATTGCAATGTTCAATTTAATTCCATTCGAGAGCCGAGGTGTGAGCTAATGTTTCTTATGTCGCAAGTGGGTAGCCAGATTTGCTAAGCAATATTCAAATGGCGGCGTCCTTGATCGAATTTTTGGCATGTTTGAGGACAAATTTTGAATTGTTTTGTTTAATCTTTGGAATTTCCAAATCTAGAAAATTTTATTTTTCGTAAATACGTTCAAATGGTGGTGATAAAAATAAATGGTTTCTGTTGCAAACTTCTCCTTTTAAGGCCATGAGTTTTTTTTTTTTCAGGTTGCCCAAGAGCTGGGTGAGACGTTTAATAACATCGTTGGTGACGTCCTGTTGTCGGCGGGCATTGTGGCTTATCTCGGCCCATTCACTGTGGAGTTTCGACAGGTAAACGCTGGTAAAACTCTTTTTAAACAAAGGCTCTTTTTACGCATTTTTCTTTGCGATAATTTATACAATGTGCTCTTTTCTGTGAGGGGCGCGATTGTATTACACAGTCAGAATGTACTTGCTTCGATAGACGGACCTATTTTATTACCTCTTACATTAAAAATGCAACAAAAAAACTTTGAGATTTTTGTGGAAAGAATAATAAGGCCGCGTTGTAATGCAAATAAATTTTCATCAATTTCCGTCTTAAAATAGTGTACGTTTTCATCGAATTAAAGACATTTTCTACAAGGTATTCTTCAAATCTGGGTGACGGTCGAATAAAGTAGAGACTCGGGATTTTGATAGTTAAATAGTTAGTTTTTGATGAAACTTCCGCCCTCCACTTATTAGCTCACCTCTGCAATAAGTTCAGATCAATGTCAGTATCTACCCCTCCCCTAACCCAACATTAACCCTAACTTGTTATCAGTGGACTGTTGTTGGATTAGGGGAGGGGAGAGTACGTAGTCGCTCAGATACTGGGATTGATCCATAAGTTCTCTGTCTAGAACTTAAAGTTTACCAGAAGCCCTCCCTCAGGGGGCCTCCAAAGCGTTAATGGTAAGTTCATGAGTGCTACTGGTAACTAACAACAACATCAACTCCAACATCGCTCTGACGCTGGACTAAACCTCGAAATATCAGCTTTGAAACTCTTTACGGCGGTCAATTTACATTATCAACTCAGGGGATAAAGCCAAATTATCTTGTAATACTCCTCACCGACACAGCACCACAGCTTCTTTAGAAACGAACTCCCCCCCCCGTTCCCATTAACTAACGTCATAGCCCTTTTCAGGAATGTATCAAGGAATGGTGGGGTTTGTGCCGACAGAAGAACGTTCCGGTGTCAGACAGCTTTTCGTTGTCGGCGACTCTGGGAGATCCTTTATCAACACGTGCTTGGCATATCGCTGGACTGCCGGTTGACAAGTGAGTAATTCTGCCTTCAAGATGCTCTACTTTTCCTTGTAAATACATCAAGAGAATTTGATTTTACATCACAACGACACCGACCAGCTGATAGGTTTGCCTACTCTCCTGTTTGGTGGATAATGCGTTGAAATTGATAGAAGTTAAGTATCAATCGCATACGGGACTTAGAAGGTTGATGAAGTGAGCGATCTTACGCACTGATGTAAAGCGAGGGAACTACTAGGGAAACTATATATTTTTTTTAACACTTAAACCTCTGAGGTTGACTAGCATCCATTCTCTCACTAAGGTTTAACTACTGAATCAAACATTTATGAAAAGAAAGGAAATGATCGTCAACTTGAAAAGCTCCTAATTTTTTTTTACCAAATTCTCCTTGGAGAATGTCCATGCTAACGTTAAGGTATAAAGGATTAAGGATCGCACATTAGGGTATAGGAAGGACAAAGAAGGTTACCGTTTTTCATTTAAATTAAGTCCAAGCAGTTTTTCTCTTTCTAGCACCCACTGGATTGGATGACGTTTATACTGAGAGAAAAACGTTTTGTACTCGCAAATGTCTTGATTTTTGTTATTTCGGGGAGAAGTAGTTAGTTTTCAATTTTATCCTATATATTTTCCTCTGCTGCTTGTAAATGATCTTTTTTAATTTCATTGCCTCAAAACGACGTTTCCTATGTTTGTGAATGATTTCCTCTTCTGCGCCTCGTTTCTTTTTCAGTTTTTCACTCGATAACGCAATTATTGTGACGAACTCTCACCGCTGGCCATTGATGATAGACCCTCAGGGTCAGGCAAACAAGTGGATTAAGAATATGGAGAAACCAAACAGCTTACAGGTTAGGACTTTTAAACGGTTAGTTTTGGGACAGGTTATGATTTGTCTCAGGAGGGGGGAAAGGGGGGTAGAGCTTGGAGAATTTTGGTAGTGTCACGATAAAATTCACTAATCCCCTCATAAGGCTCTGCCGTATTCTTTTGATTCCCTTCCCCTCCCCCCCCCCCTTATTGGCAGTTGATTGGCAGCCAATATTCCTTTCGTTCCCTTCTGGGTCGGTCAGAGGGTTTCGTTTGTGTCACCATAAAATTTATCTGATCCCCAAAGGCCTGTAGTTCTCTAATAATCCCCTTCCTGATTGGCAGTCAATATTCTAAGGGTCCCCCTTTTATAATCTGTTGATGACGACTGATATCCCCTCCGTTCCCCCTGAAAACTATGTGATCCTCCCAAAATTCCTCCCCTCCCCTCCCCCCTAGTCTTAATAAAGTTTGCACATGCGCAGACGTTGGACTGCTGCTGCTGTGTTAGTGTCACTTTGTATTTCTCCGTTTTCTTTTTAAACCAAAGTTGTGCACATTTTGCAACAACATATTTCACATGATTTACCCTATATCACCAAGTAAGTCTTTATTATCTCTCGAAAAAATTATAGGGGTACTGACTACCGACTTAAGTGGTCTCTAGAGTTTAAGTTTCAGACAGCTAGAGTTATGCCCACAACCACAGGACTGATTTGCAGGAAAAACGATTGTGATATTCTTTAAATGTTTTGTTCCAGGTGATAAAATTGTCAGACCAGAACTACGTGAGGACTTTAGAAAACTCCATTCAGGTAAACGTTATTTTCCTGCTGAATTTGTGAGTATTGGGTCAGGATATTTTTCATAACTGCAAGGTGAGGCAAAGCCAACGCAATCCTGGATTACATCTGAAAGTCAGTTGAAATTTGTTGCAGTATTTTATTTTTTTTCTCTTTTGTGATAGTTCGGGACGCCAGTTCTCTTAGAGAACGTCGGAGAGGAGCTGGATCCCTTACTGGAACCCATTCTGCTGAAACAGACGTTCAAACAGGTTGGTAATAGGCCGAAAAGTACTTGGTTTTTACCCCTTTCACGCCTAAGAGTGACTAGCATCTAATTTCTCCTTACAATGTTACCCCAGGATCACTCGTTAAAGTCACGAGAATAAACGTATTGATCACCAACTAAAAATACTCTTGATTGTTAAACAAATTCTCCTTGACGGCACCTTAGGAAATGTATAGTGAACAGTATGGGGAATTGCATACTGATGTCAGGGTGTAAAGGGTTAAAGGAAAAACGCGGTATATAATGACACTAAGTACGTCTGAATTTGGTCATATCCGAAATGTCTGGAAATGTTTGTGGTAATATAACAAGGTGAAATACTCTGCTTCTTTCAGTTAATGTGTGACTTAAAAGAGTCAGAATATTTAAAAAAAACCCTAGGGAAAAAACAAAAAGAGCAAAACTAACAATGGAAAATATAGATGTACTATGTCTGTAAAATTTTTAAAGTGGGGGTCAAATATTAACAAGGTAAAGTTGTATAGGGCAGGCAGTATAGGAATAAAGTTTCTCTTCTATGGCTTGGAACTCCGGACCTCTCGATCTGGGCTGGGTTGTTCAAAGCTGGGTTAAGATAACCCAGGATTAGTGTGAAATGTGATTTCAGATCTGATAGCTTTAAAAGAAAATTCAGTAGAATTATTTTTGTCTAGACTATGACTCTTTGACGCTCTAAAAAGAACATAGGACATCATCCCAAAAAGGCTTTTGAATAAAGGAATAAATAAACCCAGATTAAAATTTTAACTGTGGGTTAGCGCTAATCAGCCTTTGAACAACTGGACCCTGGAATCTAGAGCGCTAACCGCTCTGCCAGCGCGTTGCTACAATTAACAAGTAAACTATTATTGCCTTCATGCAGGGTGGAGTCGAGTACTTGCGGATGGGTGATCATGTAGTTGAATTTAGTAGGGTAAGTTCAAATTATATTTTAATTTTTGGCTGGAGTTTTGCTCTTTTGATAAGGAGTTTCACATCTCACACAAGAGTTCGTTGTAACGCTACCATGTGTGACTCTCTCTTTGCATAACGGAACTGACCATTTCAAAGAACCCCTTTAACCCTATCTAAAGACGCTAAGTGTTCTTGTCTTTTGTTTTGTGGTCAGGATTTCAAGTTCTACATCACCACAAAGTTAAGAAACCCACACTATCTTCCTGAGGTCTCCGTTAAGGTAAGCTGCGAAAGATGAAACGTCTAGACGTGGTTAGGAATGAGTCCCTAGTGTTAGGAACTCACAGAATTTACTCGCATAGTGTTTAAGTTGTACAAAACGTAAAACACTCGTGCATCGTATTTTCTACAAACTTGCTATCAGGAATTTTTTATCGTATTTATCCTCTTTAAGAGGTTCGCGCGACAAAGGGCGGCATTAAAAAAAAAAGTCAGGAATCAGCAAACTTCGTCTGATTGCAAGTGGAGTGCCACTTTTAAAACCACATGTACTATTGATCGGATAGCATTTTGATCGCCAGTGATTCACCCAGGCATTTTTTCTCTGCACACCAAATTCCTTTTAAAGACTGTGGTCCGGCCTAAAAACACCTTTGTTCAACATTGTAGCACCTTATAGGTTATGATTAACTTTTCACCCACAACTGTTTGATTGACAGTAGTGAAACTCTAGAGATACTCGGCGATTCCCGAAGCTAACTTTGTACACCAATCACAACGGACTATTTCTTAATCCATAGCAGTGACATGTCGTGGAAACTAGTTATAAATGTGAACCTTGTATGCTGGCGCGGCGCAACAGCTCCTTTAGAAAAATGTTCTCTGTTCTTTTTATAGATTTGATTTGTTTTCCCCCCACCTTAGGTGACCCTTTTGAACTTCATGATCACACCTCTTGGCTTGGAGGATCAGTTACTGGGGATAGTGGCAGCGAAGGAAAAACCTGAGTTGGAGGAGAAAAAGAATGAGTTGATCATAGAGAGCGCTAAGAACAAGAAGCAGTTGAAGGAGATTGAGGATAAGATTCTGGAAGTGCTGTCTACTAGTGAAGGCAATATTTTGGAAGACGAGACTGCGATCGAGGTACCCAGTCATTATGCGGTTTACTAGTGCTGCAAGTAAACACGGCTGTGCTTAGATAGATGAAATCTTTCCACGAAAGTATCTGTGAATTTTTGTGCCATGACAGACTTAGATGCAGTCGTATGTGAAGATTTTGATCGGCTGTTTCCATTAAGACTGTCATACATTCTTCTTTACTCACACTGTGTGTGTTAGGTATTATCATCCAGCAAAAAGCTGTCAGAGGAAATCTCAGTCAAACAAGAAATCGCCACTAAAACTGAAAAGGAAATTGATAAAACTCGAGGAGGTTACAAACCAGTGAGTAGAAAAGCCTTCTAATTCTTTTGTTGTAATTTACAGTACAGACAAAGTCATTCGGAGAGTGAAGCTATGAACTCGTAGTTATTTGTATCGTTCATTTTTTCCTGATAACCCAGTTATTCAAGCAATTCTTGACTTCCTACGTCATCACATTGGTATTTTTAGCAAGCATTACTTATTTTAGGACGGGCGCTCAGAAACCATCTCAACTTTTGAGAAAGTTTTAAATATCAAATGCACAAATATTGTCTAACTGTGACGTATTTTATTGCTCTGTTGGTCTGATATCTCTTGTTATTGTGTATTGTCAGGTGGCTAAACACTCCAGTATCTTGTTCTTCACTATATCCGACCTGGCCAACATTGAGCCGATGTACCAATACTCGCTGACATGGTTTATCAATCTTTACCTGCAGGTAAGTACTTTGCTATTTTATTTTTGTCCAACTTAAATACGTTAATAACATTACTTGAGGACTGCGAACGATCAGGCAGATATCATTGCTTATTGCCAAATCTGTTGCGTCCTTGTTGCCCCATGCCGAAAGAACGCTCAAAAAACCACTGCCAAAAATCTACGTCTTTCAAAGTTTTTTTTTTAATGGTTAATTGGGACGCTCTCTCCTTTGCAGTCAATCTTGAATAGTGAGCCGTCCTCAGACCTTGGCAGAAGGATATTGAACCTCAATGATCATTTTACTTACAGGTAATGAGGGAGATGCAATTACATTGTTTCTACAATATACCTCTCTATTTATGTGCAAGACCTATCAAGATGATAGCTCGGTGATGTTATTATTACAATTCGCCCTTGTCATTTCATATTGTTGACCATTTCATGTTGCCTGTGTTGTTTCATAGTATCTACAGAAACGTGTGCCGATCATTGTTTGAGAAGGACAAACTGTTGTTCTCGTTTTTGTTGTGCATTGGTATTCTGAAAGGAAGGTATGAGGTTTATTTCTACAGGCTGAGGGGGGGGGGGGGGTGAAAATTATATGTTAATTGTGTTCATTAGTGTCCAGATTAAGACAACATATTAAAGAAAGGTTTAAATTATTTCGCTCTTTCACTTCTTCAAAAAAGGTGAATAATGTAGTAAAAGAGTACGATGAAATTTGAAGTCTTTAAATGCACCAAAGTGATCAGGGAGAGCCAAACGTGAAGAATATGCGTTATCTTTTTCAGTTTTAATAGGATAAAGGTCAGAAATTTATCTTGTGGCTCGCTATACCTAATGGGATAAAGGTTACTAATTCATGACTGAAATACATTTTTCTCTGAAGTTTGTCCCATAGATATTTGGATCAATATATATACGTTGTTGTGAGAAGATGATAAATTTTATTTGTTTGTTGTATTTTCAGCGGTAAAATTGATGAGCAGGAATGGCGTTTTTTATTGACGGGCGGAGTGGCCTTGGAAAACAAATTTCCAAACCCTGCATCGGATTGGTTGACCGACAAGTCTTGGGCTGAGATGGTTCGATGTTCAGCGCTACCATCATTTCAAGGAATCCTCAAACACTTCACAGCGAGAGTAAGTTTTCAAAGCTGTACTTGGTTTTTTGATTTGTTACTATCATTATAACCGCAAAGAACTTCGTGATCACCTACTTTAGCTGTTCTTGGGACATATGTGATTGGATCTTTTGAAAAAGCTTTTTGGGAAAGAGTTCGGCATTTTAAAGTAACCCTGACTAGTAACTTTGTTTATTTGATCCCTCAGATTTCGGAATGGAAGGCGTTCTATGACTCTGCCACTCCCCAAACGGAACCACTTCCCGAGCCTTGGGAAGATGATCTTAATAAGCTGCAACATTTGATTGTCTTGAGATGTTTGAGGCCGGATAAGGTGAAGATTGCAAAAAAACTTTTTTGTACTTTTTAAATAACCATCCAGACTGAGGTGAGAGCATTTAAGGAGCTGCGGGAATTATTTTGGTTTCAGTTTACCTCCATGTTTAAGGCGTTTTACTCGGTGAGGGTCTTGTTAAAAAGGAGGAAAATATAACTGCTTATAAAAAGAGCACAAAAGTGTCTTGCAAACTCGATTCAGAAGTAACCGAGGACAACATTCTTCTCTCCCAACTCCATCTGAAAATGTTTAGACGTTTTAGTCTTGTATCGTAGGCTCGTCTCGTGCATATTCTCGCTCTGAGGATTAGCTTCTCCTTTTGCCACCTGGTAGCTATGGTCGCTCTCGGCATCCAAGTTCAGGCTAGCACATCGCTTTCGAATTCCAATCTAATGAAAAAGTTTCCCAAACCTGGCATGCAAACAAACTCTGAGACGGTCAGGTAAGGTTTATTTACTGTGCCGTCACAAGAAGTTCTTTGTAGATCCATTTCAAATTTCCCTATATCCTACATTCATTAAGATGTAGTGTACTTCTTCTACTTTCATTAAGATGTAGTGTACTTGAGTGATCTCCTTGCCATTGTCCTTTGTTTCTCTGACCAGCATATATATTTATACCGTTTGACCTTCCAGATCACACTCGAGTTCTTTTCTTTGACAGGTCACCTTAGGCGTACGTGACTTCATAACATTCTACATGAGTCCGGCGTACATAGAGCCGCCCACATTTGACCTGTCCAAGTGTTATGAAGACTCAGATTGCTGTGTGCCGTTGATTTTTGTGTTGTCACCCGGTGCAGATCCCATGGCCAGCTTAGTAAAGTTTGCCGAGGACATAGGTATGAATCGTGGAACCAACCATCAAGTAATAAAGTTGCTTTCCTGGTGAAAAGCTAGTTTTCGCCCACGACGGAGTCAGAGTCGTAATTAGACGTGCATAAATTAAAACCTGCATAACCTTGTTTTGTAACCTGTTGAGGCTCGGAGATGACTCGCTGTAGACTGCAGGTTCTTCAATACTTTGTTTTCTATCAAGTAATCCAGTTATTTCCGGCCCAATACTGTTTTGTATCGTTTTGTTTTTATGGTAGGTGTGACCAGGTCTCATTTTCAGACCATTTCACTTGGTCAGGGACAAGGACCCATTGCTTCAAAGATGATCAATGAAGTAAGACGACTGTTATAGAAAACTACAATTTCCTCGATTGTGATCGGTTTAAAAAACTCCTATTTTTCACCAATTAACTTGCCAAGTTATCGGACCGTTTGTTATCGAACAGTTTGTTTGTTTGTGCGGTCGCCTGATTGTGTTATCACTCGTATGATTACAGACCATATTGGACTCCACTCAGCCCTATTACCGATACTTATAGAACCTGAAAAAATTTGGTAGTGACTTGACTTATATTCTTGATAGACTGCGACCCTTCACCCTGAACCAATCACAAGTTCACCAAAAGTAATATTTGCACACGCATGCGTAAAGCTACATTTATACAAGCAAGTTCTATTTGCTAGGGTTGATAACATTTAGTAGGTCTTCCATGGCAAACTCCGTTGTCTGGAAATTGGCACTTGTTTCACAAGTAGGCTTTTTTTTGGGAAAACTTGCTTTTGTTTTGTTTTTAATGATGGACAATATTGTCGAGTAAATTATCAACGGCTAAAGGGAGAAGGAATAGTCTCGTGGCTTGTGCGCTGTATTCTGGATCGATGGTTTCGGTTCGATTGCTGGCCGAGTATCTGTGCTGTGTTTGTTAGCGAGACATTTTTGTCTTACTTATGTACATTTAACAATTTTTTTTGTAGGCCATCGCTGTCGGGGACTGGGTTGTACTACAGAATTGCCATCTTGCAACATCGTGGATGCCTATTCTTGAGAAAATATGCGAGGAGGTGAGAAGGTTTTCAACACTTACTATATTTTAACGTGATTATTAAGAGTCGAGCATAGATGGCTGGTCGTTATTCGTGGGCTATCATGCTACAGTCACAAAATCTGAGTGCTGACCGCCCCCCCTTCCCCATCCACTTCCTTGAACTTGATAATAATACATTCCTTTGTTACATTAAGTGACTGATGCGAACTTTTGGTAATTTATGCCATTAATTTCGCCCAGTTTATAATTTCCAACTTCTTATTACCAGTCTTTTTGACGGAGTATTTAAAATTGTATTGAAAATTTCATTGCTGATCACTCCTTGTCAAATGAACGACCTGTGAATCAGCGAATTCGTTGAGCAGCAGCAGAGCGTCGAGAAAAGTGCAGCGTATGCGGGGTTAAATATGTAGCATATCACCTTTACTAGGAGTCAGTAAGAAAATCATTGGAATTAGATGAAGCTCCCTCGTGCACTGATTAATAAACACCTATCTGCACTGTGGTATCTCGTTTAGGTTATCGTCCCGGAAAAGACGCACAAGAATTTTAGACTTTGGCTTACAAGTTACCCCACCGAAAGATTCCCTGTGTCCATCTTACAAAACGGTAAGAGACAGTTTGCTTTCTTTTCAGTAACCTCCTGTTTGATTTTTTTGTATGTTTACTTAAAATAACGGAATTCAAAGATTTAGTGGGGTTTTTTCCCAGTGTTAAGTTTACCTGAAGTCTCGCTGAATGTACGAAAATTCAGCATTTTTAAAGAACGAATGTACCACTCCAGCTATTGATGTGGTCAGGAGCTGTGATCTTGTGTAGGGTCTAGGGCGAGTTAAGCTCCTTTTCAAGCGCTCGTCAACCCGTTATTTCGAGCTAATTTTAGCAAACGAAGCCAACAACGCCTGTTTTACACATCTGGACAAACACAGCCTTTGGAATAACTGTCTCGTTGAAAAAAAAACACGAATATTGAAATAAATTCTCATTAAAGGACGATGAAAGAGTTAAACCATCCATAATTTAAAATTTCTTCCGCCAATTATCTTCCATAGGTTACTGTGATTTACGTTCCACTTTTCATCTGAGGGAAAGCATTAAAAAAAAAAAACCACGAATTATTTCGATCTGTTCGTCGTAAAGAAGGTTGACTTTTGAAAATCATGCGAACCTGCCATTTCGTCCAAATCTACTCGCAGTTTTTTGTTTGATGCACTTTTTTATTTATTTGTTTATTTTTGTTGCTGTTTGAGGATAGTGCAGTTTTCTGCCCTAGGTCGCCTTGACTGTTTTTTCGATGAGTCAGCGCGCTATGTCTGAGTCATTACTGACTCCCCGATCAAGGCTCGTGATGTATAGTATATTTACTCTGCACCGATTGAGCATCTGTCGCTTACTTGTCCGCTCTCCTGGCCTCTCATACTGAATTGAATTTAATATTCATGACTATTTGTTTGTCTTTCAACCTATTCGCAGGAGTGAAAATGACCAATGAGCCACCAATGGGACTCAGGGCCAATTTATTACGGTCGTACCACAGCGATCCCATATCAGACCCTGCCTTTTTCAGTGGCTGCAACAAACCCAAGGTAACATGAACTGGAATCATAACTCAAAATTATTTAATGACTGTTTTTTGTTTAACTCTCTTGTCTACTTTCCTGTTCGTAATTGGTGCATCTACTGAAGCGACAATGAGCGCTTTATGTATTATCTCAAGATATACAGTTACTACCAATTTTTGTTTGCAACGTCTCTTTTGCTTTACTGTAAGTTTTCATCAAGGTTATGTCTAACGCACTAAGAACACTGAACTAGCCAGCTATATAGCGGCACTAAATTCACCCTCCTAGCCTAATGTTGATATGCAGTACAGCAGTCGAAACGTCGCGATGAGCCGTTGAAATTGACTTCATATCGAGACAAACATATGAACATTCATACGTTAAAGAGTAGTTGGTGGGCCTCTTAAAGGGCTTTTCAACTGAGTATCGTAAAACCAAAAGCAACGTAATCACAACGGCCAATCAGAGGAGAGGAAAATATCTTAAAGAGCCGATGAGAACTTAAGGTAAAACCCACTGAATTCTCTGAAGCGCGGGAAAACGCGGATGACGAAGTCGTGATTGGTTTTATTTTTGCTTCTGATTGGTCGAGAGGGTGGCCCAAATTTATTTGGACCACTCACAGAACGAAGTAAAGCGAAACCATTGCAGACGCTCCATCGAAAACTCCTCTAAAACTAGTTGCGCTTTTCGAAATGTGTTATGTCGATGCGATCTTGCAGGTCTGGAAGAAACTACTTTTCAGCTTATGTTTTTTTCACGCGCTGGTTCAAGAAAGACGCAAGTTCGGTCCTCTGGGTTGGAACATTCCGTACGAGTTTAACGAGTCTGACCTTAGAATTAGCGTTCGTCAACAACAGGTGAGGATTTATCCTGAAGACATGTGGGTAAGAGTACTTGTTTTTTCAGTCACCCTCGATCTCTTACGGATCTCCTGTAAATAAGTGATTTGATTGACGTGAAATTAGAAAAATCTTCGGCTTCATCCGAACATAGCTTTTTGAGGAGTTTAGTTCCTTCAAAGAATTGTTCTTTTTTTTCTTTTTAATGGAGCCCTGAATACACGATAATCCATCTAGACTATCTTACGAACATCATACTGGTATAGTGATCGGAAATCTGAAGCCGTAGGCGTATCTTGAAGCTGTTACTGCTATTGCTATGAAATGGCCTGCTTTGGAGCTTTGTGATAATTGCCGGCCGAAAAACAATCCTGATTCGAGGCTTCAACTAGCTTCTTCGCATACTACACTTTCAAGAGTATTTATGACCCTGCACCCAATTTTGATCCAATCCATCTAACATTCCGCTGTTGTTTCAAAATATATACGCATCGCAAAAGTCAGGTTTGCGTTCTTCATCGCTCCAATCAAAGCATGAGGAGAGAAAAATAGCTGGATATCGCGGCAGAAGACTTATTTCCATGCCTTTAGCTTCAAGACTAAAAGTGTGTCATGGTTGGTTTAACAGATGTTTTTGAATGACTATGAAGAAGTTCCCCTGGACGCTCTGACCTATCTCACTGGACAGTGTAACTATGGAGGACGGGTGACCGATGAAAGAGACAGGTATGATAGAACTCAATGGCTCTGTGCTGTGGCTGAAACAAGTCATCAACCTTTCTAAGTACCATGGCCCTAAGTGCAGCTCCGAATGCCTTTTTTTCTTTTAAATGTCGGACTTTCGTTTAATGAAGTTAAACTTCGTTAGTGAAGGGGGTAAATTTCTAATGAAACTGTGGTGCTGCGTCTCGGTGGGGATTACAACAAGGTCATTTGATTTTATCAACTGAGTTGACAATGCAAATTTGCCACTTTCGAAACTCTTAACGGTGGCCAATTGGCATTATCAACTCAGCCGATAGAACAAATCATCTTGTAATACCCCACCGACGCAACACCACAGTTTCTTTAAAAACTTAGTCCCTTAATTCATTTGCCATGTAATCGCTTAACTCTTGTCTTTGTATTTTTCAATCCACATATTTAGCTTTGAAAACTCTTCACGGTGGCCAACTAACATTATCAATTAAAAAAATAAAATCAAATGATCTGCGTTGGCGAAGGCCTATAAATTGATCTTATTTGGTGTAAAAGACACAGTTGACGCAAAAAAAAAAATACAGAACAAAAGACAAAACGGAGAAAACGTTGAAAACAATAGGCTAATGAAGCGGTGTTTCATAGTGACGTGTCTTGTGTCTTCCACACCGAGAAGGAACGTGTTTCGCTGCGAAAATATTTTTATCCAAACAAGGGGAATTTGTTTTTGGAAACTTAAACAAAGACTCCTAGGACTTTGCATTAAACATTCTTACCCCCCCCCCCTGGTTTTCCCCTTTTTCTAACCCGAATACTTTCTCATTTCCACAGGCGTCTTATTTTGAGTCTCTTGTCCATTTTTTACTGCCGGGAGGTCACAGAAGATGAGAACTACAAGTATTCCAGTAGCGGTTCATATTTCGCGCCTCCAGAGGTCAGTGTCAGTTCGTTAAGGGACAAAATTACTATCCTTTATATGACACACCAGTGCTAAAAGCTACACTAAAACCCCAGTTTGGTGAGGCATACCAGACAGCAGAAGTCAGCCGTTGAAGGCAATTCGTTGATGACGAATAGAGATAAACTTAAACGGAACGTACACGTGGAACTCAGGGGCATTTAAATCCAATTACATACATCATACGTTAAAAATTTAATAGACAGAACTATAATGATTGAACTTGGGTTTACAGAAGAGGAATAAGGTTTACAACTATGCAAAACCCTCCTATAACACTAAATAATAGAGGAGTTCTATCTCCAAATCAGTGGCCCTTAATTTTCTAAACGTTCCAAATGGGCGCGAACGATTAAATTCCCCATAAACAAATTAGCGGCTTTTCCGTGTGAATGATGGATACCCTAGATATTTCTTTAATCTCCGCCCGTGCTCAATGTTGAATAAAGCAGCTTTGGAGAGAGTTCCAGGTTCGAGCCCCTGGCTGAGTCATTGTTTTGTGTTCTTGCGCAAGACAGTTTCACATTGCCTCTTTCCACCCAGGCCTCGAAGCTTGCATAGCACAGTCCATTAGATAAATCTCTATCCGATGGATAGCGCGGTACGTTTTGCTATCAGTTATCCGCCGGATAGCGATTAATCCGTTGGATAGCGTTATCCGTGGAAAAGCGTTATCCGTTTGATAGGGGTTTCCTTTGGATAGCGTTATCCGCCCTTTGAATAACTGGGCCTAGGAGGATAATTACGTACTGGCGAGTTTTCAGGGAATCCTTAAGGAATGCAAGGGGGTGGGGTTGCCTACGTTTGATTAGCATTCCATCCAGGGGTATTAGCAAGACTCTTATTCACTTTATGCAACGGAGACAAGGATGGTGCCGGGGCCACTTGGTTCGAGTGCACATTTTAATTCACAGATTGGTTGAGATTTCAGGACCAATCACAGAGCTAAATAAAGTAAATTCCAAGCAATTCCGGCTAACTTTATACACTCAATTGAAATCTGCCCTAAACTGATGCTGTTCTTGTATTGTCATTCTACCGTCACAGGGTCCTTATGATAGCTATCTGGAGTACATCCGTAGTCTGCCTCTCACTCCAGATCCTGAGGTAACTTCTGTTAGATAGTTACAGCCGTTTAAGTCTCTATCCTCCATCGTGAAATAGAAAAAGAAGTCAAATTCTTTCAGTGGCACTTTACAAGAAGTGCACTGAAAAGAGCTTAGAAAATACGCGATATTGAAGAAGCTGAAGAATTTAGGCATAAATACTGGCTTTATACTCATAGCTTATCAGATCTCAGGATTTGCGTCATCTTGCCCGCTCACGAAGCCATGCAGTCATATGAGAAATTTAAATATAGTCTACAATTTGTTTGACAGGTATTTGGTCTGCACGAGAATGCTGATATAACAAAGAACCAACGTGAAACTCAACAGCTATTTGACGGAATTCTACTCACGCTACCCCGGCAGGTAGGAAATGATGGAATCTCAGTGTTTCTTCCCTTTACTTTATACTTCTGGAAAACTACACTGTGATTCTATCAAGCGTTTATTATACAATCCTTAACACCACTTCTGAGCAGTTCCAACGTTCACACATGCGCAGACGTTTGACCGCTGTGTTTGAGGGGCGCAGTGCTCTTTAAGGATCATCAGCACCCCGTATCAGTGAGCAAAATAGCTCCTTAATTCCTCAATAAACTACCGTCTTGGCCAGTATTGCTAATTCACGCCCTACAATTCTTTCGTATTCTGTACGGATGGTCGATTTGAACAAGAGAGTGATTCCTTGAGTCAAAAAAGAAAAAAGAAATGATGGGTAACCGCACTTGATTTTGACGAGATAGCTAATTTCCTCTCAAGAGAATGGCGGCTGTTAAGAAAATACTGCTACTTTTCTGCTTTCATGGGAAATTTTGTGGGTGCATGTGACAACTTTCGTTACGAGATTTAGATCTGTATAGCGGGTGATAAGTGATAAGAAATAAAGTTTTTGAGTAAAGATGGATATGGAAATCCACTATTAAAGTTTGGACATCTTGACTATTCCTGATGGTGTTTTCAATGATTGTGTGATTTCAGACCTCTAGTGGAGGGAAATCTTCTCAGGAAGTGATTGAGGATTTGGCTTGTGACATCCTGTCGAAAATTCCTCTGCCTTTTGACACAGAAATGGTTCAGGTGAGTGGTTCGGTTATTCTAGAAGCAAAAAAAAAAATTGTTATGTGATCTTCGTTGGTAGTAAAAACTTATTAGGTCTCACAGTTAGTTCGTGCACCATGATTGGTCAATTGAACGGGCCGTGTTTTACTATGGCTCGCTAAATGTAAAAGTTTGAATTGAATTGAAATCCTATTCCTCTATTTGAACCATCCATGAGGACCCTCGTTTTTCCACACTCGGATTTATGGCCCGCGCTCTCCGCGCTTGGGCCATAAATCCAAGGGGAGAACTCGGTCCTTAACTTGAAGTACGGATCTCGAAATCGGTTAATAAGAGAGTAAGATATATGAATGAGTTATTTGATGTTGTGCCTCTTCGGTTCAATTTCAATCCATTCTCGGCATCGGCAAACTTGCCCCTTTTATCCATCAAAGCCTAATTCACACTTTCTTGTGCTTCAGAAAAAGTATCCTGTACTTTATGAAGAATCCATGAACACCGTATTGCTTCAAGAACTGATAAGGTAAAACCACTAAATCGTTCTTCTTTGCATAAACCAACTGACAAATATGAATCCCTGATTTTAAACTTCAACGCTACATAGATTTCCTAGGATTGCATCTTCTTTTCCCGGTGTAATCAACATTACTCTTAAAGTAGTCGAGTTGAGGTATGTCGTAGTGGGTTAGTAATAACTAATAACCAATATTTTAAGGTTACTAAAGTTACATAAGACAGCACGAGTGCTGTCTGAAACATTTGTGGCTGAATATGCAATGTGAAGGGGCTATTGTCACTCGCGCTCGACTGAAATACTCTTTGCTGGTTTTCATGCTATAAGGCGGGCGTCATGATGATCTATTTCGTGTAGTGCACTTGTTTATGAACAACTACCTTGCTGTTTTTTTTCACGTAGGTTTAACCGTCTTACAAATGTTGTTCGATCAAGTCTCGGGAATATTCAGAAAGCAATCAAGGTGAGAACCCTCTTCGCTTTTGATACAAAATGAGCCGAACCTATAATCATTTGCTCTGCTCAATTTAAGCCGGAATTCTTTAAGATAATCTCATACACATCACTTTGCACAAGGGCACGCGTGTCAATATATCAGCTAAAATAGTCCTAATGGATTGCAAAAAATACATATCTGTTTTAGGAAGTAAGCAGTTTTCTGACAGAAAATTTTGAGGTTCTCGTTACAGAAAATACCTAAAGTCAAATATACGAACCAATTTTAAGCCAAATGACTATTTCATGTTCTTTTTCTTTCAAATATTTTTGTAGTGGTGGGGGCAAACCCTACAACAGCTTGGTGTCAAAATCTATTTATTGCGGGGTTGTGTAGTCCATGGTGGCGGAACAGCCAACACTTTTTCATTTATATCCAGAAAATTTGCCAGTACTTTTTGACCATTTTTTAATGGATGAAAAATACTGTAATAAAAAAGCACATGTTCTTATTGCAAGCAGTAACCGGATAACCCAAGAAAGTTTAGCACAACAGAACTTAGCAGAAGAACACTTCACTCCTATTAAATAAAGCAGTAGCAAAGCCACAGTTGGCTGTACATTGATATCCGCTGAGTCGCAGTTATATTTTGTAGCAGTATAGTACTGCTATTGATTCTGTCACCTTTGTTCTCAGGGTCTTGTGGTGTTGTCGTCGGAGCTAGAGGATGTCTTTGGGAGTATGATGGTGGGAAGGGTAAGATTATTTAACACTTACAATAGCGTTTTTTCTTGCTTGTAGAATAGGGGAATCCAGTTGATTACTAGATTTCCTGGAAAGGAAGCTTTTACGAAAACAAGTATTGTAAACGTATTAAGAGAAGATAAAACTCTTGAAAATCATTGAAAGAATTCTTGAGCAGGTGTATGAGAATTGGAGAAATGTGCTAGCAAGTTGAAATTTGACTGGAGTGCCCTCTTTACCCCACTACCCCGTGGGATTATCTTTGCACGTAAACATTCCTCCGTTGTTACTGTGTTTTCGCAATGTATCATGGGTTGCTGGAAAAGTAAACACACTTGTGCGGAAAATTTGGAGTTTTACGTTGAAAAATTTGTACTTATTCTACCCTACGGAAACAGTAATTTCCATGCTTCGATCACCTCACACAGAGGAATTTCTTTTTAGTTTTCCAAGGTGTGTTTGATAATAGCACCTGTGATTTCCTCTCATTTCCAGGTTCCTAGTATGTGGGCGGCCAAGTCTTACCCGTCTCTGAAGCCGTTAGGTAGTTACGTGGCAGATCTCGTTGCGCGCCTCAGATTTTTCAAGGTAAGTTTCTTAGTGCTGTTTGATTTAGGTTTCACACCTCGAAGGAGTTTATGGATCACACTTAAAACGTTTGGTATTGTTGTTTATTTAGGACTGGATTGACGAAGGTTCTCCAAATGTGTTTTGGATCTCTGGATTCTACTTTACCCAGTCCTTCCTCACAGGTTAGTGCGCGCGGAATCTGAAACGATCCAGTATATGACTGCTGAGTCTAGAAGAGGAAATTTGTATTCCTTTAATTTAAGTGACGGAATCTTATCTGTGGACCTGGCCAAGTCCGTGTTCGTGCTATAAACGACTCGGGCCTCAATTTAACAAGTCACTAATCGGCTATCTTTCAATAACCAAAGCAAGAAACATTTTCTTTATCGGCCAAGTCATGCCTTCTATGACAAGGATCGTCGACTCGTTTTGATTATAAAGCATGAAAATCATCGTCACTCTACTCTCTATGGTTTAAAACGACTTGTAAGTGTCACTTGGTAACCCCTCAACACCCACCCCTCCATTGAAACATTTTGCCAGCTCTCCTCCACTCCCAAATTCTCACTTTCATTCGCGACTAAAAACAGGCATTTTGAATGGAGAGGGTTGGAGAGCAATAGACTCGCTGTCAGCTAAAAATTCGAAATCAATGTGTGGGTATTTTCAGGCGCAATGCAGAATTTTGCCCGACGTTATAAAATTCCGATCGATCACCTGGGTTTTGAATTTGAAGTGATGGATGAAGAACAGGATATGAAGAAGAAGCCCGTGAGTACATGAATTGTTGTCTTACGTTCTGAACTACAGCTTTCGCTAAGGAACCAGTCATTATTTAGCGCCTGTAAGGGGGGGGGGGGGGAGGGACAGAAGGATTTTGGGGTAGATCATATGGTTTTTAGGGGGAGCGGAGGAGGGATCAGTCATTGCCAACAGAATATAAACGGGGGAGAACAGAAAATTGACCGTTGATTAACTTGCAATGAGGTGGTTGGGGTGGGAATCATAAGAATATGAAAGGGGGGGGGGGGGGGAATCTGAAAATTTTATCGTGACTCAACCAAAAGCCTCCCACCCCCTCAGGTGATAAATATTAACCAGTCCCTAAATTAAATGAAACTCATTTTTCTTTGAGTCAGCTCATTTTATTGTTCTCTTATGCGATGTAATTTCTTAGTTTGCAAAATAATGCAACGTTTGACGTATTGTTTGTGTTTCTTTATTTGTTTGTTTACAGGAAGATGGTGTATATGTTAAAGGTCTTTTTATGGAGGGCGCTAGATGGGACAGAGTAAACAAGGTTCGGTTTTTTTCTGTGCTAACCATTCCCTTTTTGTATGTGTGGTTTTTATAGGCTGTATTAAAAGTATATATACTATTATGACTACACCATGCTAGGGGAAAAAAACAAAAACAATAACGTTAATGTTAAAGAGGGCCGCCATTGATATGGTGAAAGAGTTTTTCTTACGTTTATGACTTCAGTATGGCTGTTCGACTGAGTCTCGGCCTGTTTCCTCTAGGTTGTTGGAGAATCTCTTCCAAAGATATTGTATGATACTGTTCCAATTGTATCCTTTAACAAAAAAATTAGTAACATACACAGGATTCAAAGCTGGAGACGTGCTAGCCTAACGGTCAGTGCGCTGGCCGGATTCCGGGTGGATAGGTCCGGATTCGAGAGCTGGCCAGTTCATTGTTTATTGATCTTGGGCAAAACACTTAATTTGCCTTCCTTCCCCGCACCCCTCCCTCGTGCGCTGTAATAGAAACCTGATATAATGCTTGGTGAGAGAGCTGCCCTGTACTACTCACGGAAATCAATTTGACGTCGGGAAGCTTGGGTCACCTGGCTCAAGTGCTCAGCTGCTTTACTTTTTAAGATTTCTTTGTGTCAAATGTCCTGTTGATTGTCTACTTCTTACTTACATACTAATAATCGACCGCGATGTGATGATATTCTCTACCTCTTCGAAAGTATTCTCTTCAAAGGGGGACAAAAATGAAACTACCACAAACGTGAGCTTCCTTGACAAGCGAATAGATATGGCTCAAGCCAGGGGAAACAGCGGATTTTCGAGATGAGGGGACGTATTCATGCCCAGGTTATTTTTTGATCAATATTTTTGTGTATTTTATTCCCAACCACCGGAGTAGAAAGATCGTAGACCATGGTGTTAGTACAGCGATAAGTCTCAAGTACAGTAGTTATGTGGAAAACTCGTGGGTAATAAGTATTGTGCCATCAATGGTAATCGTTGCATCAGTGTTGCCTGTTAAATATAAAGGCCAATCAGTATTTTGGCCCTTACCAGGTCAGTACATTGCCAAGGGATCACTTATTACTTTTCGCCTGGGGGTCGGGGGATAGCACAGTTTTCAAGGGGAACGGAGGTGGGGACGTATGGGGGATCAGTCGTCGCTAACAGAGTATGAAGGGGGACTATCAAAAATTCGCTGTCATTCCGGGGAGAAGTTTTTTAGATTAAAACAGTTTTCCAAAGCTATGAGAAGCCGTGCTCAAGGATTAACGGGCAACCTGACTGAAATAATTTCCTCACACTTGTTGCCACAACTAATTGATACGTTTTCTGTTTGTTATTCTAGTTTACAAAACAAGTGCTCGCCGAGGTGTACTTTCCACAACTGGTCATTCGACAAATTATGTCCTGTCAATCAACCTACCGTCCAAGAGAGCAGAGAATCACTGGGTTGTACGAGGAGTCGCCATGCTTTGTCAGCTGGACGATTAAAATGGCACGACCGAGAAATGTCCTTAATAATATAGGACTATTTTTGGTTGAGTTTGGGTTGCTAAGTTAGTCGAAAAGAACACCTATCGGCCAGGCATGCGCAAGATGTTTTTTAGCTTCCTATGCTCAATTTGATTTTTTTTTAATGCAATCAAAGACTGATCAAACTTCATTTATTGTTTTCCTTCATAGTAGATCACTTGAGAAAGCTCTTATTAGTTGTGCAGACATCATACTCTAGCATTCCTACTTTAATTCCTTGCTGGCATTTTTAAGGGACACCTGGTTGTTAAGTTCGTTGTATTATTATTTTTTTCTTGAAAAAGACGGCGGGTCACACATACTCCCCCATCACCTCCCACCTCAAAGTTCGTTCTTGAATACAACAAAATACTTATCGAACCTTACATGCTTTTGTTACTTATCATGTGGTACCTACTAATTGAATTTGTTCGCGCGGGACGCGGGTCAATCTGCGTCCGTTACGCTCGACCGGGCATTTTCCCACCAATCGAGAGATTTTCAAAGCATGACATTTACGTCTGCTTTCAGTTTTTCGTACACCAAAGTGAAAACAATTGAATTTGAATTTCAAAAAATACGTTTTTACTCTATTCATTGTTGATTTAAGGTTCTGAGGAAGAGGAGAAGAGAGTATAATTTAACTTGATTTGCTCGTATTGGCGTTACCAAACTATCCATTCATTTCATCACTTATGCTACCTTAATAACTTGCGTACTGTAGTTTTGAAAGGTAATGGGAATGTTTACCGTAGATTTAAGTGTATTAACAAGTTTGAAATACGGAAACCTGTAGAAACTTTCTTATCGCATATAGAGTCAGCAGATAAGACAACTTATTTATCGCTTGAAGAGTTTTTATCGCCTAAAGATGATAGTTTGCAATAATAAACATAGTGAATTATTTTAGAATTATTCTTCACAAAAAATAATTTATTACACAGAGGCATGTATTTATCTCTATGACTCAAAATTAATTTAATAATGAGCGCAATATTTGATTAGTAAATTAATGTACTGTAGTCAGGTTTTCTAGAAAGCTCGTCAGTAGTAGTTCTAACTGTTTTTATTAAAATATTGTTGATCATTTCAAATGAAGTGTAGTGTTACTGTTCGACGTCTTGGTGCAGTTTGTCCCAACCGCAAAATGGAGTCCTAAACACTTCCGACGGGTTTTCATTTTAGGACGTGTTTCGATGTTTCACACAGAACATTACTGTCCATTAATGTTTCGAAAGTCGCCGTTTGACGGCTGATGAAAGCGATTTGCCATTTTCCACTGAAAAGCGTGGGTGTAGGCACGCATGAGCATAAAATAATTGCAGCAAACACAATTAGACGGTATTACGCATGACCAGATTTTAACTTGTCGGCAGTGTCGTCGGCAGTTATTAGGGAGTTTTAGATGTCACTACGGCAACGTGTGTTGTCGGCTTGCTTCAAACTAAACTGCTGTTGAAATTTTCTTGCTAAGAAGACGTAAAATTTGGTGATTTCACGTTTTTTTCTGTATGGCACGGCTATGAATGTACAAGGTTTTAAAACGAACGTGTTTTGCTGTTGTTTTGCTCATTAAATCTTTTGCCTCACTACGTTCTCGTTGCCGTCACCGTCGTGGTTTTCTTTAAATCCCTTTTTTCAGTTCACGTGGTGGGCTAGGAAGAAGAAAAAACATCGATAGCCAATTTGATTTACTTTCTGTGTTCCCGTTTCATGGCACGGTTGCAGGCACGACCTGCTTATTATCATTTGGTCACCAGTTCCATTCTCTCTCCAACCTTCTCAAGTATCACAGCTCTTCCTCACTTTTAAGAAAATTGCAGTTACACTGCATAAATTAACGAATTCTTCTTTAATCCCCTAACTTCTAAGAGTGACTGACTCCTAATTTCTCCTTACAGTAACACCCTTATAATCAATATAAGGTTCCCGTTTATCAAACAAATTCTCCTTACCTGTACCATAGGGAAGTATAGAAAACAGTGGCGAGACTATGGATAACAATGTGTATCAATATCAGTATCTGGGCAACTGCCCACCTACCCCTCCCCTAATTCAACAACAGTTAATTGACAACAACTTAAGGTTAATGTTGGGTAAGGGGAGGGGTAGGTGGGCAGTTGCCCAGATACTGATATTGATCCACTAATGTTAAAATGTAAAGGATAGTCTAGTTCAGTGCAAGCTGATGTCGCGGCGATTGACATTGTGTTGTTATTCCGGTCAAATCAGCCAATATTATGTTATTCTCTTGTCTCGAGCCAGCGTCTTATTTCTTACCAATTGTCATCTAGTCATAGATCGAACAAACAACCCTCGTTAATTATCAAACATCTCCTAGATCATTTAATATTCAAAATTGCTTTAATCGCCATGTCATTACTCATACAGTCATTATATGAAAAATTAATGCTCGAGGATTTTCCCACGTTGTTTGTATGGAAGGGGATCCATTTAAATTCCATTCACTCCCCTCCTTTGTTTCCCTTGAGACCCTCACGATTAATTTGTGTAAAGATATCGGTTTCAGTAATTAGCGAGCTAATTAGTTCTAATTAACCATATTACAAATGCCTTTTTCAGAAATTAAAATAATTGACAGGATAACTCTCCTCATTTAACACATATGAAACAACCCCAGCTGACGGATAAAACAACGGTTAAAGAAACGGTATGTTCACTGATATGGCTTTTGGATTTTATCTTTTTATCTCTTCGTTTCAAGTGTCTGTTTCCTTTTCAAATTTATAATGGTTTACAAAATGACTGATAATTATTCGGTTCACAGGTATTGAAAATGAGCAGAGAAATACTGATCTCATTTTGCGTTCTCCATTTTTTTAGGCTCTGGTAAACTTTAAAAAAAAAACTGCTAAGCCATCTTAATCACCAAACAGGTGACATTGGGTAAATTCAAGAATGATCAGTTCCTGAAATTATCTTGCTTGAGGCTTGCAATGGCCTCTGTAAATATTTTGACATGACAAAGGTCTGGGAGCAGATACAGAAAAAATTAAGTTTCGTTCCATCATCGCCACAGAAAAGGTCTGACACTTGATTTTGGCCGAGAAAGACCTCCTGATCATATGAGGTAGTTCGTACAGTGGAATTGTGGTATACTTTAGTTCCATAAAAACGCGACAAAAAAAAAAAAACGAGGCGAATATCTAGTCATCTTGACTGAACCAGTGGTCAATAAAGGATTTATTATATAACAAATAGATTTCGCTTATTAAGAATCAAGAATGACTTGTTAATTTCGAGAATCGGGAGAGAAAGCCAACCATGTTTATAGCACAATAAACCCACGAGAGCTTTATGATTTGTGTATTTTGACTGTCCACTGCTGCTTTTTGCATCTCCATCGCAAACATTTTCCAAAACTTACACACTTTGTAAGTCCGCTACACGCAACTTTTTTTCTTGCGCGGGATGAAATCGGGTAATCCATAACGGGCAAGATGGGCCCATGTTACTCGCGCGGGTAGCCAATCAGCACACAGATTCGCCTCATATTGCGTTCTCAGCGATAATATAAACCAACGTAGCAATCAAATGGAAGAATCGTAAAAGTGCACGAGATGCTAACGTAACAATCCATTGAAAGAGAATTCTAAAAGGCCGCGAGATATATACATATACCAATCCAATGAAAGAGAATTCTAGAATCGTATTTGCTTATCCATTAGGAGCTAAAAGGCTAATGTAGATCTCAGTCTCGTTTCCATGCTAAAATATTAACGCGTGACAAAAGAGCCCAGTACTTTGAAACGTATACCACATTTTAACTTTTCGAACAACCTCACATCGAACATGATGTCTTTCTCTACCAGAGTGAATTGTCAGACCATTTGACAGACAAGGAGAAAGGGTTGCAGTTAAGAATAGCACATGGACATCACAGTATGTTGTCAAAGAATTACATTAGAACTTACTGAAAAGGCCATGAATTATAACCCGGTAAGCTGTACCGTGTTACTGTAAAGGACATAGCAGAATGGTGGGCGATGGTTGGACGAAACTCAGTTTTTCCAGTTTCTGCTCCCTGACTACAGCCGAAGGCGAAGTGAATATTAGATTATTTAACAATGTTTACTGAGCCTAAGGCGAATAATTGTTGAAGTGTAATTGCTCAGATCCTTTCGAATTCTGTTGTAAATAAAGAGAGAATTGCGCATATTTTGTTACAGTTGGGGCGATTACCTGTAACAAAATAAGCAAGGAAGTTTTAGCAGGTTTATTTCATTAATCAGCAAAAACTTCATATCTTTCTTTTGAAAAGTGTTTCGAACGAACTGGGTAGCACATTTTGTGTTCTACGTAATTGAATTTCTTCTATCGCGTTTGTCACTTCCTCAGAAACATGACAAAACGTGAGGGAGCCATTTCGAGATTTAGGGAACCTGGTATAATCACCTCGCGCGAGGTGATTACAGCGAGATATGACACAATATTCGACCAATTAGAGCGCGTTCATCTCTATAATCAATGAAGCAGTTACACAAAAATATAAACATCATATATTTGAGCTGCGGTTAAATTGTAGGCATATGTCTACAAGCTACACCCAGTCACTTATTGTGCTTACTGCCTCCAGTATTTGTCCGTCAAAGCACTCATACACTTTTTAGTTTCATCAAAAACTGACTTATATCGCTAAATTATAGCACACCATTCGACCTGCTCCGTCGGGAAAATCTAAAAGATCATTAAAAGCGGCCAATTGTGACCTAGATGTCAAAGTACAGTGGATTTTCCTTTGCAGTTAAACTAAGAAACAATTTTACTTACTTTCCAATTCTACTCATGGCGTCATAGAAACGCGATAGAGTTTACTAGGTTATGATTTATTTCATTTTCAGTGGGTTTTTATGTTATTCATGAACATCATATTGTGATGTTCATTTCAGCCATGTGCTATTCTTGATTGCCATCTTCTCCCTGTCCACGCGCAAACGCCTGCCTCCAGCAAAGTAATCGCAGGCACCGCCTACCACCGCGCCTCTGTGTGGTCTCTCTGTTCGGCCAAACGAACGCAACATTGCAACGCAACATCTTGTAACATTGTAGGATCGTTTTGTTAGACGTTATAAAGGAGCTGGCCAAACGTGCACAACATCTTGCAACATCCCGCCAAAAATGTTGCAACAAACTTTGACCATCTTCAAACTTGATCCAACACCATTCTACATCTTGCCAAATAGTGTGTTATGAGTAATTGTTGTAAATATAAGCTTCTAGAAACCTCCAGACTGCTTAGTTATGCTGACACGTGCACTATAGAACTTTCTAGAACATTTCATCAAATCACGCACTAAAATAGTTCTTTTGTAAGCTTCTGGAATTGTTCCAGAACACTTTATAAATGTATATAAGGACTCATTATGTTGTAGTAGTTTTTGTTGTCGGGAGTGACCGACTGTGTAGAGAGCTATACCGTGAGAGAGAGCGTTGGTGGGAGATTGCTAATTTTAAGAAACGTTAAAAAAGTTAAGTGTATATGCACAATAAACTTGACTTGAAACTTGACTTGAACATGTCGCGTGCAACAACGATGTAAGATGTTGCGTTGAAAAATGCGTGCGTTTGGCCGGGCCTTGGTGTGACATTTCAGCAAAGTGTCCCAGGCATCACCTACTACCACGCCTCTGTGTGTTACAGATGGATGGAAGTCGATGATTTAAAAAATATTTTAAGATAAGTCAATAAGCCTGGAAACAAGTTTTTTTGCAAATGTTTGTAATATCACAGGCAATTACTTGCGTCATTCCATGATCCCTCGTTCACAAATGATCACGGAATATCTTTTCTGAGAAATCCATCTGAATATCGTTGATATCACCCTCTCCCCCATCAAAACAAATACTTTAAGGGCGAAACAGAAGGAAACATCATCTAGAGCAGAAGCTTTCTGTACTCCTTTGTTTTACAAAAATTGTCATAGAAAGCTGCGCTAATCACTGTGACAAAAACTAAATTCTTCTCCCACATTTTAATTTGGAGACAATGGAAGTAAATTATTCAGACCTCTCCCCTGGGGATATTTTGACGCACGTGCTTCAACAAACGCTGCCATCTTGAATGGCAACTGCTTCTGATCAATGCGACATAAAAGTCAGTATTTAATGTGACATACGGCCCGTTGTTCATTTTCATTCAAGGGCGATTCAACAACGCTATGGCTGACTATCTGATAGCTGGCGGCACAGGTTATGTGCCTCAAGACGGAATGACTGCCATGCAGTTATTTGGTTGTGGCGAAGGTTTAACTTACAAGTAAGTGAAATAAATCAAATTTTGCAAGGGAATTTTTTGTCTTTTCGTTATTGTGGCACAGGCAAGGCTTCAGTTGCTTTAATTTTCTGAAATTTTCTATGGACAGTATCGCGTGTGGCACTACGTGAAAACGAATTTTTACCACGCACGCCTTACTTTCAAATTGCGGAAACATTCACGAGGAAGTTTGATCAAACCGCCTTTAACGTCGCTTCGCCTTCGCATCAACATAATCTGAATTTTTAACGCAAGGATTCTACTTCAGCACTTGAATACATTTACCTATGTGAAAAATTTTCCGAGGCTTCCCTATCAGAATTTCCTAAAACCTTTCACAATCTTGTGATTGGAAACCGATTGAAGGTTTTCGATTTTCTTATTTGCTCATCAAAGGCATGTCATACACGAATACACAACTGATTTTTTTCTTTTAGTTTTATTTTATTTTAGGTTTTGAAAAAACCGCTAATATTGTAATGATGTTTTGAAACGGTGTGGTGTTAGAAATTCCTTACTTGGTTAATAGGTAGAGAACAAAAGATGAAGTTATCCTTCAGGCGTTTTTGTGTTCGATGTTTTGGTGGATTTTTCAGTCAACAGCCAATCTTCGTCTCTAAGAGTACTGAGATAACTCAATCTAAAATCTGATTTCTGTATTCACGGCAAAAAATAATTATATTATTCCGGTAGAAAGGACTCAAGGTTCGTTCTTAAAATTTCTTGACTTTAGAGAGAATTATAAATATTTTTTGTTTTGAGGCAAATAGATTTATGTTGCTGACGATGTAATTTATATGCTGAGTCATGCGAAAAAGTTGTTCAGCTTGTCAACAATAATTTTTTGCCATGACCAAGTTAGTTTAGTATTAAAGCATCTTGGTCTTCTTCAAACAAATATTTTATGAGGACAACATGAACCTTTGTGGCTAACGCTTTCAGGGCAGGTGAAGTCAGATTGGTTCCTGTAAATTGGCAATTCAGATTATTTCTTAAATAATAATAAGAGCTGAAGGGCCCTTATTTCATCACAGTATAAGAATTGAAAACATTTCTTACCTGGTCAGGCTGTTAAAAAGTTTGTCAGTAGAAGGCTCTAGAAAACCCCTATCCAGCTGATCAACACAAGAATTATCCCGATTATAGCATTAGCAACTTGTCAGACAATCAGCCCTATATGGTCTGTGGACTTGGTAACATGCAGATTGTCTGTATTTGCAAAAAAAAAGGAAAGAAAGAAAGCAATAATTCAAGAGGCTGTCAGCTTTACCTTCCCCTTATTGGTCTGTGGATGGGTGTATCTCAGGGTGGGAAGGTGGGTGTATCTTAGGGTGGAAGGGTGGGTGTGTCTGAGGGTGGAAGGGTGGAGGTGGTTGAAAGATACTATAAACTTCAAAGGTACAAAAAGGTACCCATGGATGAACAGATTAAGATCCAAATGATAAAGTGGCAAACCCCCTAGCTTCAACTTCCCCCATTTTTTTTTTTATGAAATAGTTTAGATATTAATGAACTATCATATTTTCTCCTGTTCCCAAAGCATGATATCTTAATTAAAAACTTTCAAAATCTAGACTTTTTATCTTCACATTTAAAGATCACAGTGATGTCATTGTAACCAGCTTTATTAATATGACATTTTCCTTCTTCATGAAGGGCTCTATCACTAACCAACATTACCACATCAAAATTTAACAATTTTCTTTTGATAGAGAGAGAGAGGAGATAATTTTTTTATTGACCCCTTCACTGCTTGTATGACAAACTTGTTAGGTCACATAATTTGTGGTTGGTGTGCCTAAATGACGTACTCAGTATGTTATAAGTTAAAGAGTGAAAGTCAAGTCCCCTTCATTGGAGATGTAAAATAACCTGGCCTCTTAAACTCAAAACAAGTTCAAATTCTGGAAAAAAAAAGAGTCAATTTTCAGTGGCACATGACTTCTCAGTGGATTTGGCAGTTAAGAATTTGTATTTACTTTGGATGGTGATGGTAGCATTTTTGTTGGCTTATTTTATGTGCAGGTAATCTTAGCATCAAATTTCCACAAGGTGTTTCAAAAAAAGTTTCTTCGATACAAACATTTTCTGGCAACTAAAATTTTATTTCTGAAGACAATTTTATATTTTTGGTCACCTTTTGGAGAACACAATAAAGCCTAATAGATTAATTTTTTTTCCTTTTTTCATCAGTGACTTCATAATTCTTCCAGGCTTCATTGACTTTTGTGCAGATGAAGTGGTAAGAAGTTTCTGCTTGTGCTTTTTGTACAGTAATTTTGATTCAATTTGTTTTTGACAATGTTTGCTGATCATGATGTTCACTAGTAGTTCATTTGTTAAAAAGTTGGAGATGTCTTGAAGTTCAGTGTTGTAAGAATAATGAAACTATTTTTGTATCTTATATCATGTGGTGATGTGCAGTAAAAAATGAAATAGATCAAGCCCTCTGTTTTGTGTTTTAAAAAATTTTAGGATATGAGGTTTTTGTGGATGGCTGTAGTTTTACACTGAAAAATGAAAGAACATTTTCAACTCATAGATAATGGTTCATCTTGCAGGACTTGACCTCTGCTTTGAGTAAAAAGATCACTTTGAAAACACCACTTGTCAGCTCTCCAATGGACACTGTCACAGGTTTGATTTGTGAATTATGGACTTGATATCTCTCACATGTGTATGGTTACACATCAGGTCACAAAAAAACCTGTATTTGTAAGTGTAGATTACATGCATGTACATAACTTTTTTTGGCTGAAAGAGTTAAATGTTGTAAGAAACACTTAGTTAAGACATCTTTACTATTTATCATTAGCTTAGAAGTAACCTTTACCTTAAGATTCTTTTTTGTCAAGCAGAGGTAAATTGAAGAGTTAGTAAGAGCAATGAATGTTATTCTAAACTTTTGCCCTGACTTATTTTCTGCCAAATTGAAGTTAATAACCTACTTACATATTCTAAACAAACAGTTTAAGTCTTTTAACTTGTGTGAGTTATCAAGAAAACTGTATTTTCCAAAAAAAAATTATGAGTTAGTAACTCATTCTTATCTACATAAGGCATAAACTCCCCAGTGATACTTTTTGTCAGATTTTTGGATAGTGTGTGTTATCTTCGTAATCACTTTGTAATTTGTGTTTTTCCTCAGAATCGTCCATGGCAATAGCAATGGCTGTGAGTATGTTATGTTGTTGTGGATGGTTTACTTAAATTTAGGAGAACTTCCTTTAAACCCAATTGAGCAATTGTGAATGAATCAGTGATTTCCACAGTATTTCACTTTTGGCCAACAAAATACCCATCCCATCCTTGATACCTCCACTTTTTTTTTTTACTTGTCTGGTTCCATAAAATAATTAGTTTTTTAAAATGTTCTTTTTTGTTTCAAGTCCTACCATGTAAAGTTTCTTCTCTGAATATGAGTTACTATTTACCTCTCTTTGAAAAGAAAATTATTGCCTGCAAATTCATTTCTGGTCATGAAAAACTTTTTTCTTTTTTTTGGGAGGGCTTATGTTTCTTGTTTTAGTACTGAACAGTTAGTTGTGATGCATTTTGTGTTCTAAATTGTGATTAAAGTAAATTAAACTTCATCCTTAATTAAAGTGAAAATCTTGATTTTAATTATCCACATGATTGTTTAGAAAGTGAGCATGTATTTAAAAGAGATCATATCTGTTTTTCAGCTGAATGGTGGAATTGGGATAATCCATCACAATTGTTCTACAGAATTTCAAGCTAACGAAGTCAGGAAAGTAAAGAAGTTTGAGCAGGGTTTTATTCTGGATCCATTAGTTCTCAGTCCAGAAAACTGTGTTGGTGATGTCCTGGCAGCAAAGGCAAAGCATGGCTTTTCTGGGATACCCATAACAGGTGATTCAGTCCCCAGTCTTGTTAAAGCATCTAGTAAAGATAATTTTTCAACAAGTGACTTCATAGTTTATTTGTCATTGTAAGAAGGACATCTGCATTTTGTGTTTTTCTTGAGGAGTTGCTTACATTATACTGTCTAATACTACCTACTGAGGAATTTTGCTAACAAGAAAGTGGGCAGTGAAACTGAAGTAATTACAGTCTACTTAAATACAGTCATGTGACTGATATGCAATGTCAAATATTAGTTAATTGCTTGGGTTCAGCCTCTTTGGGTACAATGTTCTTCTATAGTGTACTGCACATAGCACATGTTTTTAAAAGTTCTTTCATTTAAGAAGCCTTTAAGAGCTAATACAATTTAGTTGAATCTGATTGAAATCACTCCTAGGAGTGATTCAAAAGGAATTTCCTCTGATTGAAGATCTGAGTATAAATTCTCTTCATTGCCTACTGAACAATTCCTAGAACCTTAGCTTTTAGAATTTGGATTTAAATTAGACAATGACTCCTCTCCCGACATCCCTTTTTTTGTACCCTCCTCATTACCTTTCTGCTTGAGAATGTTTGAATGTTGTAAGGAGAAATTAATTTTTGTCACTGCTGGGAGTGAAAGGTTACATCCCTTAGATCCAAGACAAGAAGTTGTACAATGAAGTGTTATTGTGATGGAAAGTATGTTTTGAATACATTTCTTTTAGAACAAGGTCTTTGCAATGTCAAAGTAAATGTACTGTTCAGAGTGGTGATTTTCTAATTATCATCCATTATAGAAAATGGTCAGATGGGTGGGGTTTTGGTTGGCATTGTTACCTCCAGAGACATTGATTTTGCTCATGAACCTGACATGTCAAGACCCATCAAGGAGGTGAGTCTAATGTAAAGTTTATGAAGAACCTTGCATCAGCAACAGCAGTAGAAATAGCAATGGTGACCACATCAATAACAGCTTGAGTTGTCTCAAAATTGCAATTGACTGCAATTTCAGTTAAAATTGTTACTTATTTAGTGCATTTTTTTTCTGGACTGTTAATTACTTGTAGAACCATTAAATACTAGAACCATTGTTTTAAAATCTGAATTCTCTATCTCAGAATATAAGATAATTTGGAAGCTATGTAGAAGTTTTCAGATAGGATCAATTAAACAAATAGATTCCATTGTGCAGTGGATGTACATTTGTTAAGTATTGGATGACAGGAGATGTCAAAATGTGGTAAGTGGCACACAAGGCACAGCTGAGTGTGTCACCAATGTCACTAATGTGATCTAAGCAATTCTCCAATAGATCTAAGTAAGAGCCGATCAAAATGCAAAAATTTCATTTCTGAATTTGAAGGTGATGACTCCTCGTGAAGAGCTGGTTGTAGCTAAAGATGGTGTGACGCTTCAAGAAGCCAATGGCATTTTACAAAGGAGCAAGAAAGGTTAGCTTCTTTTTTGTTATCTTTGTTCTAATTTATATATTCTGGTTATTGTGATTTTTATGTCAGTCTCTTCCAACTTCCCATTTCAAATTACTTAATTACCCTCACATGTGCTACAAATTAAGATACACATGTTCATCACTTGTGTTCCAGGAAAGCTTCCTATTGTTAATGAAAAGGGACAGTTAGTCTCATTGATTGCCAGGACAGATCTCAAGAAGAACAGGAATTTTCCTCTTGCTTCTAAAGATGCTAACAAACAGCTGTTAGGTATGCAAGGTACTACATTTTTATGCATGAAAAAACTGTGCCATCTGGGTTGGGTTTAATCCTTTCACTCTCAGAATCGATTAACATGTAACTTCTACCTGAAATATCCATACATTATCCATCAAATGAAAATCCTCCTAACTACCAGGTAGAAGTTGTGATGAATCTTGATCCAACACCAACTTCTTGTGACAAATTTGCATGAAAATGTATAGCAGAAAGAGTGGAGAACTAAAAGTCAGATCTTGGGAATTCAAGGGTTAATCTTGTTTTTATATTCTTGTTCAGAAATTTGTGGCCTGTATGTTGTGTGTCAGAACTTCAGAGTCATTTAATGTTTTTTCTTAAATAGTTGGTGCAGCCATCGGTACTCGAGATGAAGACAAGGAGAGGCTAGAAGCCTTGGTTCAGAGTGGGTTGGATGTGGTTGTTATTGATTCCTCACAAGGAAATTCTATCTTCCAGCTGAATATGATCAGGTGAAGATATTCACTGCCACATAATTAGGGCATACATACATGTATACTGAAGGAAAAACATTCTGTCTGTGCTGTTTTGCAAAACAGCCCTCATCATTTCATTCTGTGGGGAATTTTCTATTTGTAATGCATACTTCCACTGGTGTCAGTTTTCAGATGGTGAAATGTAATTGTGAGATAACACAGTGTGTCAGGTTCTGCTCTCTTTCCTTTTTTAAATGAATTAGTGTTCATACTGTATGCCACATCTGTTAAGTGATCTCAAGATATTCAATCTGTCTTTGCATTGGCTATTAGTTGTCAGAATCAGTACACTCTAGCCAGCAGGTGATGGAAAAATCAGTTGGTTAAATGAACACTCAATAATTTCTAGTTTCACAAGAAGTCACTTTTCAGAACTTTTATTTCATTTTCAAATTGAGGCACTTCGATTTATGATAATCCATTCAGATTCTACATAGGAATATTTAGAACTTTCTCTAATTAAACATTTTTATGAAATTGATAAATAACTTTTTAACTTGATTGGTTTTTGGAGACTGTGTAAAAGTGATGGTGATAATGACAACAAGAGCTATGGATATTGTGTCGAGAGGCAATTGTACTAGATAATTGTTATATAATTATTGAATTGGATGATTCAAAGACCTTGATGAATTGGAATATCACAAAACCTCATATGGTAATTGCTTGCTATTATGACAAAATGCAAGAGGCTTAAAAAGCGATAATTATAATTAAAAAATATTGTATATAATGATCTCAACTAGATTGTCAAAGACAAGCCACAACAATATTTCTTTAAAAGTAGCTTATAATTCAGATCTGTTATTTTTTTTTTAAGTTTTTACAAAATTGCTGATTTGTTGGATGCAAACTGACAAAGCATTGCAGAAGAGTTTGAAAATTATACCTTTTAACTGAAACTAGTCTCAAAATTAAATGTGGTGTAAATGAGGTCTGTTTGACTGGAAAACATGATATCTTCAGGTAGTGCAGTGTTCTCCTTTCCAGGAAGTAGCCAATAAAATTTTCCATCTCTATTACTTATTACAACTGCCTAAAATCTTTTGCAGTTCTTTAAAATTCAACAGGTTTAGGAATTGCTTTACCAGTTTTAAAATTTATTTTATCTGTCTCACTTAAGATAAGGGGGAAGACTGTAGTGTGTAATAGCTTTAAGCATATTTTCATTTTTCCTTTATCAGATATATAAAGGAAAAGTATGCAGATCTCCAAGTAGTTGGTGGTAACGTTGTGACAGCAGCTCAAGCAAAAAACCTGATTGATGCTGGAGTTGATGGACTTAGGGTTGGTATGGGAAGTGGCTCTATCTGTATTACACAGGAAGTCATGGCAGTTGGCAGACCACAGGGAACTGCAGTGTTTAAAGTGGCAGAGTACGCCCGCCGGTTTGGAGTCCCTGTGATTGCAGATGGTGGTATCCGAGATGTGGGGCATATTTCAAAGGCTCTTAGTTTGGGAGCTTCAACAGGTTGGATGAAATGAGTTTTTTTTCTGTTATATCCCCCACACATACTTTTTGTGCCAAGGACATTTTTCAAATTAGTATCCTTTCTCATAGGGCAGGTACATCTTTTTAGGTATTAAATACAGTATCACTCAAATGTAGTGGTAAGTTGACATTCTTGATCTAAAAGTTGAAATTAAGCTAGAAAAAAAAACATGACTCAGGCTCACAAACTTAGGTCAAATAGAAAAGAACCCTCATAAATAATGAAAATCTTTGCTGAAGATGGCTTTAAGATAATTATGCTGTAAGGGCACTATCAAGTTCCTAAGAAGATGTAATGAGTTGTAGTCACTTAATAATAGAGCCATTGTGTGATGGGTAAGCAATAGAAAACACAGTGTTAAACAAACAGAACCACATGGATCTCACTCTGCTACTCTAAGAAATCAATTGTTCTGCTATCAAAGAATGCAAAGTACATGTTATGTCCATAGTAGTACTTTTCAAGGATAATTTGCACTCTCTCTGTGGAATTTAAAACATACATTGTCAACAAGGTGTTCTGTATCTCCAGATGTGCAGTGAGATATTTTGTCAATTTGGTTTACAGTTATGATGGGATCATTATTAGCTGGAACTACTGAAGCCCCAGGAGAATACTTCTTTGCTGATGGTGTTCGGCTCAAAAAGTACAGAGGTGAGAGTCAGTGTTGTCTTTAGTGTACTGGACTGACAGCTCAAGGGTATAGTTGTGTTCCAAATTTACAAGTAATTGAAAAAACAATGTGCCAGAAAAAGTGTGAAGTGACAAAATAAATGTCTTTGTTTTTTCAAAACTGACAATAAATACATTTTTGTCTTGATGTCTTGAACCTCAGTGCACACAATGTTATGGAGTACAATATGAAAAAATGGAAAACAAAAAAAGCAAATACATATGTAGCATAAATTCTAAAGAATAAAAAACATTATGTAAGAGGCTCTCAAGATGACTTCAGGACCACAGTGATTAAGATCAATTGAATAGTGTGTTGGGGTGGGGTGGGGGAGATGGGGAAAGACAGAATTTGATTGAAGGACTCCTGGGCAAATGTAACAGGTAAGTAAAAACAGGTCAAAGTTGAGGCACACAGTTAGATTGTTGTGCCCAGTTCTTAAGAGCTTTCATAAAAGAAAACTTGTAAATGTCATTTGAAGGCAAAACCAAGTCAGTTTACCTTGTAATCTCAGCCTTGCTACAATGCAGCCCTCTTTTAGGTCAATTCTTTCATTGGCGTAATATTCTTTGGAAACTAGAAGAACCCAATAGTTTGGAGACCATTTCAGAAATAGAGTTCACCTTAATTAATGCTTTCAGTGGTGTTTTTTCATCAGGAATGGGTTCATTAAGTGCCATGGAGAATCAGGGTGGAGCACAAAGATATTTCAGGTAATGTTACTGCAGTTACATAGCAACTTTGGGGCCAGAGGGAAGCTACAGATTATATAAGGTGTTTCTAGACTGCTTTAATAACATACTCTGTTTATTTAAAGCTGATGCATTGAGTGGGTAAATTAAAGTGAATTCTTTGTTTTGATTGGCTAAATAACACACAACAACTTGTTTTGATTCTGATAATTAAAAGGAATGCTCTTGTTGACATACTTTGCAACTTCTTGGCAACATCAGAGTCACTCATGTTTCTTAAGATCCTTAATTCTTTTTAAAGATTATTGGCCCTTGGTGGTGTTCTTTCAGGTGTTTGCCAACTGGGAGTATTTGTAGTTTGCTGTTTTGCCATTAAAATACAGATACAAGGAAATTCAGGAATACCAGTTGTGAAAAGATCAGCAATGCTTAATCATCAACTAATATTGATTTGATAATTGTTTTTAGTGAGCATGACAAGGTAAAAGTTGCTCAAGGAGTGTCTGGCTCTGTAGCAGACAAAGGATCTATTCACAGATTTGCTCCATATCTTTATACTGGGATTCAACACAGCTGCCAGGACTTGGGAGCAAAGAGTCTTACTCAACTCAGGTTGGTTTCAGTGAAAAAATGCACAATACTGTAAATTTATACATCCCACGTAGAGTGTGGAATTCCTTAAAAATCGTATGAATTCTTGACCAAGTAAAAGAGAAGAAAATAGCAATTTTACTTTGCCACAAATAATTTCAAGTAGAGTAAATATATAGATTTAGCCAAGCCTAAAAGTGGAGCTTGCATTTTTTTTCCTGCATGTCTCGTCCACAAAACTAAAGCCCCTACTATGGATAACATGTGTATATTAATGGCTTTTCATTCACAACTTCTCTGTGTCTGTGTAGAGAACTGATTCTATTATAGATGCTATAGGGTTAAATTTTTAAGTCAATAGGCAATTTTTGGGGGTCTCCATAAAAAAGCTTGCAGTGAGAGGTTAAAAATTTTCAAAAACAGGAAAGAAAATTGTGTAAACTGTTAAAAAGTTTTCCCAACATTAATTTATGCAACAAGAAAATGTAAATCAATCTCGAACCCAGAGTCTCCTCAGCTATGTACAAGTGTTGCGCACATGTTATGCTCAAACATCTGCTGAACAAGAGTAAATCTATGGCATTGATGTGCCCGCGGTACAGTTGGCTGTGTATGCTAAAAGTAGCACCTTGTACATATGGTCGCATGGTCGTAAGTCCAAATTTTTTTGGCTTGATGGGTTACTAACTATTTCATATAATTATGGGGCTATGCTGCGTGCGCTGTGAGTTCCACTACAAGCTTATTGGCTACATGCATGCAAATGTGCTCCCCTTTTGGGGACAGGCCTGAGAAGAAATTCCAGATTGTCTGACCAAGATAGCATTAAACAGTAACAAAATTAGCAGTTGGGTGAGAATGGAGTTTGAAGTTGCTTCATGATATGTTTTTTTCCTATCTGATATCAGGTAGATGGAAGCCATTTAAATCATGGTACATATGAGTAGATTACTATGCTATTAGAGGGTTTACTTTTGGCCTTTTTATGGCAATATCACCTTTGGATTCTGTCTCCAGTTCAGTTTGGTTATTTTTCGCACTGTATATTCTTTTTTATTTGGTGTAGAGCCATGATGTACTCTGGTGAGCTCAAATTTGAAAAGAGGTCAACATCAGCCCAGATAGAAGGAGGAGTTCATGGACTTCATTCGTAAGAATATGCATTATAGTTTTTTTTTTTTTTTGTGACAAAATTCACCATAATCACTTTGTTGGTTCAGCTCTAACAGGTTTAATGTCTGAGCTGCAGCTGTAAATTTCCTATCTCATGCTCTTCTTAACTGCAATATCATCACCATGAATTAATAGAGTTGCTTAGATTTACTAATTGAACAATAGAATCAATAAACAAGCAACATAAGGCTATGTGTCAGTAGTCTAGTCATGCCTTTGATTGGTACAATTTGAAGAGTTTTTTTGAAATTATTGCAAAAGAGCATCGCTCAGTGTTTTTGCTGTGATTTTACTTTGGTTGGTGGAAACTCAAGAGGGAATCATAGGCTTTGTCTATTCTTTCAATATCTTTGTTCCACATAAATTGAGGGCTCTATTGAGCCTTAACACCTTAACACTAATATCAATTATTTTATACATCAATCAATTTGAAACTGTAACTCCCCCCTCCTTAGGCAACCCCCAGGCATTTGAAGTTTTGAAAATTGGTCCGCTCAAATTCCCTCCCCCAGATCCTTAATTGTGTTCAAATGCCCCACCAAGGTGCCAGATTTGATCGTCAATTCCTTTTGTAATAGGCTGAATTAGCAACTATGACTTTCTTATAAACACTTTTTCCTGAGCCACTTGCTCACAAAAGTGAACTTTTTACCTTTTGTCACCTCTTCACAGCTTCATTCGTTTAAATTACAATCAATAAATAACTGCCACAAACAGCAAAAAGGCTCAATCAGCATCAAGTAATCATGCCCTCTTGATTACCAAAAAGTTCTCTCATGATTAATAAAAAATGCCCTCTGTTTCAGCCAATCAGTATTAAGTAATTTTGCCCTGCATGTGATAAAAAGATAAAACACATTCATTCTGTTGGAGAGACTTGACAGTTCCAGTTCAAATTCCCCATCCCACATAGGCAAGGTCACCCCACTGATGATGGTCAAATGCCTGTGAGTTGCCCAGGAGGTTGTTTAAGTTTCAAATTGATTGGTGGATTATTTTCCACATTGTTATCTCTACTTTTCTTATGGTACAGGCATGGAGAATTTTTTTGACAACCTGAAGCTTCTTGAATTGGTGATCATTTCCTTTATTTTCATGTCCTTTATATTTGATTTAAGGGTTATACTGTGAGGTGAAATTAGAGGCCAGTCACTCCAAGAGAGAAAAAGGGTCAAACCAACCTAATCTGACAAATTTTCATGGTCTACCAGTGATCATATTGCATCAGCATCACGCTCTCTATACTGTTCATTTTTCAGGTATGAGAAGAGACTCTTCTGAACTACAAGACTCAAGCCATGCACACAAAGATCATTCAATTAACCTGTGCAACAATCCTCAAATGATGCTGATTAGAGATTTGTAAATATCACAAAGAAGAAATTAAATTATCGAATTATGTTTAAGTAGATGATCATAGGTCATTATCATGCACCTGATGTTTATTTTGGGGGATTTCAAAAGCAGTAGTCCATTTTTCAGTTATGTGCTTGGTTCCTAAGTCAGTGAACAGGAGTCAGGCTAAAGGTGACCTTGTTATTATACAAACCTTGCTGCTTTTAAATGCAAATTACTTTGTCATCATGCTAACTAGATACTGGTCTCTATCACAACAAGGTGACCTTCAGCCTCACTCCAAATCAAAGACTTGGCAACTAAGTACACAACTGTAAAATGGCCTATTATGTTGTACCCATCTGTTTTGTTCTTTTTTTGTTTTTTGCTTTTTGGAAAGCTCAGTAAAATTCTGCCCAATTTTTGAAGAAGAAATTGAAATTTTTTGCAAGGAAACAAACTGATATGATAGAGATACATATATATATTTTTTAATGAATCCTCCTCTTCCATTCATTTGAATACAACCTGACACAGTCTACATAACAGCAAATCCTTGGCAATTTATTACCACAAATTCTCTAGTATATTCCCCAGTGACTTGACTTGACCAAGGTCTTCTGCATCAGTGATTGAATAGTTGACCCAAAAGACTGCAGTTTGCAGAACAGATTCCTGTTTTGTTCACTGACAGTAAACACAGGCAGCTTGGAATTGTGAAAATTCCCATTATGAACATCAGCTTTGTATGGACAGGTTATGGTGCTATTTAGGTTTTAAAAAACTGTTTTCCTAACCATAAATTATGCTATAACACCACTGCAGAAGATTATTTAACCCTTTATTTCCAAGATGTGATTAACATTTAAACTTCTCTCTTTAACATCCCTATATTATCCAGCAAACAGTTAATGAGAATACTTAAACTTAACAGGTAGAAGTTATGTTGATCTAACTCCACGCTCTTACAAATTTACAAGGGAATGTGTAGCAGCAAGAGGGGAGAGTTGTCAATTAGATCTTGGAAATGCAAGGGTTAGGAGCTGGTCTTGGCTTGTGTATTATCAATCCCAGTCATTATCCTTGAGATTATTTTTTTAAACCACATTAGTCACTAGTACAGTCACCCCTCTCAGTTTGCTATTTGTATAAGATAACTACACACAAGTTAGTAGAAAGAAGATATTTTTTTCTGCAATCTCATCATTACTTACAATAAAGAGAGCAAGAGAAGATAAGCTCTGCTCATTGAATGCCTTCCCTTGAACATGAGGTAGTTTGCATAAAAGCAAAATCTCTAAAACATTGGCTGGACATATAACAATTTCCTCCTTAGTACCCCTCCCCCCCTCCGCTACCCACCTTTTAACCTCACTGCCTAATCCCCAGTGCCGAGCAACATGTTCTTCCTAGTGGTAGAGAGGCATTGGCCTTATCTGGCTGAAAATTTCTCGCCGATATTTATTCAGCTTTTCTTATGCGATTATGAATTTACTTGTGCTTTGTCATAGGTTACTAGATCGTAAATTGTTGATAGAGAATATTTATAGGTTTATTTCATAGATTATTGGAGTTGTTAGCTCATTGCCGCCGCCGAAATTCTTATATAGTTAAAACATTAAGGTTTTTAATTTACATGAAAACCTTTACTTTATTAAATCGTACTTAATCATCTTAATATGCTACTTGTTCGTCTCGCAAGCCTAACTATTTGCTTAATGATTTATATTGATGTCACTGTTCCTTCCAAAGGAATCTTTTCTTGTTTTGTCAAACATTCTTAATCTACCTGTCTTGTTCTCTGTGATGGTCAATAGGTGTCATTTTCGTTCTAATAATTATTAAAACTATGAAAATCGATGTATGAAGTAACATTGGTACATTTTCCGCCTCTCTCCTCTCAGTTGATGTTTGTTATCTTCATGTCAGATTCGAAGCCGTTTTTAAACAAATGCAATCAAGTGTTTGATCTGCACTACATACTCTTGTTTCAGTGTAATCTTAGTTTTAGGCTTAAAGCTTAAGTCAAGTTTTTTTCGTTTGGCTTGATAAGTGATCACCACAAATTAAATCATTTTATCTTTATTTCCGCCTTTGGAAAGTAGAGCATGTATTTTCTATTCACCACGTTTTGAGATTCTAAGTGGCAGCGGAAGTGTTTGGGAATTATCATTCATTGAGCGAAAGATTCCCGAATATGTAAGCCAATTACCGAAAATCAGGACTCAAATCTGATGAATTTCGTAAATTTGATTAAATATGTTGTAGAGGTGTTATCAATGAAACACCAGTTTCTCCTGTTGCTGAAAAAAACCCTAAATAAATTATCAATTTGTTGATATTTGTTTTCCACTAATTGGTTGTAGTTATTCCACTTCAGCATTAAATTTCCTTTTTTCAGGAAGTAGTCTCCCTTCTTGAAAAACGTGGATACTGGGCCGCACCCTACTGGAGTATTCTAAAAGCATAGGCCTGATCACAACCTTGCAGCCAATGACCGTTGTAAGATTCTTTCGATTCTTACCTGCCGCCCTCTCTTCACTGAGGAATCTAGAAATCTTCCTGCGCTATTTCCTCACCTCGCGTCAAGTGTTTTTACAGCTACTGCTGCTTGCCTATAACCATGATCGTAACCCTCCCGATGGCCTCGTAAACACCTCTGTAGTACTGGTAAACCTGTCGTCGGGGTTATCTCCTTGAATGCATTCCTGTTATCCTTTGTTCTCGCATTCTTATCAAGTTCATTTCTGAACTAAGCTTCGTGATCTTCAATAGCAAAACGGGGCGTTCAGGAGAGGAAATGCTCCCGCGAGCACCCAAATTGACTTTTATTCTGAGGGATAAGGTATTCATTATGCAGATGACGCCAGAAAAAAATTTTCCCAGTTAAATCGCAAGTTCAAGTGTGCAGCTGACCCATCTTCAGACGACTGCCTACGGGCTCGACTGCACCCCTGAGCCGTAGGCGTCATGAAAGTGACTGGATAAGAACTGGCCGGGTTCTGTTTTATCCCTCTGCATCTTTCTTTCGGATACAACTGGTTACATCTCAACGATGCATTTCGAGAATATCTTACTCTGCTGCGGGACTTCGCAACGAAATCGCTGCAAGAAGCATTCCATCTTCAAATTTGAAGCAAGTCAAATTTCGACTCGCGGTGTTAAGTGAATGCGTGCTTCCTCTGAATTATCATACCAAACTTCCTGAGAGTGTAATGAAAAATATTTTACTTCCTAAATCGTGTGATCTGACCTGATTTGCCAAAAATTAGTTTCCAGCCCGACCACGTCACGCAACATCCTGCGCAGAGCGTTTTGCGTGACAGGACCAGAGACGCTTGATTCCAATAAACAACAACAAGAACAACAAAGCAGTCTTTAAAATCATCCTTTTAATAATAGTCTCTCATCGAATCATTCAAGATCCCTAATATACAGATAAGATCCTCTTGAATTATCACAGCAACTGGTAAATAACAATAATATCATTTAATAATTAACTTAGTGACACACATCAAGGCATGACCGTGAAATTTTAAATCATATCTTTTGATAAGTCCTTCACCCTTCCACTGATCTTGGCGTTTTTCAGTTCAGTTCAGTTCAGTTACTTTTTCACTGTTTCACACCACAGTAAGCAAACTGTTGGAAATAACTCAGCCTCCTTGAAGTCATAACTGTTCGATAATTTCTCTCAAAAGAACAAAATTATCTGATGTGATGCACGTTTTATTGCTGTAACTGACTCTTTTTTATCAAACCCTTGGCAGAAGTTTAAGTTTTTTTTAAATATTGTTCGTTCCTTTCAGCCTCCTCCATAAAAGCATTAAGTAATACATCATAGACATATTTCTTCTTTTTTTTCTTTTTTATGTTAATCAAGTCACTCTGCTGACATAATAATGCATTACTAATTACAAGCTTAACTAACATACAAAACAAAGTGTCCAGTAATTCAACTTTTTCCCTCAAAGTGCCTCTGTTAAATTAAATTAGATTCATAGCTGTTTCTTTTTACAACACTGAAATAGTTTTGAGTGACTTTTAAATTCTTTTATGATCTCGTGAAATTCTGTCAACGGCCATGTTGGGCGTGTACGATAATTAATACTCATTAGGTTTTTTTAACTGTTTGAGGTCACATAATGGGGAGAGCAGAGATAAATTACTTGACATTATATAAAAACATCTGCCTTGGTCTGTACACAAAACTAATCTTCAGGACATCTTTTGTACAAATACACCATCCCTCAGACCTAAAAGAACAAGAAATTCATACGACCCATGAAACTAACCTTTCAACTCTCGTAAGTGACTAAGACAGAATTTTCTGCCTAAAATATAAATACGATATCAAGCAGACAAGTGACGAGAATAAATAAAAATATCAACTAGAGGATTACCAGTCGTCCCAATACCAAATTCTCAGAACCAACATGATAAGAATTGTATAGCAGAAAGTAAGGAGAATTACTAATGAGATCTAGAGAATGAAAGGGATAACTCGCTCTTCTTTGTGCACACACTCCTGTGACAGAGATTAATCAAACAAACACTGTACTAACAGAAATACAGACCCTCATATGTTCACTTGCAAATGTTGGACAGAATACACATTTTCATGATTTTGTTTCTTTATGTTGTTTAAAAAGAGGAGTATTGGTCCATAAAATGACACTGAACACATTTTTTCCCCCCTCAAAAGAAAAAGCAATGGGCAGCTCAAAAGATAGCAACTTCATGAACACAGATAAGTTTCCAATTTTAATGTACAAGATGAAAACATTGTGAGGTGGCTGAAATGGCAAGTTAAACATATTCGTGTCATGTTTGCTCTGCCGTATTCTTAACCAAAGCCACATGGTGTGAGAACTCTGTGAGCAGATATAGGAAATATATAGCATAAGAAAAGCAACTTACTGCTCAAACAGTAATTGATAGCTTAGAACAGTCCACAGTCTTTGAGGTTGTTCTTGATAATGACGTCAGTGACAGCATCAAACACAAACTGGATGTTGTTTGTGTCAGTGGCACATGTGAAATGTGTGTAGATCTCCTTGGTGTCTTTTCTTTTGTTCAGATTTTCAAACTGAAGCTGAATGTATGCAGCAGCTTCCTCATACGTGTTTGAGCCTAAAAATGTTGAAGATACAATTCAGTGACTTAGCACCAAGCAAAATTCCATGAATTATCTTGACCAGAATATGCATGAACTCTTGTTTCCTTATCACCACACAACTCTCTATGCTTTTCCATATTGAACTAACAATTAAGTAGAGTTAACAAACCATTGCATTTATAAATCTTGTAGACAAAGAAAGTAAAGGCAAGTACTGTGTATCTAATCAAATTACTGAAAGTTGTACTGCCAGACACAATGACAAGAACAAATCTTTACCAGTGTATTCAGGAAAGCAGATTGTCAGAGGAGACTTGGTGATTTTCTCTGCAAACAAATCTTTCTTGTTGAGGAAGAGAATAATGGATGTGTCTGTGAACCATTTATTGTTGCAGATGGAATCAAACAGCTTCATGCTTTCCATCATACGGTTCTGCAAAACAGAGACCAGCAGTTTCACAAATTAAGCCAAAATAATTGAAGCAACAACTACATCTGTTGATCCTTTGATAAACATGTGCTTAGAAACTTGCATATTGCACATTCAGTGGTTAACCTCTACAGAGTTACATTCACCTAAGCCATTAACTCAGCTGGCTGGTAATTAGATACCATGACCTTGTTGCAATTTTACCATAACAAAAACCTGCCTGTTCATTTAACTCTACACATCAGAAACTTCATATAAACCAAAGATGGGCTAGAAATAGCCACATTTCTTAGTAACATCTTCAAGATTAGGGACCTTAAGCAGTCAGGATGGCAATGCCACAAAATTAAAAAAAGGCATCAATTACCAAAGGAATCTATATTAAAAGCTAAAATTTTGCAAATGGCTGGATGTGTTTACCATCCCTTACAGCAACATAACTCAACTTCTGCATAACATTTATCAACAGAGTTGAATTCCATATTGAATGTTAATTAACTTCTTTTCTCAGACCACACACAACGTTTAGTTTTTCATTAACATTGCACAGAGAACAACTAAGAATTGTACAAAGTTTAAAACACAGATGCTGAGCTATTGTTCTGCTTGTTAGATCTTGTTCTATCATGTCCTTGTTGCCAATCTTGTTGTGGTTCACTAAAAATCCTTATTAGCTAGAGGTAGACACCTATATGTACATGTATCTTAGCCCTAACTCATGGGATATGAAGTTTACTTATCAACTCAAGCTGCTTAGCATTTTTTTAACTCTTGGGTGAGAGAATGGAACTAAAATCAAGATAAAAACTCTACCAGAAGCATTTCCATAACTTTACTGCCTCTTTTCCAGCTAATGTAAGGATTTTTAAAGAAGAATTTAATATGTTTATCACAATTTAAAGTTTGAGTGGAATAACAAACAAAACAAATCTTCTCACCATTTCCTCATCTTCTGCCAGGACCAAATCATAAGCACTCAGTGCCACACAGAAGATTATAGCAGTGACTCCTTCAAAGCAGTGAATCCACTTCTTCCTCTCAGATCTCTGTCCTCCAACATCAAACATTCTAAAATTTAACACAAAAAAATGAGAAATTTAAATCAGTGAATCAGTCAAAACAAGAATTTAAGAAATTATGCAGACTTCTAAACAAGATTTTCACTGACCATACATTAGATTAACTATTAAAGAACCCTATCACACTCAAGATCTCATATGATTCTCATGAGGTTAGTTTGGAGAATTTGGCATTGGATCAACTGATAATCTCATAATTACTTTCTCTTCATTCTCATCATTTGTCTGCTTGATATTGTATTGTTATTGTAGGGAGAAATTCTGTCTTAGTCAATCATAGGAGTTAAAGGGTAACTACCAAGAGAACTTCAGATAAACCCATTACTTGGAGAATACAAAAATCTATAATTTGCAACAAATAAAAAAAAAAAAAATGCAGCTTGCACAATGTCTTGTTCTGTGTTCACACTGATAGATGAAGGGATTTTTCCAGTGGTCTCTTAGTTTAACTTGTTTAGAACACTACTGGATGTTAAGCGTTGTCAGCATGACTTAACAGACTTAGAAAAACCAACAAAAAAATCCTCCAAAAATCCATCATTACTCCTCATCAGTCAACTCCACTACAAATGCTAAGATCAACTCCCTGAAGTTTTGTCTAGAAAACATTAAAATGTGATTCCTTGCTATTTGTAAACTTTCTTAATCTTTCTCTCCCAAAATAAAGCGACAGTAATAAAAATTTAAAAAGGAATAAAAATTGTCTATAATATGTAGAGCTACTGTTAAAACTTCGAGGTTATGAGTATGATAGACCTTCAAGTGTCAATTTTTTTTTCACATCAAACTTAACATTACCATATTGATTTTAACTATACTCTGAGAGAAAGTTTACTAAAAATATTAAGACATGTGCAAGTTATTTACAAAAGCTGAATTCTGTAGCCTGCCAAAGTGTGAATAGCCAATTATAAAATGTCACCATAAATGACTCCTGGAGTGTTTTGTTATGGAAAAACACCCTGGTTCTTGAATTTCAATCATGTACACATCTCCAGATTTCAGTTGCAAATATCGATCTCTGCTATTTCTCTCTGTATTAAACTACACTGCCAATGGAGAAAGAAAACATGGGGAAGAGTCCTTGGCGAAAGTAAAAAAGGAAGCCTATATGCAAGTGCAAGAAATTGAAGAATTTGGAAATGAAATAGCAAAAAAATCTCAACAATGTGGGTAGGGGCTTGTGGTTTAGGCAATCCTCACAATGTTTCTTGGCATACTTAAGCTGCTTTTAGGTTAAAACAGACAAAAAAAGACCTGGAAATCAAAACTGCCAGCTAGTGAATTGAACTAAGGTCTGTCACAGGACAGACTCTGCAGGACACCAGGCATTTCCATTTTTCAGAGTGTTGACATAATTTGATGTGTGGTCACCCACAGAAGTGAAATGTTGGCAAAACATTGAAAGCAAAAAAAATATGTCTTCTTTGAAAAAATTAATGGGGTCTGAAAATTTAATGAACTGGCTTGAAATTTAGTTGGAAGACTCCCAAGATACCAATTGCAATGACCTTTGACCCAATGTGTATTAGTAAAATTTTGATAAGCAACCTTGATAGAAAAATTGCAAGCGCACCATTGAGAATATGGGAAAGCCCCACGCAGTTTTAAAGACCAACCCCTCAGCATCGAAACTGTGCAGAAGTTTAATTTGTGTAGTCAAGTTTGGTGCCAGATTAATTAGCACAAGATATTGCCAGTTTTGCATTGTTACTTCTCAGTCAGTTTACAATTGGACTAAGCTAACACAGAAAAAGTTTTTTCCAGATGGCGCATTTCATAACCTCTCCATTGACCTATAGCTAATGGTAGTCATGCTTCTTTAGGTGAGAGACACCAGCAAAGGTCCACCATATCCTTAAAGACATGATTTATTTGAATATGTTTACTTACTTGAAGTGGAGATCTTTGAATGTAAAATGAGTCTCCACTATACCAGTGGTTTTCACTCTTGTTCTTAAGACATCCTGCTCTGTGGGGACATAATCTGGTGACCCTAGTCTGTCAAGTGCATTCAGGTAACTAGAAATAAGAAAAATATGAAAAAAAATGAAAAACCTGGGTATACACTGTTCAATATCAGTCGAAACAAAAGCTAAAATTTATCAAGAAAGAAAATACTGAGCACAATAAATAAATAAATAAATTAATACTTCCACAAGTAGAGGTTACTTCCCACCTTCAGAGGCTGAAAATATAGATCTTTCTTTTATTTGACTACACTGAATTCAAACATTCAACCTGATGTTTCCTTAAAAAAATTTTCTGAAGTCTTTAAAAGCATCTGGGTTAGTTAGAATCAAAGTGCTCTGTGAGCAAACTTGTGAATTGACACATGATTTTTTGGATTATGTTTAATGTTATCTGGTTTTGGGAATTTTGTGGTTGATTGTCATATCTAGAGTACGAGCAGTAGTTCAGTGTTTGCTAATGTAGCAAAAAAACAAAGTAACGTTGGGATAAGAAGGCATTACAATTGGGTGGGTGGATGATGTTGTGTTTTAAACGTATATCATTTTTGTTTCTGGTTCAAAAGAAAAGGTTGGAAGTAAATGTGGGTGAAAAGTGAAATTTACTGTCTGTCATTGTAAATATTAGAAAATCAAGGCAATACTGTCGCAATGAAAACATTAACGATTCCCTCTTTATCAAATGAGACAAATGGGAACGAGTTTTGAGTGATATAACTAAGCCAAGACTGCCACCATCATTTTGGATCTCCGCCTGGGTAGATTTAAGTCACGTGCTAGGCAATGTATAATCAATAACAAGATAGAATTTCATTTCAGGCCTATTTATCAATTTTGTGGTGTATAACTTTCGCATTTTAGTATGTAATATGTATTTTGAATCTTCAAATTGTCTTGAAACTTATAAGAAAATTGTTCTTTCAAAATTCACTGAAAATCGGTAGCTAAAATTGTTTGTTTAGGTGTTATTTGATTTTTTGTGTTAACTTGTAATTTTGTCAGTCGCCTGCATCTTCTGTTGCATCACACAGGAAAAACACATGATACGAAACGTAATGATTGATTTTGCTGTCAATCTCATGCCATAACAGAAAAAGCTTTTGAACATCTGTAAACTCTGAGCGCTTCGCAGTAAGTGATATTTTCAATGAATCTTCGAATTATTTTCAAGTTCAAGGATTGTAAATTACAATTATATGAAAAACGAAGGTTGTTCTGTTATTTCAGTGTAAATCCTTGCATGCCTGCCAGTCACTGGCGCCGCTTGTTGAAACTAAAACGAAAAAAAAAAACTCTTTTAAGATTATCATTGGCTTCTTTTTCACCCCACCACTATTCTTAGCAACAAAGGTCACCATTTCGTTTGTTTATTGCTTGCCAAACACTATCAAATGCACTCAAAAGCCTAAAATCGAAAAAAAGTTTACAGGAATCGACCAATCAAGCGAGCGAGCGAGTGCTATTCCCCACATCGTATCTACAACTTGCTCTTGCGCATGCGTGCAATTCACAAGTTAAAATGTATTTTCAAATATAAGTTAATAACTCAGGAAGGTGTCATAATCTCAGCAGCTGCCTATATTGAGGCTCATTTTCACCTTATTTCAATATTTTGTTTACATCTGGAACTTGACAAAATGTACATGTGGAAGCTCTTTGCTTACAAAAAAATATTTGCACATGGAAAAATCAAGAGGAAGGAAGTCCATGGTAAAAAAGAAAAAAAAACCATGTCTAGAGAGGAAAGAAAGAGTACAATTCTGTCAAGAAATGAAAAAAATTCCTTTGTGAAAGCAACTGGTACTGGGAGAGCTCCATGCTGGTGTCCAGATTGATTTTGAACAAAGTTGCTGTTAAACTGAAATTTGCCATACATAATGCTAAAAATGAGGTTTCCTTTTCTTTACACAAGTACCAGCCTTAAAACAAAAACATCAACAATTGACTCGAATCATAATTTTGAAAGCTGTCAACTGTCTTGCTCCTCAGCACATTTTCCAGTTTTTCCATCGATGCAACAGGTTTTTCTTTTGCCTTTGGCACTTTTGCTTATTATTGTGTCATCCTCCTCAATGCTCCACCGAGTGATCAAGATTAAAAACATGTGTCTGCAATCGCTTACTTTTCCCAGGAAATCTTAATACATTGTCAATGATGCCAGGAGGTACTGTGTTCCCACTGGTTTGCAGTTTCAGGAGGTGAGATAATCTCCTTGCGTAGCAGGAGTTGCTTGCAAACCTTTTTGAGCTAAAATCTCCCATTTGATTTTAGGAGGAATACAACCTCTTTAGGCAAATTTTTAGGGTATAGAGATTTGAACAATTTTTGTCAAATTTCACCAAAACATTCCAGGAATAGTGATGAAAGAAAGTATGTTGGGAAATTTTGATATTTGAAGTACTTGTCCTGTAGCATCCATTTACACAGCACGCCTTACATATTTTTAGCTACTCCAATATCTAAATATATTAGATTTATTATATTTTTAGCTAGGCCAATATCTCAACCACCAATCAGAATACTGAAAAAAATATTTGTTGATTGAAGCCTTGTAAACAAGACTGTGCAGCCATTTTGCTCATGCTGCAACATCTGATACCCAATGAATTCAACATAAGAACCTTTGGTTGTTTCACGCATTACCGGCTCCTGACACTTCCTTAAGAGAAAATTCGCTTAAATTACGTTTATATTGTAAACTGCAGTTATTAAGCTTTCTTCTGATGTATAGTTATAATTTTAGTGAAACTGGCATGCATACAAATTTTTCCCCAAAAGACTCCTGTGAAGGTAGAAAGTAACCTTAAAGCAACAAGGAAAGAGTATAATGGCGCAAACAATCCAAAAAAAATCTAAGAAAATGAATGACTACAAATAGGTTTGAAACAGCTTTTCAATTACCGAACAAAGTTTAAAGTGGATGTAAGTTAATTGTCTAACATAAGTTTCAACAAAGAGCAATCTCATTGTATAAAAGTTTTTCAAAATGATCTGTTTCTAATAACCTTTACTTATTGCCATAAACACTATCGGATAAGCTGCAGTCGCAGATAAGCCGCAATTGAAAGAGATCACAAGTGGGGTATTGAGAAAGTTGCTTTAAATTGGTAACATCATCAAATGCAAATCCAAGTAAACTCACTCACTAGAATACTTTGAATCCTTACCTACAATTTTAGCTGTACGTAAAGAATTTTATAAAAAACAAGAAGTCTTAAGTTTGTTTACCAGGTCATTCGAAGATAATAGCTAAGCATTTGATACAGACTCAGGCATATTTGATGAATAGTAATCATTAATACAAATTTGGGCACTTTTCCAGATATTCTTTCAGATAACACACCCCTCTTTTGGGAAAAGGTGCAGCTTATAGCCAATGTCTACAGTAATAACAAAAAGATTGTATTGTACATACTATGCTGCTGAGTCATTTAGCTGATATTCTCTTGATCTTGCAAAACAGTTTTGAACTCCATTATCATTCCATAATCTCTTCATGATTGATACAAGTTCTGGTGTGAACTTCACATCCTCCATGCTTCCCGCTAATGCAAAAAGCTCTCTGGCATCATCCTGCAATAAGCAGAGGAAGAAGTTTAAGTCAAGCACATAAATACAAAAAAAATCATTTATACGGATCTGACTACCTCATGTCTAAGCGTATGAAATTTGTCTGCATATTTAACATATATGTGAGCAGTACTGTACATGTTAAGGCTCTCACAAATCTGAGGTGTTATTGTAAACTCAGTAGAGGAAAACGCATTTGCCTAACAGTTAACATGCTGGACTCCAGGTTAAGAGGTGTGGGTTTGAAATCTGGCCAGGTCATTGTGTTGTGTCCTTTGACAACACAGTTCCCCTTTGCAGTGCTTTCACTTCCTTTCTTTAACCTCTCCTGGAAGTGGATGGGTTCATCTTTTGGAGGACACATTTACGTGTCCACAACATTTCAATTCATTGATACATCACTTATGATTTTGAACCCTTAAAAGTGACTGGCTTCTCATTTATCTTTACAGTATCACCCTTGAGTTAAATGTAACAGTCACAACAATATAGGAAATAATCAGTAATTTAGGAAGCTCCTGATTGTCAAACAAATTCTCCTTGTCGGCACCAGAGGAAATGTAAAGATAACAGTATCGAGACAATAAATGCTGCAGGGCGTGAAATTGTGCCTAATACAGGCGCCAATGCGACTAAATTTTTTACTTTGGCGACCAAATTCTGAAAATTAGTCGCCAAATTGGCGACTAGAATGTTTCATCAGAATCCTACCAAGAGATATAGTGAATTAAAAAGATTTGCAAAGATAATCCCCGTTAAGTTTGTTTCCAAAACGCCGCACTTGAAACTCGATCAATAACTAGACCCCATCTTGGATTTAGGTGAGCTTGAGCGTTGTATATCATCCATCCTAATGTTCACTTAGTAGTACGTTAAAGATCTTTTCCCCAACCTAATTTTGGAGGGTCTATCTAGAATGCTGACAGCGTACAAAAAGGTTTAGTCTGTTTTTGAAAATGGCAACCAACTTTTTTTGAATTAGCTACCACTTTGAAGAATTTAGGAGCCAAGTGGCTATCAGAGGAAAAAAATTAATTTCACGCCCTGTGCTAATGTTAGGGTGTAAAGTGATACAAGTGACTATAAACTTACTGCTCTGTCGCCGTGACCAAATTCAATTTTTAGTGTCCCTAATGCTCTGATAATAGCAATCATGGACTGTATTGTGTTGCTATACACTACTTGTCTGTATTGTGCACATTCTTCTTGAGTATAGCCATGTTCATGAATAATCCTATTAGATGTAAAAAGTAGTTTTAATTATTTATCAACTGTCAATCAGTTACTCAAATTAAGTAACTTATGCTTGGTTAACTGCAGCTTCATTGTAAAACACACCTCTTTCCGTGAATGTTTTAAATATATGCAAGTCAAACTTTACCTTAAGTATGGTTTTTACCATATTTTTTTCTCATATTTGCATAATCTTAAATTACCAAACATAAAATTTTCCATCTTTCATGACATTATTGAACAGAAGCATCACATATTGACTTGCCTACTAAAAGTCTTCCATACCTCAGTGTTAAAACATCTGAGGTACTACATGTATGATCAGAGGATTGTAGAGTTTGCCTACTAAAAGTCTTCCATACCTCAGTGTTAAAACATCTGAGGTACTACATGTATGATCAGAGGATTGTAGAGTTTGACTTCTAATAGATACATTGGGAGTTCTTTTTCTCTGAGTATGGTTGTATCCTTCACAGAATAAAACCGTCTTTCAAATTTTACTCACTTCATCTGTTTCACTATGGTACTTTTTCCAGATTCACCAGCACCTGGAAAATAAAAATCAACCTTTTCAATAAAGTATTTCATATTGTTATCTCACATTTTTCCCTACAGGGACTGTCTTGTGGTTTTAATTAACAGTTACATCAGTAGCTACTTCTGCTTTTAAAACAATTCAATGACATGTTGATTAAGAATAGTTTTTGTAACTGAGGAATAAATTTTGCAGTTTAGAGACCAATTCTACAGGACAATTTGGGTAAGTTTCATTCTTTTCCCATCAAAGTCCCCCCCTACATGATAAAAAACTGATGGTTTCACCATAAACACAGCTTATAACCAACCACTAACCCCATTGAAAAGAAAAGATTGCAAGAAAAGACTAGATTAAGCTGTAAATTAATATAAGCAGCCATTTGTTGTTTGATAATTATGTCACTTTATCTCTTTCTGGCTTACTATGCTATAAATATTTCACAAAAAATCTTTGAGACACCATGACTCTTCAGCCAGCGTCTCTGGTACTCATTGAATAATCCTTACTGATGTCCACATAATGAAAAACACAATTACTACTGTTAGATAACAGATATGATATGTAGCCAATTAGACTGTGGGATTTCCTTACATGATGGGTTTGAGCCGGAAGGCAGATTATGTTTCATGCAACTGCAAAAAGCTTCTGATTGAAAGATATGGGTGGAGAAATACACCACAAAATAAATGGACTAAACAATCATCCCCTTATGAAGCAAAAGAACTTACAAAAAATATAATAACATAATGGAGACTCTTTTCTGATGCACTAGACAATCATAACTCAACATAAATAGGACACCATTTTTGGCTAGCAAGCAGGCGTGAAATTAAAAGTTATTTAAAAGGACTCCTCCCATGGGGTTTCAGAGACAGACTGAACTGAAATTCGGTTTATTTAAGTACATAAATTTTTTTTAAGTGTCTCTTTTTTAATTAATCAATAAATTAACACAGTGACTGTTACATGCAAGACTGAAATTCTTTCTCAAGAGGAGCTTGTAATTAAGTTAAATATGGAATGGTTCCTCGGTGAATTCACAATCTATACATCACTTCTCAAATGATTATCTTCCTTTGTATCAAGGTATACTCCACAACCAAACAAGAGTTTTAAACTATATTCAGCAGGCAATGACCATTACCACAACATAACATCCTTTAAGAAACAGGACTTTCGCATTGAGACTGACAAGTGACACAATAAGCCGTCAATAGACAATAAAGCAAATGCACACATCTTAAGTGTAAATCAATAATTCTAGAAAAAAAATTTAAAAATGAAGTTTTAAAGTATTGTGAAATCAAAGAAACCTACTGTAGCTTGAATATGGGATGGTGGTCTATTGGTACTGACTGTCTCTTAGATAGAAAAAAAAATTCTTAAAAAAAAATAACCCAATCACATTGCTATCACAAGACAACTGCAGAGTTTCAGAAGAAAAACAGCTTAAATTAAGAGACCAAACAGGATGAACCAATGTACAGTCACGCATGGATCAGTGCAAGGTGACATCAAAAGTTGCACGAGTCAGGAGTGCAACTAACAAAAGGATAAAAATGATTTATTACATGACAATAATGAACTGAAAAAAAGGCATTAATGTAATTATACAAGACATATAGATTTACTTTCTCCGGTTTTGATATCACCTTTACATGAGGGCACCAGTTGGCACCTAAGCACCTTTTTCAGTCACTGGATGAAAACTTTTACTATACAAACTTCTGGCACCTTTGAAGAACACTGAATGTAAGATTTTAAGAGATGTTTCTTTGCTTGTGATAAATTAAGACTCATAAACAATTATCAGTAGAGTGCTCACAGATACAATGAAAAGAATGAGGGCACATTTGCTCATAGTGGCACTGACTAGTGCTAAAGATCAACCTTTGTGACTGTACAACAATCACCTGCTTACAGTTTGGAAGGCCATGTTCTATCCATTCTGCATAATCTCTTTACTCATTCTGAAAATGCTTTTTGAAGATTTGGAGACCATGTGGCAAACCTGTGCCCAACAAAGCTCCAGCGAAAAAAGATGTGCTCTGAGTCCATGAAATGACTGTCCTATGAACTCTTTGAAAACAAGGCTACTATAGAAGGACAATCAGACCAACTTCAATGCCTGTGCAAGCATACAATTGTTCTAGAGGTCAAATTATGTTGATCTTACCTTCACTTCCAACCTAAATAAACATCAAAAGAGTTTACAAATTTCAGCTATACCAAAAATAAGAAACCACTGGGAAGCCTTGCACTTCAATTTGCATTCAATTTTTAATGCACAGCTTAGAGTATATTTCTTGAGTGCAGGCCTAAAAAATTAACAAGATGTCAGGTTCACTGCCTCCTGGTACCTGGTCTTAAATTTTTCCTTAACAACCATCTGATTGTAATTTCTGACCTGGATTGTGTTTGACCAAGCTCTTCTCTTACAACTGCAGCCTATTTACACGAGCAGCATCCTTGCTAGAGGTGCATGCATCTGTGCTTAGGATATCCAGGTAAGGTAAAAGACAAGAAATCACTTTTTTGCATGAAATATTTCCCACCAATAACTCCACACACCAATTGCATCTGTGAAATCTACTGTCAATGTATGCTCATTGAGTTTTCCTTGTGCACAGTATTCACAACCTAATATTCAGGGTAGAGAATACCGCAGACCAGCATGTGATGTTGGTTAAGTCCTTATCCAGAAAGACTAGAATAATCAATCATTTACTGATTACAGAGGAAGAGAAGCCCCTCTCTCAAGTTGCTTTAATACCTAGAGTGTTCATCCCATTTAGGTAAACCTCACCCTTCCCCATGGCAGTCCAGCACACTCCCAATCAAGCACACCACGCACAGTGGTTTTAATAATTGAATAATTCAAAGTGTGATCTGCGATTTTGGACTATCAAAGCTACAGTAGGATAACTCTACAGTATTGTTCCACAAAAAAGAGCTCCTTTGGTGTCCACACATAACTAAAGACTTGACTTGTGCTCCAATCTCAAAACTTTTTCAAATCAAAGATCCAGAAAGAGAACATGATCTGCACAATCTACACTATGTATATCTAATTTGCATACTAATGAAGGAAGGAACCAATAACTTGAGACAAAAAATATTTCTTTGTTTATTTTAAATATTCACTTTTCCTTATTTATTCAAAGCACCTCTGGGAGAAATGCAAATAAAATTGGACTTTCCCATAATTAAATCTAAAATCAGTTAAGTACCCAAATGAAATAAAGCACAAAATTGAGCCCAGTCAGAGGAACTTTTCTCCATTTAACAAACCAGCTTTACAAATACAACAGCATGTGGTAGAATGTATCGTAACTGCATTGTGTTCCCATAGAAAAAAAAGACTTTTCAGGAGTTGGAGTATGTAAGCTTACAAACTAATAATAGTGAAAATGTTACCATTCTCTTAGGTAGATACACATGCTGCCAAACTGGACGAGACAGACCATATATCACGTCTGTCAACTATCTCAGACAGAAAAACAAACATTTCCTACATTGAGGTCTCATTTGATTTTCAAAAAATGCACTCAGACTTTGCTGTTTATACAGATCATTGACTGCTTGAAGAAAGTGAGAATGCTGTGTTTCTTTAGAGTGGTTTTAAAACCAGAAACCTATAAACACCATAGAATGAAGCAGCCAGAACATGGTTTCATGACAGTGCTATATACAGAGACTGTTCAAACAGCAAAAGCAACTCTCTGGTAATTGTAATGCTAGACCCAATTATACCACTGTCCAATTTGAGAGCAATATATTTGTCCTTCTGAGCAGAGAAAGTACCAGTGATAATAATAATAATGATGGTGATAATAATAATTTTCATCATAATAATAACAAGACAGTGATCTTTGATAATTGGGAACTAACTGGCAAATTTCACCAAAACTATACAAATGTTTCTAGAAACCCAAACTGTGCGTGTCAATATTGTTCCAATAAATAAAGAGCAACTTTTTGTTTCCTCTTACTGGTAATATTGACCATAGAAATAGTTAATGCAAAGATCACTTTATCAGCTCTAAGAAACTGGCAATTTTTTTAAGCCTTGAGATTTGAAAACCAATAAATATTGTGAAAAAAAAATTTAAAATATCATGAGTGTGGTGCTGTGGTCATGCCGTTACATGCTTGTCTATTTGGTTTCGGCTGACTTAAGTAACTGGAGTTGAAGCAAAACATCAATTGAATAAGGAACATCACAGGTACATTATAACACTTGCAAACAACAATGCCACAACAAATGGATCACAAATTTACAATGTTAGTTTTATTTATTGCCAATACATCAATGTCTGACTGATTTGTATCAAAGATAAAGTATTTCTATAAGTCAAAGCCAGTTCTCACAAGGAAGATTACTGAAATAAACAGTGGAGAAAGTGATCCAGGGTAATTTCAAGATCAGGATGGGTAGATGCCTTTATGAATGGGCTTCATACAGCAGTCACCACCTGTTTATGAAAACATTCAACTATCCATGGTGACCAAGTTAAAATAACAAGAGCAACAGTTCTTAGCCATCTCAAAACTTTTAGAATTGAAAAGGGAAAAAAACCGAAATCTTGAAATTTCCTAGGTAGCGAGTTTTAAGATGACTTGATTGAAACCGTTTTTATTGCTAAAGGTGAAGAAACCCCAAAGGAAAGACCAGTGTTATTTTTCAAAAAACGCAATATATCACTGACAAGAAATTATAGATACGTGGAAAAGTGTTGCTAACTGCGTAACAAATGACAGCTATGCTTAATAAACGAGACGATATTTTGCCTTTGGCTTTCCTCAGAGATGGAAAAGAACACGTTCCAACTACCCGCCGATATATTCGATTTGAGATTCACATGATCCAATATTCTTGGTCCTGTAAAGTACACACGATTACATAAATTGAACTTTAAGTCACATTCGGCATTGAATCCAAGAAAAACGCTTAGCTAAACAGGATCACAAATATAGGAAACGAGAAAAAGGGCTCTTGCAAATTTCAGTTTCTTTTCATTATTTCGCGACAGCAATATAAAGGTGCGATTTCTTAAGTGCGTTCGAACGAACGATCAATAAGTGACGGGCGAAAAAAGATTAAAAAGGATTTCTCCGCGTTGTTTCAGCCCAACTTAAAGGCAAGAGATGAAGCGTTTGCTTCATACAAATGTAAGGAACTCTTCATAGAGCAGCAAGAGAACGTTCCATAATGGCGGCAAATTTATTTTTCTCACTCTGGATGGAAAATTAATAATATAACTCTTTAAGTACATTTGCAAAGGCGGATAAGCCGAAACTACGATTCATCTTTGATAGAAAAACCAGTGAAGCTAAAAAATTTGAGTAAGTAATGATTCATAGCCTGAAATGCGATCATAAAATGTTGCTAGGCAGAAAAAAACCAGCTGACTAACGGCACATTCAGTATTTCCCAGCTTCGAATTCGAAGCCCTTCTACTGAAACTGCTACCACTAACGATTTTATTTCCACGAAGCTTTTACTTTTAAAAGATAAACTTATAAGACGATCGAACTACACGGCAGATAGTCAACATAACAAATACATCGACTTTACGAACGTGTTGGAAAGATTGGCTAGTGCACGCATTCGACATGTTGGAGCCAAATATAATTCATCAGCCGTGCGCTTCGATCGACTACGGAACAATTCATTACTAACCTAACAGAAGAAGCTTGACCTCTCGGGCGGCCCTTTCTCCATCTGCCCGAAGATTTTTGTCGATCATTTTACTCCTCTCCACAGCAGCCTTGTCCTCGGCACTCAAAGTGCAACCCATGTTGATATTCAAGAGTTCGAAAATTTAAGCTGAAGCTTCACTCAACGAGACTCGGCCGTTCGTGGGAACTCTCGAAGTCCGGCAAATGCGTAAAACCACAAACAGAAGCCTTACAGTAAAGTCTGAATGCTTGGAAGGATTCTCACCCAAGAAGCATGTGTTAAAATATCTTACGACTTCGCCATGAAGGCCGTTGTCCGGTTTTCCGAGTTAGTTATGGCGTTCGACTTCGCTTTATTGCAACAACCAACCAGAACCACGCCCGCACACTGAACAAACCATGCGCGACACGACCGCTGGGAACGAAATGTCCCGGATTTAAAGCCGAGGGCTGCAATCTGCCTGATCCCATATCAGCGCATCTCAAGTTTTTCCATTACTTTCCCCTATCCATGCAACGAGGATTCACGCTTTATCTCAAGTTGCATTGTTTAAAGATAAATTTTAACATTCATTTCACGCTTTTTTGTTCTAAGGACAACCGGCAATGGATTTAAATACAGCGACAAAAAAAGAAGGAAAAAAAAAAAAAAAATTCACAGGTCACGTGATCGAAATATTTGATTCACTAAGTCAACAGAAACCGACATCAATAAGGCGCTTGTGAGTAATATCAACTTGGAATCAAACACATTAAAATAATTATACAAAATAGCACGATCATGTTTTCTGTGGTAAAAGTACACTTATCTAGCAAAATTTTTTTTTCTCTTTAAAGAAAGTATGAAATGGGCATTAGCGGGAATCTTCACGAGTTATCCCTTAATAAAAATGTTCAGGTTTATCGGATCTATTGTTCGACGAATATGTAGAGAGCGCAGGGTTTTTTTAATCGCAGACGGCCAAAGTGTACACGCTTGTGTTAAAGAAAGCCTATTTTTAAACAGTTAAGTGCCTTATGGCTTGTTTAGAGATCTCCGGTCGAAAAAAAATCGCCAGCTGATGTCAGACATTGGGAGCCACCATCACTTATTTTTTAGGTTATTTTGTGTCGATTTCACTCTTAACTGTCCATCAACAATCTCGCCACTTCTAGAAAATCAATCGAATTATCGAAAGAGACTCGAGCTCTCAAACGAATTTTTAGACCATCAGCAACAACCGTTGAAACGCTCAAAAAATTTTTGAACCGTATTAAGGAAAGTGAATGACAGTTCACTTCAGATGTATGACAATTTTTTTAACTCTTTCGCTTTCGTGCGTCATCAAATGAACGCGCAGCATTTTAATAGTTTCGAACTGAACAATTGACTGAACTGCGCATGAATTTTGCACGTTTCATTTATAACAGTCACGTATTAAAAGCAACATCCTTTCGAAAGCATGTTATTAAGTCGTCGAATAAACACTAAAAAAGCATCTGTTTACTTAATCAGTCAGAATTTTACGACGTATTGATATTATGAAAACTATTCATAGCTCATGGCTAATATAACTAGGTACTGGAGCCCGAAGCTTGATATCAAACTTGAAAATCTAAAGTGATGTTAATCTAATAGGTAAATTCTTCCCCCAACCCGTTTGTCATTAGTGTTACAATGGTTTTTCCTGGATCAACGCCGGTAAAATAGGGTCTAAAATTTGTAAATAAGTCCGCAATTTGCTTACTTTTGTTCTTTGATTATAAAGGCTCATTCATAAAATATTCCTGTTTAATTGGTTTCTTTTTTAGTAACATTTTGTTTCTCGCCCACCGGTACCTCAAAAATACGTACATACTTTCCATTGAAGAAACACAACCAATCTAATTTATCGATTCTTATTTACTAGACCCCAATGTATTTCGTTCTTATGTACAGTTTTGTCTTATTATCCACATATGTAATTTATTGTGACAACAACTTCTGAAGGAGAACAATGGAGAATTTTTTGTATGGATAAACACAGTGCGAGGATACCAGCATAACATTTCTGCGTCGTTGAGATGCAATTAACTAACAAAACATGCAACGATTTAGGCATTAAGCAATCGCAGATTTTCCCAGTCAAGAACAGCACTCATTCACTCCTTAAATTTTGTCCTGGTTTTCCCTAAATTTAGTCTAATGATCTTTGAGTTTTCACTGTAGGTGGAAACTTCTTGAATTTAGCGATATATACGCGGGAGTTATTCACAGATGAATTAATCGAAAATAAACCTTTAAGTATTCTGGAGTTGGCTCCATAAATTCGTTAATTCAGAGGAATTAACTTCCACAGTGTTCTGGGTAAAAATGAACGATATAGATACCTAATTGATTGAGGATAGTTGCTTATCCAAAACTCAGAATTAAATAAAACCCGACCGCTCGAGGAAATGTTGCGTCTAAGAAATTTTTAGTGAAAAATTAACATTCGGAATTGTTGTGCGTTGCTATGGGGACTACTCGAGAAGTTAAAACAAAACCAAACAAAAAAAAAACTGAAAAATCCGGCTGAATGAAACTGCTAGAATTCGTTGCATGTTCTTCGTTTTATTTAGATTTTTGACGAATTTTAACACGTACAAGCAGACGTATTATACATAGTTATTGGTTAGGAAGCCATTGTCAAATTGTTAAACAAAACCACGGTATGTGCCAAAATGATTGGCAGTATCTCATAAAACGCGACTTTACTTTCTAGATCTGGGATATCAAACGACAGTTCGTTAATAGACCGTTACAAAAATCGTTGCTAAATCTACTGGTAACCAAAGCTAATAGCAAAATCCATAATTTCAGTTTCAAAGAGCGCCATTTTCAAAGGTTTAATAGCTTGGATAATCCCTATATATTATTAAAGATACACGGTAGCTGTCAAGATATTAGGGAATTCCGTTTGTATCAGAGTGGAATTGTTTAAAGCCGTTAAACTTATGTCACAGTCATCACACGAAATTAAAACTAAGAAAAGCTGCAAACCGAATGCAATTATTTAACATATTTTAGTTACACTTTAGCAATAGCAGCATATTTGAGTCATGCTTAAAAATTCCGCTTTAATCAGGGTAAAAGATACGCAATTTTTTTCATGTGCATAATTGTCGTAGGAAATAATTAAACGTCAAGAAGTTCTCTCATTTCGCTATAATATTGGAACAAGAAGAGGATATCACCTGGCAATATTCAAACTTGCTGTTCATGTATTTTTTTTTAGTGTATTTTAAAAGCATTCAAATTTCTTTCACTTGAAAATGGAATCTTTTCCGCAACTCCACCTTAGTTTTACGGGAGAACACAAATTCTGAAAAGAATAGGAATGAATTATCATCAGTTGCAGTTTCGACGATCCTGTCTTATCGAAATTGTTAAGCTATCGAAGAATTTTTGCAATCAATGAAACTTCTCACGAAAAGACCACGAAAGACTTAGATCTTGCAACAGACGTTTTTAATCAAGTGTGATGTTGACAATGATGATCAAAACACCTAGCTATGCTGACAGCATAAGTTAGCAGTTAATACGACTGGTATGAGCGTAATGTCGTATAAATTTATTTTGATATTTTCACATTTGTTTGGCGTTATTTATAAACCAAGAGAGAGTGTTCGTCTGCATAAATAGATCTGCGGCAGTATTTTTCATTGTGGCGGAAATCAATTTAATGAGATAAACTTCTTTTAGTCGTCTCCTTCGCATATTTCCTGTATATTATGAAGCAAAATGCCAAGAATTTTAATTGTTTTCAAGAGTACTTATTTGTGAACTAGCTTCTTATCACTGTTATGCAACCCAGTACTAATATTTTCCGAGCTGCAGTGGTATTTAAGATATTGATTTAAAGTGAAGGAATTGTCACAAAATTGTTGTCATAGTATAGAAACCCTGGAAATATTTTTTTGCATGTCTAGAAAATCCCCAAGAGGTGACACCTTTTAAACAACTGAAGAAAACAATGAGTAAAATGTACAAATCCCATTTTCGCTCCGTTAGGGAGCTTATTGAATGGTTATCATATATCTTAATGATTTAAGTCGACATTTTGTATATTATGATTGATGGCTTTGTGCATGAGAATATTAAATCTCCCCGTGTTCATCCCATGAGTTTCACACAATGACGTCAATTAGTTCTCACGTGACATTAACTACACGTCGAATTCTGATTGGCTCGTCAATCTCATCGGGATAAGACTTTCAGTGCTAATTTTCTGGAAAAAGGAGAGACGGATACGATACTGGTGGATTATTTTATGACAAAAGGGAGTGGGGGAGGGGAGGGGGGTTCGCCTGGTTTTATTGAAGTCTCCAGTTGCTTTGGCTGGAATCAGGCACAAAATGTGAAATTTCTTTACGGATTTTTCCGCGTAAAAACCTTTAACGCGGTCGATGAATTTTTTGTTATCAAACCAGTCCCTTAGAGGAAAAAAATTGCGCGCATACTTTCTTGATGTTATTGGATGAACTATCGTACAACACCAGAGATAATTCGCACAGCACAGTAATCTTTGAGCACGTACTGGATTTGTCTTGCTTTAGATTCATCCTTTTTAAAAATCTAATGAAAAATATTAGCGGATACAGAATTACGTGCGCACAATAAAGAAACAATGACCTCAGAGATATTACCGTAATCGGCTTTAGCGGTTGGCATCTCTTAGTGCTCCATTGCAGTGTGCGAGATAGCAACTTATTGTCATGAAACATCACGCAATCGCTACTCAACCCCTTTAAAAAATTTCAGAACTGCTAAACTGAAAGAAATAGAGGCGAAGGATGGTAAAGTGCCAAGATCAAAAAGGGTTTATAAATTATAATGAACATTAGAGTAATCCGGAGCAAAAGTAGTCATATGAGAGACAGTAATGGCGAAATGAAAGCTAAATATATTTAAGTTCCCTAACTGGCTTAGAACAATATAATGTTGGCAATGAAAAAAGAAAAGATTTAAATCGATGTAATAGTCTAGACATGGAAGCTATGACTTTTGTGGTCTTAAGACATAAGAAAAAAAATTGGCCTTGATTCAGAAAGATAGCCCACATTTTTCATAATTCCATTATTGTATTGCACGAGGACAAAGTAATTTTGTTGACGGTTTCACGCATGAATCGGATATCCAAGAACTTAATCCATCCTGTGACAAGATTAAGCTTTTACTATACAGCAACTTAATGAAAAAAAAAGTGTAGTTACAAACCTGAGACTTATTTTAATTCAACGCGTGAATTTAGCACCGCTTTTGAGGAAGAAATAAATCATTATTGCTGTCAATTTTTGATGGGTCTCGGTCAATTATGGGTGACTTGTCAAGAAAATCGATAGAAAGACAGATACCTTTTTCACTAATCAATAAAATGGTGGAACTTACTAATTATTTCCTCAAATTATGAACACTAAAAGTACTTCAAATGTCACCGATCATGAATGAATACGGTAAACAAACCGGCAAGAACAGATGTAAAAGCCCCCATAAAAAGCCACGTGCACTGTGGATGACACCGAACGGATTGCCTTACACCACGGCAGATCCTTTTACCATTCAACTATGAATCACGAGACAAAGCTGAAAATCTTCGTAAAAACTTTCTAGGTTTTAAGAAAAAATGCTGATAATTTGCGGCGAAAATTAAGTATTTATGAACCATCAGTGGTAGTTTTTTATGTTCTAAATGAAAACTATTCGCTTTGTTTCTTTCTTGCCGTATTTCATGAAGAACCGAAACGCGACGTTAAAGAAATCCTCTTTCGGCTTCCTTTCAAAGCGATAGGTTTACAAATTGGATTGGTCACTTTGACGCATGATACCAGATGACAGATCCTAAATCATGTAATCGTCCCATAGCGTCCAGGCAAATATATGATAAAACATCGTTCCTGAAAGCCTCAAACATTTTAAAGATCCTCCATGACTATTTTCCTTCTCTTGAATTCCTCGGAAAGAGCTTTGTGAGACGTTTTCAGCTCTTCTTTCGCACGAGCTTAGTCAAAGCTGCATTCCAAGGAGTGGCTGGCAGTTTAATCCGATTAGACAAATGTATCTGTGACAAGCTTTTGCTCAGAAATGTCAGAATTTCACGATATCGAGACTGCGTTCTACGAAGACACATCTGAAAGGCGTACAAACAGAGCCACGTGACCTCGTGCTCGTCCAATGAGAACGAAGCACCACTCGGAGACAGCTGGTGACACTTACGAACACTAGCTGAGTAGAAATACAGCGCCAAATCCAGAATCATTCGGGAGAAGAATGATGGGTTATCTCTTGGTTTGCTACCTGTAACAAAACAAAAGAAACAAAATGCTGAACTAACTCAACTCTTATCTACGGATACCTTATTGAAACCCCGTCTACTACACACTACATTCAGTAGAGACTGAAGATCGAATCTTAAAATCTCCTTTGTTACAAACTATCAGGCTAAGTAATCGAGAAGAATCAGAAAATTATCCCTTCCACCATTTCAACAACATCGCAGTTCCACGCATCAGGTTTTCTTTCTGAAAGTAAGAGTTCTAATGGCAAACGGAAATTAAAGTTTGTTAGAAAAGAGACGTAAACTTTGTTTGAAGATGAATTTAATCAAATGTAACGAAGTCGCCATATGCATAATAAAAACGGCTTCATCTCTTCTTCTTGATTATAAGAAAACTGAAGCTGGCGGACAAAAATAGACACGCCCAGCGGAATTTTAATCACTACGCTATTCATAGTTGAAACTTTTGAGCGGAAACCTCAAAAGTGAAGATCTTCGGAAATATTTTAGGGTCAAACATCCCGACATCAATTCTTTCTTAACTCTCTATTTAAAGAAACAATGAGAAAATTGATAAAAGAATGAGCTATTTACTTCCCTGCTTTAGGCTGCGAAAACAACTTGATGGAAAGATATTCACATAATTGACCATAGGGGCGATATCCGTCCGTTCAAGGAGCCACAAGTATAGGTTTCTCTCTTGTCTTATTATCGTGAGTGGAAGTTGTATTAAGCAATTCACAATTAACATCACACCCGATATCTGAAGGATACTACAGCCTTCGAGGCCTTGCTCATCGTAATGTTGGTAACCGTATAGAGGTCCAGAAGGGCCTAAGTTGTTCCTCTGACGTTCTTCGCCGCTTGAGAGAGAAATTTGCGTCAAACAGCCCTTGATTGATATTTTGTTCTGTTGTGCCAAGTTGCATTAATACAAATTTGTTTTTATCAACCAGATGCTGTTTCTCAAGTTTTTTCTCCATTTAAAGGCCATTATGGATAATTAACAGAACAAATTTTATGATAAAATATTCAATGAACGTTCAAACTATATGACCACAATTCTACCAAAACACAAGGAACACTATTTTAATAAAAATCCATTCTTAGGCGAAGGTAGTATCAATAACCCCTCAAAAAAATTGATGTAATGGTTGTATCTGAAAAACGCATTAATTCTTGGCAAGCTCAAGTATACTGCTACAACGCTTGCAATTATTTCAGTTTACTGAATTTATGTCGAATATCTCACTCATGGATGCAATCACCAGAGGGCAGTCTTCCCTTCCCTGCAGGAAAATGGAAAACTAACACATAGTCGAAGCGACTGAGGAAAATTCGAACATTTTATTGCACAAAAAGATAGACACAGAAATATAATTTTCCCGAGGATCAAGTAAAATATATGTTAATTATTCACCAACTGCTGATGGGCTGATATAACTCATTTTGTCCGAACAAAGAAGCCAAAATAGAAGGAAATCCTAAACAATAGGGTAAAACGCGAGAGTGTTTAAGCTCTCACAACACAATTACAACTTGCGGTTTTTCGAAACGCCCTTAAAAGAAGATATGTCAACAGAAAATTTCGCTTTATTGGAAAAAAACCAATTTCAGCAAATTAAGTGGGTTTGATTGATTATAGATGTGTAAGAACAGTGAAGCCATTAGCAGCTCTTCAGTTGTCCATCATCATAAAATGATGGTCTCAATTTTCTATGATGGAAAATGCATCATCATCAAACCCAACATCAACATCAGACTTACAATGACTCGGCGCATCTGGTTCCCTCCGCTTGTTATCCGAGGAAGCCAAATGCTGGATAGACGGCTAAGTTAACTTCAACTTGTAGACATATTTCTGGAAGCTGAGTTCGTTTTAAACTCCCAAATTAGAAGCCATTCGAGTTCATGTCGCGAGTTTAAACAGATGTCTGCAATCTAACTAGCGTATTTTAATCGGGGAGGAATTGAAATCGAAATATTAGGCTACAAAAGAGGAAAACTCCACATAAAGGCTTCCTCTTCGCGTTATCGAGGCAATATACATTTACTCTCAAGAAAACAGGTGCCGATAATTGTACGCATCTTAAAATTAAATAGATTGATTTTTAAATAGCAACAAAATAAATCTTTGGGATGTAGTGACAATCCGCATGAAAGAAAGAACTTTCCACCGGCGAAAGATGTGTTTTTTTCACATCTAGCTACCAGAAAATTTTCATTCACGACGATCTTAACTTCACAGGACAAGCGCTGTCCATACAACACCCTTCTAATGACAACAAGAATAATTTGAATTCATTTGCGTTGTCATTATAAAGAAATGATTACTGATGCCTGAAAATCGAATGCAATTTTAATTTTGTTCCCCTTCAATCATTATGTGAAAGCAACCCATCTCTCTGTTTATAGAACAGCCTTGGGTAATAACCTAGTTACCGGAGTCCTGCTCTATTAACTCAAAGTCAGAATTGCGTGCCAAATTATGTCCCACTTACCGCTATGGATCATTCAGGATTTTCTTTGCTCGCAAATACCAATAATAATTAAAAACATATTTCCTGCCTAAACAAAAACAGCCTTTTTTCCTCATTAACGAAATTAAAGCCGACAAAATGCGGTGAACGATTATAACCCGCTTCTCTGACACCAATCAGCACGCGTTCTGTGACTCGGCAAAATTTTAAAGCTAGAAGGCTGACAGCTCACCTCTTGGTAGCTCTTTGACGTAAGTATGGAACTTGTACGCTGTTAACAGGAACACGTGGAACACATTCAACAGGGTGTTTTCGCGCGTGTTCATATTTGGGTCCAGCAGCAATGGATGGCACTTCGGGCGTACGGAGTACCGGAGCTTCTTACTTAGGGCCTCGCCAGGATGTGCATCCAGGGACACAGTCAATGTGTCCCTTAATAAGGAACCTAGAAAAGCAATTTATAGATTAGGGCAGTTAATATGTGCATCTTGTTTTCCACACTTAATCACTTTTTTCCATGTTATTTTTTTTCGTTCAAAACGTCTTTCAGGGAAAAAACGCTTTCAGAAGCCGTGCAATCCATTGCGATTTAATTTAAATTTAGAGCATTTCCAAGTCAATTCAGTAAGCCAGGCTTGTCCTGTGCATTTTAAAACCTGATATTAGCACAAATGTCTATTACTACAGTAATTCATAAACCAAGAAGGAATCTTAGAAGCTTTCATTTGCCTTACTGCGTCCGTGATTACGAACTTATAAGCTAAGTTAATGGAAAGAATTAAGATTTGTTTCTACATTTTCATTTACGTACAGAGTTGCGCATTTTCAACAAAACGCGACCTCTACAGCTGTTTTTGGACGGTTTGAGGTGCGGCTAAAGTGCGTAGTCCACCTTCCTGTTTCAGTTTTACTTCGTTCTTGGTTTTTTAACCTTTTTTGTTTTAGTTTCCTGTCTTTGTGGTTAATACTCGAATGTAATTAGAAGCTAGGAGTTAATTAAGATAGACAGACAACTGATACTGAAAGCGCACGCCCCTTGTCGGAGCAAGGTGTGTTCTGTGGCACTTTTCAATAATCGTCGTACTTTGTGATAAAATGGTCGCACTGCGTAACAAATTTTCGCAATTTTCAATATAAACAGCTGTTGTACTTTGTAATAACAGACCATCACAATTTGCGAATCATACTTGTCACAATTGTAATTAAAAAGCTGTCGCACTTTGAAACAAATTTGTTGTCTATTGTCGGAAGGCGAGTAGGCCCAAAAGTAACCGTCACCCTTGTCAGTAAAGACAATCATATAATAATAATAGTAACACCAATAATAATGATAATAATTCTAATGATGATAATGATAACAATTGAGATCGTTAAAGTGACCGTAGAAGTGAGGGTGATGTTGACGAGAACGATAATACTGATATTAATAATATACATGAAAAAAAAAATTACGCGTGCCTGATTGGCTGAAAACGAGTGCATTTTTCATGTAACAAGAGTGCTAATTAGAAATAGCGCGCGCTGCCAAAATTTCGTCCTTCTTGACTTTCTGTGATGCGTTTTTCATTTCTCGTGCAGTTTGGTGCAAATAAGCACTTGTACAATTCTTCAAAGAATTTTGACTTTGAAAAAGTTACCCGCGCTTATTGGCACCAAATTGCACGAGAAATCATGTTGCTACACGTACTAATTATAATAATATTAAAAAAGATGATAATGTTAATAATAATTATAATAACTGGATAACAAAGTGCAACAAAAGTTATTACAAAGTAGGACAGGTATTACAAAGTACGAAAATTTTATTTCAAAGTACAACTGATTTTACAAACAGCGCCGATTATAAAAAAAATGCGACAGAACAAGGTACTTAGGCCTCTGACGACGGGCTTCAGCCCGAAATATCATCTGTAAAACATTCTTAACGGCGGTTCGCTACCTGAGTGAGCTACTCAGTAGTTAATTATCAACCTCACTTCACACGAAAGAGGAGGGATTAAAATACCTCTAACTTATTTCAGTAAAACTCACCTGTGTACCGGGACAAGTCCGGTGAAACTTCAAGCGTGACTGTATCCAAAAGAAACCCGCACCAGGGAAAACGATCGCTCGCTCCAATTCTCGTCACCTTGTGTCCATCAGCTGTGACCGCGGTATAATTGGTCAACGTTTTGTCATGATTGATGACACACCCATACTCTGGAATTCCAGCATGCATTGTATTCAGGAACTTGTCGGCCAACCGACGGTGTGGAGTGACAAACAGAAAGTCGTCCACCCATCTTAACAGGAGGGAGTCTGGATCTTGGACTATTTCTGACAAGTGGGTCCTCTCCATCTGACTGTAGTAGTAGCCGCAAAGCATTGTTGATAGGACGGAGCCCTGTGCAATGCCTACATGAGGGAGACATTCATATGACGTAAGAATTTAAAGTGATGCTGATAACTCTGACGGAGAAGAAAATGGTCTTGAAACCTTCTGCTGTTTGCAACTAAATCAACAAGGGTGCAGCTAAGGGGTCAAAATTACGAATTTCCGCGCGCCTTGCGTGAATTACCTGACACCGTTGCTCTACCTTGTGTATTAGTTGATGGAGAATCTTACACTGGTAAAGAATAATGCCATGTACCCACCAACCTGACGTATAAGATTTGCACGTTACTGATTTCATAAGAAAAGTATACCACAGGGAGGGGGGGGTCACGGGTACCCCTGGCCCCTTCTCCCTCTCTACGCCTCCAGTCAGAGGCACTGAGAGTAAAGACGGTACCGAGCCAAAGAACACAACACGTTAGCCCGGCCATCGCGTCTGCCACCTATCAGCTGATGATCATGATATTATGATGAATCCTGTCGCGCTTGGTAATACTTGTCATATTTTATAATAACACTTGTGACACTTTGTTATAACATTTGTCACACTTTGCAACAACAATCGTCACACTTTCCAATAACATCCTAATCCTGGCAGTATGCAGGACGCGTGTCATATATAAACTTCGTAATGGATCTCTCTCACCATGGAGTTTCTATCGCTCAGTGATAGAGCATTGGAGGACGGAAACTGAAGGTCTGAGGTTCAATTCCTCATGGAGACTCATAATATTTTTCTTTGTCCCACGCTCGTGACAAGACGAAAAACAAGTTTTTCTATTTCTTTTCCGAGCTCAAAACTTACCATCTCTCTTATTCAATTTACAAAAACACTTTAACACTCTCCAATAACACTTGTCACTCTTTGTAAGAAAAAAGCTGTCGTACTTTGTCATTAAAAAGCTGTCGCACTATGTAATAGCAGACCATCGCACTTTGTAATAGTAAGCTGTCGTACTTTGTAATACTTGTCACACTTTGTAATATTTGTTTTTCTGTTACCACTGAGTGCGACAGCCTTTTTTATTACAGAGTGCAACAGCTTTTTCCTTTCAACGTGAGACAATTTTATTGCACAGTTCAACAGTTATTACAAAGTGCAACAATCATTACTAAGTGCTACAGAACATTATGACCAGTAATTTTATCCGATGGCACTTATGCCCAATCACCTCACAGAGACGTCAATACTTGTGTACGTAGGAACACTGTTTTCTTATCGGATAACCTCCCATTCATTCTAAATTCTAGAGTTCCAAGAAGAAAGAGTATTAGGTCAGAAGATCATATTTCACCTACCCCTCGTCTGTTGGTAATAGTTGTTACCGATCCTGACGAAGTTATTAAATATGTGTTCTTCCAGCAACTTAATCAGCTTGTCGCGGTCCTCTGTCACATACCACACGTTATCAACAGCCACCACTTGCCTAAGCTTCCACTCGACCACAAGAGAACGAAAGAAATCTGGAAACAAACGGCAATCATCTGCGGTACTGACGTGCTTAGAGAACTCTCTACAATTTTAGAAACAGCAATTTTAAACACAGCGATAGTGAGACCGTCTAATAATGTTAGTTTACATCAAAAAAGATAACACGACTTCGCGTCGTTCAGCAAGAACTGCCAACGTTCAACGTAACAATCAAGAACTTATTTAGTAGGTGATCATCTCCTTTATTCTTATGACCTTAATGTTTATTAAGAGGTGATATTGTAAGGAGAAATTAGATTCTTGTCACTCTTAGAGGTCAAAGGGTCAACGGAGGATAAGCTGGGCTTAATTTTAACCTTGAGGAACCAGAGTTCATTCTACAGCGTGGCTTTGCGGGATTCTACGATTAAGGAGAAGCCGCAAAAAACTTATGTCCAAGCGTCAGATGGGGTGTAAAATCTTGTGCCCAAGTATGAGTAGTATTTTAAGTTCTATTTTTCGAGATAAAGTACTCGAAAACATATCTAACTGCAAGATTGATATGAGGTGCTACATAAAGCTCGCTTACAATTGCTTTTTTCTTCTTCGTTTTCTCATTTACTAGATTATCAAATACGTTAAGACACCTTTAAGGGAGATTCCCTTTCTTGGGAAGCACTGGGCCCTCTTCGCCTAAACTTTTAGAATAAAACCCCAAGGAACTCCCCAGGTTACGAGCCGATCTTACCAGAAATCTTTGTTAGATGCTTTTAAATCTCGCAGTTTCGTTGAAGTTTCCTTTATGTAGTCAACAATAAATAAGTTTAAACTGAAGAAATAAGATTAAAATCGTGTATGAAGTCAACCGACAGTCACAATTTCCCCCTTTTTTTAATCATAACAACGTTATGCTCATTATTCGCCGGTATCACTTTATCTAAAGCCCTTTTTGGGCACTTATACCCTAAGTTAGTCACGTGAAGAACTAATCATGCTCGGCGAGGGAGGAGGGACAAGGGGGAATTCGTTAAATGCAGTCTCTTTTGTGGCTCTCAGCCTTCCTCACCTGTAGACCTTTCCACCAGACATGCGCAATAAGGCAAACCGTCGAATGAGGTACTCTTCCTCCTCCAATACTTCCTTCATGGTGTCAAAGAGTTTTTGATGCAGGATAGACTCGTAGCAGTGGCTTACGTCGACGTGGACAAAATACAGCGGTTTTCCCTCCAGACGTGAGCGTACGCGAATGGCAAACGGCTTAAGCGCCCGGTAAAGATCATCAGTTCCAAACAAAGTAGCTCCCATCTTTTCTGGGTTCCGTTCTCTCTCGAACTTAATAACTTCAAACAAATTCTTCAGTTTTGAATTCACTGAAAGCTGATTCTGAACGCTGATTGGCTCCTTGCTTGAAGGACGGTGACGCATGTTGGTAATAGGGCGAACAGTTGACGTCTTCGGTATAAACCTGAGCAGGGAGAATCCCAGTGAGCTTTGCGCGCGAAGAAGATTCTCAGCTTCAGCGGTTTTCAACGGTTTGAAGAACTCACCGCAAAATGTGTTAAGACCAAACTGTTGGATCGTTTTCCAGATAGGCTTTCTGTAATAAACAACCCTTTGGCGATGAATACCAGTCTCCGTGATATAAAAGAAGGTTTTCAGCACAATCACGAGATAACTGGTTACCAACCACCAGATGAACAGAGCTAAAAGCTCCAGCTGCTTAACAGAATCAGACAGAGCAACGTGCTTTCTATTTCCGCTTTTCTTCACCTGAAGCCATTTGCAGCAAGAAACCTTGATTCCCATCATCATCTGGGCTAGGGTGAACTTTTCTCCCCGATAGAGGTGAATGAACTTCGCAAGATTTCGAAAGAATGTTTCTTTGTTTCCTGAAGACCCCCAGAGTTCTTTTGGAACAACTTTGTTGCAGATACACTTCAGAAAGTCCACCACCTGAAACAAATAAATCATGAGATTCAGCGTTGGTCGTCGGAGAATAAAGGTTTTTACAGGTAAGTTCTCGATGTCTGAAAATGCACTGAGGCTGAGAAAGCTTAGCCGGAATAGAAGCTGTGACCTTAGGATTGGTCTGTTTGACTCCAAACTGACATTCACAACACTGAGTTGCTGGGACTTATCACCTGTTTTATCCCGGCCTTAATAACGTAAAGCAAGTTCATACTATTGTAATGTAAAAAATCTACCTGATCATGTTCTGTAAACATTCTTACAGCTCGACGATACCTCAACAAGTTAACCTTTGCCTTTCTCTCGCGACGCTTCCTTTGCGTAAACTTAGCTCGACCCTTAAGAGATAACTTGTGATACACCACGTTTACGCTAAAAGGAATCCTTCGTAACATCCTTCTCTTTTTTTCATTTTTGATCGCTTGTCTTCCATGATCGTAACGGCAATACACCTTCACCAGAGTTCTAAATGGACACTTCTGGTGCCTTGCCAGAAACTTCAATAGCGTTGGTACTATAGTCTTCAGCCTTCTGGGCAAACGAAGAGGCTTCCGTTTCCTTCGTGTGGTAAGTTTCAAAGTATTAGACCCATCAGGGTTTTTAACAGCCGCTTGATTCACGACACTTTGCTCTTTTCTTTCATCTTTCCTTATCCCTCCCCGATCTCTGCAGGCGCCCAAAGACGCGCCTTGCAGAAAAATGTGTTGAACCAGTTTGCGCGCTCCGGCCATACTCACAGGTAGTGACTCCACAATATGGTTCTTTGGGAACGTTTGGGAAAGATTTGAGGTATAAAACAAATTTGAGCGTGGTATAAATATTTCGTTCAAACAGGTACTCTTTCTGTTTTTCTTCAAACTTGAGCTTCCTCTGTTATAATCAATCTGTTGATTATTTGTCTGTTTGAGCTGGCTGTTACTATGAGCCGTCCGTTTTCGTTGTCCTGTCCTTGCAGGTTCACTTCGCCCACTAGACTTGGGAAGAAACTTTGTTAGATATTTCCACGGTTTACTTCCACCCACTGCTTTCTTTTTCTCCTTCTCGACTTTCATCGCACTGGAAACACACTTCTTTCTTTTTAACGTTTGAATTTGTGTTTTTTCTCCAACACCAACAGTCTGTTGGAAAGCTACACCACCCTTATCCTTGACACTCTGTTCGTTCGGTTCTTCTCGGAAGGTTTGGCCGAAAACGTTCTTCTGAGTTTCAGATGAATCTACAAAGTCAGTGGTATTTGACGTTACTACATCGGAATTTTCTTTCCAAAGATTACCCTGGTCTGCATCAGTAACTGTACCAGCAGTCGCGCTCTCCAAAGATGTTTTTGCTGAAATTTCATTATCGACCAGAACGCCTTTAAGGAACAAGGGCGAGTTATTTTTGAAGACGTTTGAATTTGTCCTCGACTTTTTCGATGGATTTGGACTATCTCTTGAAACATCACCACTGTCCAAACTGTCACGCTTTCTTTTTCCACTGCTCTGGGACACTTCAACGAGATGAGTATCATCTTTACTACTGTTTATGTTCACTCGGACAGGAGCTCTTGACAATACAGTCGCTGGACCCGTAGTCGAGATTACATCAGCTAATTTAGAGCAGCTTACTTCAGCCCTGACATTTTCACCATATCTTCGCGCTCGCTTGCCACCCCTTCTCGATTTTTTATTTGATATTACATTCGAAGCATCTCTATCGCCATTTGTTTCACCTGTTTTTCTGACAGAGAGTGGAGGGAAGACATCTTTTGATGTTATTGGACTTAATCCCGTAATGGGATATCCAGCGACTTGGAAAAAACACGAGTTCACCTTGACAAACACGGACAAATTTTGCAACAAGTATATCATCAAGTCGTCTCCTATACGCTCGTGAAGCAGCTGCCAGGCTCTCGCGGTTCGCAAATAACTTACAACAGTGTTGGGGTAGCTGTTCTGGATTCCAACAGTCCCAGCCACTGTTCCCTTATTTCCATAACCACTTAACGACTCAAAGCCGTATGCTAGGACATTCGTCTTGTTCCCTCGACAAAAGTGTTCAATAACTCTAACAATTATTTCCTTGAGGGTAAACCATTGTGCTGTACTTGGCTTGAATGGCGGTTTAACCGGCTGATCCCGAGGAACTGCGATCAAAGTCGTTTTCAGAAGACGGCGATACTCCTCAGGATCGCCATCTTGGATGAGTTGAAGAGCCTTATCCTGCTGGACCTTACGTATATAGCGAATCAACGTAAAATACTTTGCGTAAAACGATCCTATAATCTTTCGGCTTTTGAAAAATTGAATTTTCTTTCCCTTCTTCGACTGCTTGGTGGCCATTTAGCAAACGATCATCGTGAAAGAAAGCTGTTGGAGTCACCTGAAGATGCACTTTTCCCGCCACGAGATTCTTCTTTTGCTGAAACCGCTGACTACATTGTTCTCTGTAATGTGGACTCGACCCGTCACCAGTCGCCTGTCAATGAAATATTTATTGAAGCAATCAAAATGGCGATCACAGAAATAGGGAAAGTGTTCGTGTTTAAAATGGCAATAACACTTTGTAATCTCATTCTAATACATTGCAGAATTTTAGAAGTCAATCTCGGAGGCACTTGGATTATTTCAAATGCAAATAACAGCATTTCTGTGCCCGGAACTGTTCCTGGAAATGTTCACACAGCTTTGTACAGGAATGGAAATATTTCGGATCCGTACTTCCGGTTTAATGATTTCAAGTATCGCTGGATAGCGTATGACAATTGGGTGTACACAAGGACCTTGGAAGGTTTGAATAATATTCTTTTCTCTCATTATATTTGATTGAATGGTACTTGTCGTAGTTAATGTTGTTAACATGGCATAACCGAGAGAACTGATCTGTCAAAATTTAAGCACCAGGCCTGACCTACAGGCAGCCCAAGCTCCTGCTGTGAGATGATCATCTTGCGTTATACAAGTTATGGCGAAAATATAATAGTTTGTTTGGGAATATTTACAACCGCTGCTAGGAAAAAAAAAATAGTCAAATTCTCAATAAAAATACCTCACCTTACTTTTACAGTGCATTACTTGTTTTGTGACAGCTTTCTTTGTTGCAACAAGGCCATTTTGGCGAGTTACCCATTTCTAGGTTTAGCTCTCTTATGTAGTAACCTAGAAATGGATAACTCGCTGAAATGCCTTTTTTTTTTCAACGTAGTGGGTGGTCAGTGGTCTTTTTGTCCTTGAAACATAAGTTTACTCCATGCATGTGGACCAAAGTTTTTAGATTCAAATTAAAACTTAGTTAAATGGTTCTTGTTCCTTAGACAGGAGAGATTTTTGAAAATTCTTAAAAGTATATTTTCAATTAAAAGGGGTGCTTAGTGGATTTGGGAGACTATGACATGTACTATTATAAAGGACTCGATTATACTAAAATTCCCTAGTAAAACAAATTGATGGTATCTTTGAAGTATTTTTAACCCTTATTGTGATATGTTCTTATCTCTTTGTTTCTTGATATCCTCATCCTCCTACTCCCAGTTTCTGAAGATGTCATATCAAAAGGAAACATTTTGTTGGTTTTTGAGGGCCTGGATACAGTTGCTACAGTTCTGGTGAATAATGTTGAAGTTGGCCACTCAACAAACATGTTTCACAGATACATCTTTAGTGTTAAGGGGGTGCTAAAAACTGGAATGAACAAGATTGAGGTGCGCTTCACTTCTGCAGTGCTCTATGCCAAAGAGCAGGCTAAAAAGTTTCCATATCGTGTACCCCCTGAATGTCCAGTCCCAGTTCAGCGTGGTGAGTGCCATGGAAATTTCATCAGAAAAGAACAATGTTCATTTAGTTGGGTAAGCCATTGTTACAAGTATTTATCAGTGGATGTCGTTGCTACCATAAAAAAAGCCAATATATAGTTGTTATTAATGTAATTATTTGAATAATAATAATTTATTTAGGACTGAGTCAGTGCTATTGCTTGAGTGACTGCAAGAATCTTTGTGTTCTCCAAAGTTTGGGTGTGCTTCTGATATCTCATTGAATGCATGCTGGCACAGGAACCAGCCTTTGGGAGTTTCAATCTTATAGCCATGTTCTTAAAGCCTGGGAAACCTGAATCACTGTTTTGATTGGCACACATTAATGATTATCATAATGACAAAATATATCAGAAAGTTTTGAATTGTACATTTGAATTGCTATTGGCCATAGGTGGATCTGTGTTGGACTTGACTTGGATACTTGATAAACTCCTGCTGTCCTGCATGTGTTGTTGAAATTAATCATTATTGGCTCACTCTCCTTTTTAGGACTGGGGACCAGCCTTTGTTCCTCAAGGGATTTGGTAATTATTTTCTTCTACTTTAAGTTAAGAGATGTAAATAATATACTAAGTTTTTCTTCGCAAAGCAGGAGGGGGATTGCCATATATCAATAATGGGAATGATAATCCTCATTTTTAGAGGTTAGAATTACCAATTTTGATGATATTGAGAAGTTACAGAGAAAAAAAAACTTAACAATCAGATTAAAAAGTCAACTCTAGACCCTTAAGAGCCTTTTAAAGATTGATTTTCTTTTTCAGAGTTTTTCTCTGGTACCCCTTCTCCTGATCAAATTCTGTTACTAGGCTATGAATGAGCCAACAAACAAACTAGATTTGTTGTTGTTTTCTGTCAAATTTGATTGAAAATCTGGTAGGAATGAAAAAAAACATGGATTGAATAATACCAGAGTAAGATCAAACATAAGTTTAAATCTTTAGATATGATATCCATACTATTACAGCTATAATTATAGGTAAGGATTTAGAGTATTTTCAGTTTTCAATGTAGGACAGTTTACATGGATAAATGTTTGATGAAGCAACTGATGTAAAGCAACTTTCCTAAGACTCCAATCATGATTTCTTTTCAAAAGATTTTTTTCCCAAAATTTGAGTTATCAAACTCGGGGTACGGCTTACCTGCAAGTGGGGCTTGTCTGTTGGTGTTCTTACAGTAATAATTGTTTTCTATCTCCAGTTTTTCATGTATTCTATTGATGATACTGTACCTGACCTGGAAAATGCAGCAAGAGCCACACCCATACTAACTACTTTTTTGGGTTACTTCAGACATTTCGACTCTCACTCTCATCTTCTTTTCTATCTACAGGCGAAATGTTTCTCTGCAAGCCTACAACTCAGCTGTTATAAGGGACATCACAGTAACACCTACAAAAGGTTACTGTGACAGAATTTAAATATATTTATATAAGTAGTAATCCTTCAAAAATTTGAATCATATGGCAAATGCAACAAGTTGATTAAAAATATATTTTTCCTCACTTTCTGATGTGCTCTCTTTCAGGTTCAGCTAACATCACATGGCAGTTATCTGTGGCACTTTTTGTAGATTCAGCTGAAGATGGTGTGACAGGTACAATAGTGCTCAGTCTTCCTCAGCTGTCACGCTCTCAGAAGCTTGTCATCAAACTGTCACAAGGTATCCAAAAAATTTCTTTCCCAGAGATGTTGTTTACAGAAAAAGATAACATTAGGCCATGGTGGCCTCAAGGATATGGAAAACCAAATCTGTACACAGTTAAGGTACTTACTTTATATCAATTAGTATTTAAATGAGATATGTGTGCTTAGGGGAGGGGAAGGGGTAGATATGCAGTTGCTTAGATTCTGTCATTAAACCTAAGTCTTTGAAATTCATTACCAGGCAGCTTAATGTCAGAAATGATCATTAACTCTGAACAGGTTGTGTTTTTGAGCTCATCTTGTGATGAACAGTCAAGCATCAATCGTAACATTGGTTTCAGGACAGTGAAACTTAGACAGGAACGAATTGAGTGTGCTCCAGGTTAGTAATTCAAATGGAAAATGAACAGGTAATTATGACAATTATAAATTTGTTTTTGCATTACAAGACCATACATTACATGATCTTTGTTATAGTCAGTTATTACTAATCCTTAAATTTTAAGCAAGTCACCATAAAACTTACACTTTTTGTAGCTGGTTATGTTTTATGGTTACCTTTTAAATCTACAATTATTGCCATAGTTCTCAGCATTGCTTAGTATATTGTGATTTCAACATTTCAGTCCCAATTTTTGAGTGGGATAACATATCTGATCACACATTTACTGGTAGGAAAAAGCATTATTTCAAGAATTACACTTCAATCACACTTTGCAAGTTGGGATTTCTTGTTTATCATGTTGTTATTTTTGCATAAGAGGTTTCAATGGATTCACTGGCAGAAGTGCTCTGTCTGTTTCAGGACGGGGATTTCACTTTGAGATCAACGATTTGCCAATATTTCTGAAGGGAGCTAACTGGATTCCTGCAGGTATGCGCCTAAAATATCAAATGTAAGAATAACATCTCAGTTAATCTTTGAAAGGAGTAAAGATTAACATAACACCTCCCAACTTGTGTCTTGTTAGTGATTCCTATGCCTGTGAAATGAAACCTCTCATCTCAAGCCAATTTTCACCTGTCAACCAATTTCTCCCATTGAGCAAAAAATTACAAGCTATTGCAGTTTTACATCACAAATTTTTTAAACATATGGAGCACATATTGGCAGGTTAAAAAATAAAAGCTAACCATGTTTAAGCATGAGTGGGACTGAGTGAGTAAAACTCTGCCATTTGTTGACCTGCCATATTATGTAGGGATGTGATACTATATTCAGAAATGGCTGGAGTGGTGAAAAGCAAACTTTTAATCCATTAGATATTACTTAACTTAGTTAAGGTAATCACATGATTTTGAGTACAATTTGGTGTTAATAAGCACAAGTAATATCTTCAAAGACGACAAAATTGCATGAGCCCATAGGGCTAGTGTGATTTTGTAGTCTAGTGCTTATTACACTGCACTGAGAACTCATGTTGGTACTTGTTAATAATATACATGAAAAAACATCATAAATTCAAGACAGACATAAATTTTGGCAGTGTGTGGGCTATTTGTAATTAGCACTTGTGTTACAACTTTGCACTTGTGTGACATGATAATGCACTTGTTTTCGGCCAATCAGATGCACTTAATTTTTTCATGTACATTACTAGCCTCAAAAAGCCAAGAATTAAACATTGATTCCACTCTTTTTATGATAATGCTGGCAAATGGAAAGTATATATTGCTCAAACCTTTAAACCCTAGGTGTGACCAGCATGTAATTTCTCCTCACATTAATTCTTCTCAATCATTCATAAAGATGAAGAGAATAAAGGAAATGATCACTAACTTGAGAAGCTTTGATTATTAAAAAAATTCTCCCTGTTAGTACCAGAGGAAATTTGGAGAAGACTATGGAGAATTTGGATGCTGATGTTATAGTGTAAAGGGTCACTCTTTTAAAACTTTTTACGTCAAGCAGAGCCAGTATTATGTCAATACAAAGGGAATAACAGAATGAAGTATCTGTGAGAATGGATGTAGCTTGCTTCTGGAATCCAGTTTTCTGGCGATTCTGTAAAAATTCTCAATACTGAAAAAATTGTTTTCTATAAAAATAGACGATGCAAAACCAACCTTACTTCACTTTCCTCCCAGATGCCTTTGAGGACCGTGTGACGAGTTCAGACCTTTGGAATCTTCTCAAGTCAGCAGCTGATGCAAACATGAATGTGGTGAGAAACTGGGGAGGAGGAATCTATCAACATGATGAATTTTACGACATAGCGGACGAGTTAGGGTATGGAATTGGTAATTAAAAGTAAACGGGTAATCAACGAGATAGAGCGCTTTTCGTAAGAGTATCGCAAAACCAAAACTAAAGTGATACCAGAGGCCAATTAGAAGAAATGAAAATACCCTCAAGAGCCAATGAGAACTCAGAGCTAAAGCAACCAAACTGCCTCAAACGCGGGAAAATGCGGGCGACCAAGTCGTGATTAGCTTTGAATCTGATTGGTTTAGAGAGTGGCGCGAGTAATCTGGACCAATCACAGAGCGAAGTAAAGAAAGAAAGAAATCCCGGATTACTTTCAACACTTAATTGCTCATTTCTCATTACTCAAAATTTCATTTTGTCCTGCTTTTTAATCAACAATTATTAAATGACGTCAAAGCTGTTTATCGCGTTGCTGCGGCACAAGGGCATTCTTTTAAAACTAAAAAATTCCGTGCAGCAATTAAATGGATCAACAAAATTTAAAAGAACAATTTTCAATAGAGCGTCAAAAATGACTGGCTTTGCTTTACTCTCGGGTCTAGCCAACTCATCTCAACCAACCACATGCAAACTAAAATTAATCACGGCTTAGACCCTCGTGTCTTCCCACGCTCGAACCTGGCAACGTGTGCTTATTTACAGCTGTCGATTGCGTCTTCTATTTCCCTTCATGCTCTTATCTGTAGTGATTTCTTTGGGTTTGGTTGTACAACGCTCAAGCAACAGAGTTGGTTTATCGAGCGCTAAGCTCTTAGAGGCTTGCAATTAGCGCCCTATAAATTATAAATATTATTGGTACATTAGAGACTGTCATTATTGGTCTTCTTCTTCTTAGAGACTACACAGCCGGTTTTCACACATCACCTCTCATTTACCCGGCAGACTATGATCCGAAAAATACATATTTTTTTCTTTACTGTTTAGATTACTTGTTTGGGAAGAATTCATGTTTGCCTGTGCCATGTACCCGGTTGATGTAGAATTCTTGAACTCAGTCAAGGAAGAAGTACAATATCAGGTAATTTCTCCAGCATAGGCTTAATAAAGTTTCTTTCAATCTCGCAGAATTTAAGTTGTAAGCCATAGGTTGAAGATAACTTCCTGAGGGTTTTCAAGAAGAGTAGAGTAGGGAAGAGAGGCTTATGGTAGGGAAATAGGGAGACGTATGATAGATAGGTGTAGAGATTTTTGGCATGGGGAAGGTTATAGATAGGGAGAAGTGGGGTTTAAGTTAGGGAGGGAGAAATTTTGTCCGGGAAGGGGATGTATCACCATGCAAAGGAAATTGTTTTAAAATGAGCGGAAAAGAAGCAAACTTGTTGCCGATGCATTTTTTTTACGTCTGTTGATGCTGTTTACGCAATGCCTTCTCGCCCAATTTCTAGAATTTAAAACATGTACATGGACTGAAAGGATAAATTGTCGGCAAAACAGATCTTAAGAAATTCATATAACATCATTCAGAAACTTTGTGTGGACAGGTACGTCGGCTTCATCATCATCCGTCCATCATACTGTGGAGTGGTAACAATGAAAATGAAGAAGCTCTGGCGACCAACTGGTAAGCTCTATCTTGGTCCTGATTGGGTAATTGATTTTAATTTATTCACTTTGATGATTGATTTGGTTTGTTTTGTGACAATCTAAGAAATCGGTTTGAAAACGTCGCATCAGGAATTTGACATATCGGATATAAATTAAAAATCCCAAGCCACTGTGAAATGGATCGCGGTTTTCCGCGTTATATGTCGGCCACGAATATTTCTTTTGCATTCTCATTGCTCATTGTGTTCTCCTGGTTCCCTGTGAATGGTCGTCGAAACTGTTTTTCCAAAAGGCTTGAACGAGCTTTACGCTGACCACGTGTATTTGCTCTGCATCCTCATTGGTCTTTGTATTGTCAAGGTTTGCTGTGATTAGTCGATAACACCTTTTTTCCGACAGGCTTTCCCGCGCTTTACGCCGGTGACGTGTATTTGCCATGCATTTTTATTGGATGTCGTGTGTTTTTAGTTCACTGTGATTGGTCAATGACATTGTTTGCCTGTGTCTTTTGGGAAAGTGATGAAGAAAAATCTTTCGCACATCAACAAAAAAATGCCGGTTTCTTTAACCAATGAATAATCTTGAACTCTTGCAGTTCCTTCCTTTCTTCTGAGAGTAATATTAGAGATTTTTATGAATCTTTTTCCTTGAGGATATGGTTGTTCTCTTTAAATGTAATAAAAAGGCCATAAGGCTGTTAACCCTTTTACTCCCAAGTTCTCATTAGTAATTCTCCTTACTGTCTGCCATAAAATACTTATGATTTCAATTTGGAGAATTTGGTATCGGATCAACTTATATTCCCCTAATTGAGTTTCTTCTTTATTCTCCTCATTTGTCTGCTTGATTCTGTCTTGATATTGTAAGGAGAAATTCTGTCTTGGTCACCCATGGGAGTTCAAGGGTTAAATGCCAACCTCAGTTACCTTGATAGTCGAACTGTTTTGTTGTGTCAGGTATAACACCAGTTCTTCGTTCGCAAGATACTACAAGGATTATAAGAAGGTAAGTGCTTTCTTTCTGTTGGTAGAGTGAAAAGTACCTCACAGAGGTTTCGTAGAAAAGTTATCTGTATCTTCAATATCTTATGCATGAATGACGATCATATTGTAACTTTTGAGTACCTATCTTATAAGCCCTTAGAGGAACTCACTTTTCCAACCTCTCTAATGGGATGGGAGTGAAGAGAGAATGGACTCAACAGAGGCGAGAAGGGGTGGGGGGTGGGGAAGGGCGTTGAGGTGACCTTGGGGCATTTGACGTTAATAGATGCCTAATGTCGCTCCCCTCTCAGATACAAATTTCCTACTCATGAAGCTTTATTTAGTCAAACCACCAAACAGGAAATTTGTTTCAAACCCATAAATATTATTGCTTAATAATTTGCAAAACACAGCTTGCTTGCTGGTTTTTTTCTTATTCTTACTTTGAAAAGAACGCATAACAATGGGAAAAAACTAGAGAAGACCGGCCAAATTTTTCCCCTGGCATCGACCTTTTGCTAGTAAGAAAGGCGATGAAAACGAATCCGAACATTAGTGATCTTCAGATTATCCAAGTTGTTACCGCCATGCTATGAAATTCGTTTTTACCGTTAGCTGTGTTTATGCCCTTGGGGGGTTAAGGGAACAATCAAGAATCCAAAGTTGCTGTTACACTGCCAGGCGTATTTCGCATGTCTCAAACTTCCCACGTGCATCCAGAGCCCTATGTGCATGTGCTAATAACAAACCCTTTCTCAAATAATAAATTCCGTGTCCTTTTTTTTTTTTTTTTTGTGCATGCAAGGAATCAAGTATCACCTACTCCAATTGAGGGAGGGGTATGTGCGACTTGGAAAAGCCGTCAGACTGAGCTAAGATACTTTCTTAATAGTTGTATATAGATACTATCATGAAGACGCTCGAAAATGAAGACAAGAGCCGACCATTTCTCTCATCGTCTCCTTCGAATGGAGTAGATACTGAGAAAGAAGGATGGGTGGCAAAAAATCCAAATAGCTCCTATTGGGGAGATGGTAACAATTTTTTTACTTATGACGTAATAGTCGAGGTATGTTTTGGAATAACGGTTGTCTTTATGGGCGAGACCTGATGTTTTGCACTATTTGTGTAATTTATTTATAAGTTTCTGGCTCGTGATTAGATGGGTGATCTTCAACAACACATTACAATGAACTTTTTCACAAACACCCTTTTGAAGTACGCATTTTAAATTTGAAAGTGACATTGGTCAACTTTTTAAGAACAACGTTTTCAAATGTTATGTGTGGGGCTCAAAGGCCAATCGCGATTAGTGTCGCGAACTATTTCCCAGCCTCACGCGATTTTATTTAAAACTAATCGACTAGTCATTTAGACCTCTGATTGTACCAAAGGCTCATGTTGCTGTGATGCAATAGTCTTACCTTCTTACCCAACGAATAATCGTAGTCACCATTTTATTTCAGCGCACTTCTACAACTATGCGATGGACTGTTGGAATGTCAGCGACTACCCCAAGCCTCGTTTTGCGTCTGAGTATGGTTTCCAGTCCTACCCGTCTTTTGAGACCCTAGCGCAGGTGTCAGTAGAAAAGGACTGGACCTACAATAGCGCATTCATGGATCACAGGCAACATCATGCAGACGGTTTGTATCACTAAGTGAAGAGACTTTCCCCTGAATCTCACTGTTACTCACAAAATAAACCAAAAAGTGAGATTGTTTTCTTTTGTTTTTTGATAGGATTATTGAGAGAAATTCTCTGGCTTGTTGGCTTAATTTTCATCGTACGTGTTCGAGTAGAATGTTTACTATAATTGTTTTAAGTTTTTCTGAAGCTTTACTAGCAATTAGTGAATGTGTGTACGACATGAGTGCACTATCGTCACTGTCATCGTCATCGTCATCGTCATCATCATCATCATCATCATAATTAGTATTATTATCAGTGTTATTATTAATATTATTTTCATTGTTATGTTCAGGTAATCAGCAGATGTTAGGCCAAGCTAAGAAGCATTATAAACTTCCCAACTCAAAGGAGCCTTTGAAAAAATTTATGGACACTCTCTTTATTATCCAGGTAAAATAATTACTTTTCATGCCATCGGACAAAATATTGTATTACGTAATTTTCATCAAAAGCTATCACTGGCGCACGCGCACTTGGGGTGGGGTTTAGTCTCAGGGATCAAGAAGCCCATAATTATGAAATACTTATCTCCGGTGTCAGTCCCATTAAATGGCTGAGATAATGTATTCTACCTCGGGATCGGTTGCTAGGGTAACTCTCCTCTTCCCCCGTCGCCAGCATTTGGTCAGGTTTCTTTGATAATTCGCCGGTTCCCACACTCCTGAGTGTAGAGAGGTAAAGTGAAAGTGAAGTCTCTTACTCGGGAACACAACACTATGACCCAGCTAGAACTCGGACCCAAACCTCCTAGTCCAGCGTTCACGCACAGCGCCATGACTGCTAATCCACCGCTTCACCAATACAGTTGTCAGTAAACTTCCTCAAGTCTTCCAGGACAACATTATGTAACGAGCGCCATGAGACAGGTGGAAACGGAAAAAAGACCTACATGATATGTTACCCTCACCTGACCCTTTATGATAAATGGTACACGTTTCAGTTATGCCTTTTTCTTTCTAGGTAACTCAAGCTCAGTGCATGAAGACAGAGACTGAACATTACAGACGTTTACAGAGTGAATTAATAAAGGTGGGTTTGAATCGCAGTTACGCTATTTGACGAAACTTGGATAACAGGCCCTTTGATTTTCTCGTCAGGGTGAAGGAAGAACAATGGGCACAATATATTGGCAGTAAGTGACTGCTTTATTGAATAACTTTTTAAATTGAAAGGTTGAAAGAAAAGAATGTAAGAGACAATGATTGTAATTCGACTATTTTTTCAAAGAATATCAACAACGTTAAAATTTGACACGATGAGAATACTCATTGTGCAGAATGGCCATACCTTTGAGATCTCTGACACGTCACAAATAGAACTTCGATTGTTGTTTAATTTAAGTCAATGATGCTAAAAAGGAAGGAAAGGCCTTGTTTTTTTTTTAATTTAACGGAAATTTACATAGAGACGTCCTTTACGTTCGCCAGACCCAACACCAACCGTAAACCCTGTTTGTGTTTTAGCAGTTCATAGATTAAGTGTAAAATTATGTTACAGTTTTATTTTCTTCTTCTGGGAAGATTTTTAACGTTATATGAGTTGCACGTGATGAATTTGCAATGTCTCGCACCACCTGTAAAAGACATAATTACAGGTTAATTGTTTTATGCAGTCATATAAATTACAAGCTCTTCTTTAAGTTACATATTTTTTACCGGTAGAACCTAGGGGTTGGAAGGGGTTTGGTGATAGGATGTGAAACAGCTTATTCGGGGGGAGGGGAAGGGCAGTTTGTATTGCCCTTGGTGCAAATGTGTTAAACATTAATGAGGGGCCCCTTAGTCTGTACATTATCCCTTGTAGTAAGGAAACATCTGAAGTCGGATGGTAAAGAGACTTAACCAGCAACTCACTTTTACTTTGTTTTGACCGTTTCAGGTTGAACAGTATTTGGCAGGCTCCCACTTGGTCTTCTTTAGAATATGGAGGACGTTGGAAGGTACAAGTTTGCTCTGTTTTCTTTAAACTACAGCTCAAACTTGTGGTATTCACAAAATCAATTATCGTGATAACAATCCTTAACCTTTTGCACTGTGACGATGGTTTTCTTATTCTACACACAGATCTCTCTATAATATACAGATTTAGTCAACCCTAAAAGCGGAGCTCGCATTTTTTTCCCGCACGTCTCAAGGGCACAACGCCTTGCCCCGGCCAGGACTAGAACCCGGGTCGTCCGACTCGGAGCCCAGTGCATTGACCACTGGACTACTGGACAAAGCCGTGGCGTTGGCGTGCCCGCGGTACAGTTGACCACGCATGTTAAAAGTAGCACCTTGTACGGTCGGTTGTATGGTCGTAAGTTCAAATTTTTTCGGCTTGATGGGTTACTACTACCATTTTGTATAATATGGGGCTACGCTCTGCGAGCTCCGCTATTACCTGTGGTAAATTGTGATAATTTCCTTCTCATCACCTTTAAATTTGATTCAAAGGTGATACTGTGGGGAGAAGCCAGTCCCTCTCAGTGTAAAGGTTAAAGGCTTATTATTTTTTTTTTGGTTGACAGATGCTACATTACTTTGTGAAGGATTTTTTTGCGCCTGTAATCGCGTCACCATACCAGGAGGGCGGCAAGTTTAGGCTCTGGGTAGTATCAGATCTTGTTAAGGTAAAAATGCGTAAATATTTTATTATTCCAGCATTATAAAATGTGTGTTAAAAGAAAAACCATGTGTACGTCCTCAGTCAATCCCCGAAGAAAATTCCGCCAATCGTCATGTACTCTGATTAGGACACTGCAACCTCAATAATGGGATCGCAAGTGGGCTTTCAAAATCTTGTTTGCATCCTTTTGAATGACCGTCCTAACTTTTTGACAGTATTTGCTCGGCACCAAAAAACCGAGTCGATGTGCATACGCGTTGGGTTGCAGATCATGTGATTTGGATCGGGTCGCTCAAGCTTTTCTATACCTCACAGTGACTTGCTTGGTGTCTTTTTATTGTTGTTGAATTGTGAAGTTTTAAGTCTATGCCTTCTGTGGTTTCAGCCAATCTCGCGGGGTGCTGTGTCTCTCAAGGCGTGGTCATGGTCTTCCTTCACACCACTGTACAGCAAAAAAGTCTCATTTAACATTAAACGACAAACTTCGGTAAGCACGGCTTGTTGTGTCTATTCCACATGTGGATCAACCAAAGGAGATACCGTAGTCTGACTTACGTATCCTTGCTTGTAATTAATAGAAACAGGTTTACGAAGATGAAGTAGAAACACTCTTACAGTCAAGCAAATGTAAAAGTGCTCGGCATTGTGTCTTTACTGTGAAACCTGTAGACGCGAGCACAGGCCAGGACCTGGGACCGACGAACGTGTTTTATCCGACGAGTTTGTCAGAAGTAGAGGGTATTAGTGATCCAAAGTTGAAGGTGAATAATAGTTAGTATTAAAAATTAATAATTACAAATAATCATTTATTGATTACTGATAAATAATTCGTTACTGATAAACAATTACTTACAGCAGTGTTCTTTTGTCTATAGTGCTCTGTATAACCTTGTAAAGTTGATGGAAAAATTAATGAAAGAAAGGGCGCAGCCCTTAAGAGGGTATCGAATTTTTATTCTTATTATATTTTGTTTCCTTCTCTCTGTTTTCTCTTTTTTTTGGCAGATTGTAAAAGTTGCTCGCATGCCCCAAAAAGGAGAGTTCAGCGTTTATATTGAGGCCCAGTCTCCCGCTTGTTATGTGTGGCTTGTAGCCAAAGATGTCCGTGGCCGCTTTTCAGATAACGGTTTTCTCCTGATCGAACCTTCGAAGACGGTATGAACAAGTTAATTACTTGCTAATGAATCAGCTAGCATACTTACATATCTAGTGCGTTTTGCTTCTTGGCGTAAATTTTGTTTAAGATTTTTGCGTTTAGCACTGCGGTAAGCTAATGACGCGTGTTAGCTTGTGAAGAAGAAAGCCGTTGATAATTTAGAACAAAGAGTGAAAAAAAACAACAAACTGACTATTTTGGTGGTATAAATCTGACAATGGCTACATTCTTTTCAACTTCAGGTGATATTCTACAGTTGGCAAGACACCACTGAAGATGAATTAGAGAAGAATCTTTACATAAAGTCTCTTTATGATTTATATGCCTAGTTAATTTAGTTATTCAATAATGACATCCCTGGGATAGATTTTGTTAATTATAAGAGATATAGTAAGAAGATGAATTCTCGACTTGTCGTCCTTTGCGACAATTAAATTTTGTAATTTTCAATTCAAGCGAAAAGTTGTCCATTCAATCAGGTATTGGTAGTCGAAGGAAACAGCAGGATGAAAATAGACTTGAAAAAAAAAATGGCGAACAAACTACATCTGCTATGCACCACCCCTCAGCGTCCTTCTCTGTGATACTCTCTTTCTACCTTAGCAGGTTCTTGAATAATCATTGCTTGGTAATCACTAGTCATTATTACCCTTTAACCCCTAAGAGTGACTGGCATCTAATTTCTCCTGACCAATTCACCCCTGAATCAAACATTAAGGTTAGGAGAATATAGGAGCTGATCCCCGACTAAAGAAGCTCTTGATTGTTAGACAAATTCTCAAGGTTGGCATCTTAGGAAATGTTTAGAGAACAGTATGGAGAATATGCCTACCGATGTTAGAGTGTAAAGGGTTAAGGTGTTAGCCGTTCACAGTACTTGGGCGAGGAGGTGGCACATACTTCAGACAGTTGTGTGCATCTATGTTGCTTAGCAATCCTAAAACTTGGTCATACGATTTTTTAGTACTGATTGAAACTTTTGGTAGGCATAACATTATGTAGTAGGAAATCGTTATGTTACATGTAACTGTTATTTGTTTTTAAACATATTTTTCACTTCTCGATTTCATACGTAAAGCATATCTATGAAATTGTGAGCCATTCCTCTCAGGGAATATTTTTTGCCAAAATGCATGCGTAATTATTTCTAAATTCGTTTTCACTGTTTGTTGATAAGCATTCTTCGAAAAAAGAAGCTTTTATATTGTATAGTTAAAGGCGTTTTATTGGCATTAAATTAAATGTTTAATACTAACAAGGGGAATTTGCCCTTTTGGTACTTGTACTTATTATTCTTCGAATATTTTGCGACGTGCGGGGAAAAATGTCAACGATCAGCTTACCGTTTACTGCGTGGGACGCGCGACATTATGACAAGCTACTACTGTAACAACCGTAAAACGCTCTCTTGTCTTGAAGTGAATTTTAAAGGAAGACTTGGCGTAGTGAAAGTGAGGTTTAGTAACAATTGGAGAATATCACTGGGTATATCCTTGGAAATTCTCCAGTTTTAGCTGGTCACATGATGCGTCATATTCGGTCACATGATGCGTTTGGACCAAGATTATGGCATCAACAATCATTTCTTCAGAAAAAACAAGCCCCGGTAACTGACCAAAATATTGAGAATGCTTAGGTCGACAAAAATGTGCTTACGTCCACCGTAACCCGTGGATTCGTTGAACACAAATACCCACTAGGCAAAGAGTCTGATACCCTGGGAACGAAAGTTGCCGCGTAAGTGCTTACGGGATCGTTTCGCGGACGCGGGTCAAACAAACATGATGGAATATGGAGCGGAATGTAGAATAACGAGTGGTGGTAACAGCAATGCAAGGGTTTTTTTATTTGATTTAGCCACCTTTAGCAAATGTCATTAACGAAAATCCATAAAACTTAATCAATAATTAATAGGAATTTCTTACGCAAAGGAAATAATTTAATCTGTGCGAAGTCGATTGATCGGCGTCGACGAACCTCTTTTCTTGTGATAAGGTAACAACAGGTCATTCTTCCCAAATTTTCCTTTTATGCGCAATGATACATAAAATTTATAAAACAAATCGAAATGACAACTGAGTTTAAACAATACTATGCTAGTATAAATAGCTCAACAAAGTTACAGTCATTCGTGCCACATCTGATTGACAAGTATTTGAAGAAGTTTTCATCATCGCCTGAGTAATTTTGGTCATAAAATCACGAGACGATCTAGATCTCTACGAAGCCATATGTACCCATCACTTCCTCCACCCACTTGGTGACTTTGAACATATTAGCGTACACACCATATTTGTGCGGTCGCGCACATTCGTGCCCCCAGGAAACTATCCCTGTGAGATAAAAGCGCCCGCGGTGCTTGCAAGCCAGAGGACCTCCACTGTCGTATTGACAAGCATCGACGCCTCCTTTCTCGAATCCAGCGCATAGAGCCCTGTTATGGACGGTTCCGTTGTAAGATTTGACACTATTGCAAATTTGCGGTGGAACCAGGCGAACCTTGGCTTCGCGCAGAATATCAGGTTGGGCGCTGTTCCATTGGGTGTGGCCCCAACCAGTCACATAGCATTCCTTTCCCCAAGGGAATTTCATCGATGGGCGAAGGAGACAAATTGGAGAAACGTACTGATCATAGATTGCAGGCTCTGATAGACGAAGTAGGGCTGTCCATATGAAAATAAACGAACAACAGTTATAAAAGAAAAACAACTTAGCTGTTTTTGTTGTTGATTTTGAATATAACAAAAATCCGTAAGCATAATTCCGAACGAGGAGACCATTACACTCTTAAATACTTTATTTATTTTCTCATGTTTATCGTCCAGAATATTTCTTTGTCCTGCAGATTGCAGATAGTAATCGTGGTGGGTTAATTTTCAACTTAACTTAATCGTACTGGAAATAATACAGAGATAAGGAAATAATACAGAAATTACAAACATGCAAATACACGCAAGAACAGAAAAAGTAAACTGAAGGACCATTCATTATTAGGGGGACCACATGGTGTTCGTAAGAAGGGAGGAGGGAATCAGTCAGTCGCTAACAGAACACTATATGAAGATATATGTTTCAACTTAACATGTCATCATCAGAAACGTTTTGGGCCACCTGTGGTCCTTTAAGCGCTCTTGAGAATAGACAATTGTTGAAAAGTAGAAAGGGAATGATATGTACTCCGGGGGGTGCTCCGGAAGACTTTGGGAAGATCGCATAGTTTCCACAGGGAACAGAGGGGAAAACAGTCATCCCTGACAGAGAATAAAGAGAGAACTATAGAAAATTGACTGTCAATGAAGGGCGGGGATCATTAGAGTCATTAGAATACAACAGAGTCTTAGGGGGGATCAGCTAAATTTTACTATGATACAAGCAAAATTCTCTGATCCCTCCCCCGGATAAATAATGACCGGTTCCTTAATTCCGGTTGTTAACAGAGTATGAGAGCCTTAAGTGTCATGTGACTTACCCACATCATAATCAGGTGGTGTATCGTAAATCCCTTCAAGGAACATTGACTTGTACTTTGGATGAAGGTAAATTGATTCGATTTCTCTGCTCTGCTCAAATACTTCTTTGTCAACCAAATGATGTTCGCCGAGGACCGCTTTCCAGTCTGATGGCTTTGTAGATGTATATGAATCTAATGGAAACAAGTTCAAGAAAATAAAATCGGAAAAATGGTGAAACAAATACAAGTACGACATCACAAACACCATGAGCAGTCCCCTGCTTTTCGGCAAAATTCCTCGCACGAGTTAAGAAAGAAAATAAGTGAAAAAAATATGTTGTTAGCGCGCAGTACGGAACTCTTAAGTGAGGCGCAAGAAAAGCCTCACTTCCGTTGTTCCGCGCGGCGTGCTAACATTGTTTCTTTTTAGCTGAATTTTTTTTTCTTGCGTGACGGACTTCGCCTAAAATGAGGTCCTATTCGTAGTCTAGACATCACAGCTTGGAATGAGAAGAAACTGAGCGCTTCTGACAACAGAAGATTCACACAATCCTGTGTGTGCGCCCTGTAACTCTGACTTCTTCTGATGAATACAAGATATACTCACCTTTTCGCAAAAAAAGTACTTTTAAGTCCTCCTTTCGAGAGCTTTTTTATACCAAAAAGTTTACATTGTTGATAAATTTATTTTCATGGCTTAAGACTTCTAAGAAAATATGAATTTGTAAGTTTTCGGTGTCTCCAAGAACGTAAACTCCGAAATGGCTGTTAGAACGCTCTTCGATTGAGTGTCGTAAAACCAAAGCAATCACAACGGCCAATCAGAGGAGAGGAAAATAACCCAAAGAGCCAATGAGAACGAAAAGTAAAAATGAGCAAACTGTATAAAGCGCGGGAAAACACGAGTCACCAGGTTGCGATTGGTTTTAGTTTGGCAGCTGATTGGCTGAGAGAACGGCGCGAGGTTTTCTGGACCAATCACATAGCAAAGTATAGCAAAACCAATGCGGTGACGGATTATTTTAGACTTTTAATTGGAAATTGTACTATGAGAAAAATTGCCTCTTGTTTTACTATTTGTCTTTAGACTGTCCAATCGGAAAAAGTATGAAACTTGAGCCATTCTGGACATTAACCGCTCCTTATGTGCAAGAGTTTACTTACCGTGGAAACAATGGGTAGCCGATACAACCCAGTGAGGAGAGATAAGGGAGCCTCCACAGAACTGTGTCTGATTGAAGAGCAGAGCAACTTGCCATGGCCATGCGCCCTGTGCACTCTGGGTACCTCCCACAATGCGACGAAATAGGCTCGTTGTGTCAGAAAATCTTTTACCACACGAGGTGTGTCCTGGAATTTCAAACGGTGAAACGTTAAAAAGGTTGTCCTCTGTACATAAAAGGTAAGTTGACCCACGTCCAAAATTTCTTAGAATATAAAAACTTGGGCCAAGAATAAACGGTTTCGCTTCCTGTGCCTGACAACAGTGAATCAAATACAGTCATACTCTTGCTGCTTAAAGGGACTGAGATGCTCTGTTTGGGAAGCTGACTGGGCGATATAAAAAAGGTTCCATCTGCAGATGTCTGATCTTTAATCTAGGCTCTGTTTGTCATCTTTTTTAATGAACCATTCGTTTAAAATTAAAAATAAAAGACAAATAAGCTTGTATTTGTGAATAGTGCCGATGGGTTGCCTGTAAGATCCCACTGGTTTCACGACTTTTAGTTTGTTGAAATTATACAGAAGTGTTTTAATCTGTGCATAAAATTTCCTAGCATACCCGTCTATTTAGCTGTGTAGCTTTTTCCTCCAACACAGCAAACTGAGTAACTCGTCTACCTGCATTGAATATACCTTGATCAATATCTATCGTACGCTGCGATCCGATTCCCTCCGAAATTTAGTAGGTCGGGCCCATTTTAAGTTTCTTTCTAGCGTTTGACTTAAATAGCTTTAATTGAGATGCACTCCTTGTATGATATATCCAGAAAATTAGTTGATAATTGTTTCAGAGAGTATTAATTTTTTCCAAGATTGTAGTGAATAAAAAAGTTAGATCGAAAGCATTCAACTTAAGTCCACGCTTTTGTCGATCGCCTTGATTTAGTCGGCAACTGAATTTTTTGTGACATGAAGCAAAACAGTTCTGCAACATGTCCTCGAACTAAACATTCAATAATCCACCTCAATATCACTTTTATTAAAAACCTCTCATTTTCCTCAGAGAAGTTTTGTTTTGTTTTGTTTGTTTCTGCTTTTTCGTAATACAGTCTTGACATATCTTTCATAGGTTTACTGTAAAATCACGTTCAGGTTCATCACGAGAATTTGGTTCGATCTGACCTCCTGAGCCATAAGTAGCTACGTTTTTCAGTTCCTTTTAACGTCCAGGGGTTTCATGAAAAAACAGTTATTCACGGCCCACCGCCGCCGCCTCCGGGACCTCTTAACACCGTCTGTTTAGCCTGCAAGCAGACACCCGTATTTGGTATTTGCCTTACAGCCCCTTTTTGGTCAAAGTCCGCCTTTTTTATCATCGGCAGCCGCTTATGGCTGTGAAAGTGATTGAGACCCCGTATGTTTGGATAAACTGAATGACTTAGTTACGAGTGCAAACAGCAGAACTCCTTGGCGGGTTAAATCATTTTGAAGTTCCGATAGTTTGGAAATAAAGTCTCTGTCCCAGAAATATCCAGAAAATGGTGATACGATTGTTGAGAATTAATCCTGTCCTGTTGGACCATCTGCGCGTGAACTCAACTTTACCGTGTGATATTATTCACCCTATAAGAAATTTATGTCATGGTCCAGAACATGAATAAAACAAAAAACAAAAAGATATAACTTACCATCGGAGATTTTGCAAAAGAAGAGACAAAGAAACAGGGGAAAAACTTGTTTCATGACAAGGACGAATGTTGATGAAGTGATCACAGTCGGTAAAACTTTGTGGCTTCCCGTTTCAATGAAGGAAATCTACCAATTTTCTCTTTGAGATTGAAACTTTAATATACTGAGTCAACAATTAACTTAACAGCTGCAAGCTGAACCATGTAAATGATAGAAAAGTAATTTCAGGAGCGCATATTGTGCTAAACAGTTACCACTCCAAAAACATTGATTAGTCTGAGATAATTTCCATCAAATTAGCCGAGTAAATATAAAAGATTTTTAATTTACAGACCATGTTAACAATTACAGCTAAATATGATGTGGCAATTTTTCATTAAGCCGAACAGTTTTGGTCCTTTTTTCCTTCCTGGCGGTATTTTGACTTTTTAAGAGATGCTAATGAGAAATACGCCCTATTTCCTTTTAAATTTACAGCTCTTTTTATGACAGGTCTACCTATTTAAGTTCTGTTCGTGTAATGTTAATGAATTTTTGTTTTACTCAACCCACCAAGAGCGTGCATATAGCAAAGGTAATAATCAATGAAAAGACTCTTGTGATTTTTTCTTGAAAATTGAAAACAGGCCTAGATTTGCATTAAGACGCAGCTTGAAATGCAGAGCAGAGTACGCAACGAAAATATCATGAAAGACGCCATTGTTAGTTTTTCCCATTTGAACTCAATAAAAAGTAGTTCTCACCTGTGTTTGATTTTAATTTGAACCTAATTCTTGTTTGAATGAAATGTTTGTTTGTTCTAAAGAAATAAGCGCTCTTACTTTCATATCGTGCCTTGACCCAAAAGATCGAGAAATAACTTTGAAATCTCTTTGAAAGCTCAATGTACAATTTTCCATTCTGAAAGTGTCGAGGGCTTTAAACTAGCGTTTTTGTTCGTTTGTTTGTTTTGGATTTGATACCATGGATAGATTGGTAAGGACTGGCCTATTCGCTGTTGAGAAGTGTAGAAGATCAATCAAATGAGATCATAAGACGTCTTGTTTATTTTTAAGCCACGTATGTTATAATGATGTACTATGTAGAATTTTTATTGTTGAAAATATGTAGAAATCTTACATTAGTCTTCTTATAATTAGTTAGGAATTTAGTTTTATTGGATTTAGTTAGGAATTTATTTTTATTGTCCGTACACGACCACATCAGCTTTTGCTGAATTTTTTATCGTGTTTAAATAAATGCTGTTGTCTGTTGTTGTTTTGTAGAAGGGATCATATCTTGTTTCGTGAAAAGTGTGGCGTATTTGCCTGACCGCACAGTTAGTGTTTTGTTACCCTAATCCTATATTTCTAAGTTTATAAGACCAGTTGCGCTGAAATTAAGGTTAAAAATCGATTATGTCGAATTCAATCGAGAGCATTTGGACAAAGAGTATTTAATTGAGAATAAGATAGGAGTACTTATCTGCAGCCACACGGTTTTGGGTAAATAAATGAACAACGATACTTTGCATAGATTAGGTGGGTAGTTTTCATTTACCTAAATTTAGGAACTATGCTGAACAACTGCCCAGCATAGTTACATAACTGGTGTTAGCTTAAAGGAAAAAGATCCGCATCTCTCTCTCTCTCTTTTTTCATAGAGATATAATTCTCTAACATTGATTTCACCACAGCTCATATCACTGTCAAGTGTTATCAAGGGCGGAGGTCAAGAAACCTTTCACGTCGTTATGACTTCTAGAGTGCCGCTGGTTTAAAAGATTGAATATTTTACAGTACATCATGAATATATCCTACATTTTTCTTTCTTTTTAGTCGTAGAGAGGCCACAATATGCTCACAACTTATTACTTGCGCAACTGAGGCTCGGTGGGAGACAAAAATTCAACAAAATAAATGACTCGCAAAGCAAACCAAAAAAACCCTCACACATACAGACGTATAAAAAACGGTTTTATTTCGGTAATCCGTATTGAAAAATATGGTTTTCCCCAAACTACTGATTTTTCATTGTTTTACACAATAAATGCAACTCTCCTGAAATAATAGATGGGTAATAACTGTGAGGTGAGAAAGTTTTTCCATCAGGTGAGGACTCTTTTTCTGTTACTCGGTTTTGTCCGATGAAAGAAGTATAACACTGTGCATAAATTTTGTGGAGATTTCTCACCAAATTTAATTAAAAAACCGTGCTGAGCGACTGTTACAAGCGTTAAAAGGGAAAGGAAAGCGTGTCTCCCTTTTATATCAACTCACAATACTTTAAAATGGTTTTTATCATCTTCCAATTCATATTTCCTTTTAAACAAAATAATCTAAAATCATAACACCTCTTGTATCATGCTACATCATTCCACTCGAACGAACTGTATGAAACTCAGAGGTTTCAATTAGAGGCGGCTACTGGCGGCCCGGTCTACTGCCGCCTGTAAGATCTCTTACTGCCGTCTTCTAAACTTCGAGCAGATTCCAGTATTCGGGTTCCGCCTCACGGCACATGTGGCATGACCGATGAATTTTTCTTTCATTTCATAAAAACCCAAAGATTTCCCTATAACGTCGCTTTGAAAAGTCTGAAGAGCACTCAAGAAGCTCGCATTGGTCTCGGCTGCGCCTCCAGCAACTCTCACGCATCTTTTACGCTCTCAAAAACTTCCCGTGTGCTTACATATGTTTTGGTCCTCGATGAACATACGCTGACGTATGAACCAGTTGTTAAGTGTTTATTTTAAATGGAGTTTAGTCGGCTTCCACAGAACTGGCCGAATAAGAACTGCTCTCTCAGTCTCGAGAATTTTGGTTAAAACGACTGCAGCGATAAATGAAACTCAATCCATGTCGAGCTGTTACAATCCAGCAGCAAATATACCTGATAAAACCCTTGCTTGCTTCCTTCTATTTTCTGTTTCTTTGGCTAGAAACACCTTCATTGAAATAATTGTCTTCAAGACGAAAACTCTGAAAAAGCCAATTAATTTGTTGATGGTTAACATGGCCATATCCGATATGTTTGTTCCGATTTTCCTGTTTCCTCGTATTTTAGTTTGACTTTACACTCGCACCTGGCTGATAATGCGGTCCGCTTGGTCACGTGTTATTTTGTAAGCTGAGTATCTATCCATCGAACATGTCCTCTTCTGTGTCAGCTTAGAGCCTGGTTCTGATAGCAGTTGAATTTCTTCTTCGTTCCCTATTGATCAGTTTAAAGAAGTGCCGGCTCTCTATTCTCGTTACTTAAGTCATCGTCATAACTTCCTCATAACGAGTATCTAGTGGGGCCGACGCATTTGAAATGACGCATTTGGAGAGTTCTCGTCGTTCAGAAACTACTCTATGGCAACGCTATAGTCTATCATGTCCCTTTGGGTTTGGTTGCTCTACTTTACTTTTCTATCGCTTCAAAAATCAAATCTCAGAAGATTCAAGGAGAGTTATCTGTCAACGAAACATGGCAGCGTTTGACGAGAGAGCGGAAAGTTCTTAAACTGTCCGTTGCCATCGTGTTGGGGCTCGCAGTATGCTGGCTGCCTCTTAGTGTTGCATGGTTCATGCTCTTCAACTCAGACCGAACAATAGCATCATCTTGTGGCTTCTTTTACTTCTAGTCTGTTGCCCTATTTCTGACGATATCGAACTGTGTGATTACCCTTAGGATTTGTTTGTTTCGGTGGCAATTATCGTCAAGGTCTCAAGAATCTCCTCAGTCGCTCTTCTGTTGACCTTGGGACTAACGAAGTTGCACCGTAGTTTGAGCCCTTAGACTATTCAGACCAACCCCAAGGATTTATTTCTTTCTGATTTTTTCGTTTCAGACTAAGGAAAATTCAGCAAGGTAAATTAAGATCTCACAAAAGAAATGCGTTAATTGAAAAACAAAAATATATGTTTGAATTATTGATTAACAAAAAGAAACTGTATAAAATGTCAGCTTGATGTCTTTTTAAGACATGATATATCAAAATAAGAACTAGTTCTGGTAAAAAACTGATTAGTTACCAAAAGTGGCCTTTGGTAATCATTAGTAACAGAGAGACGTGACAACTCCCTCTACTCGTACTGAAAGTAATAAATAAATATCGAGTAATCTCGTCTTCCCTTCCAAACTCACTTACCTATGATAATGTACATATTTAAACTTATCAAAAGAGAAGCCTTACCCAAACCTTTTGTTTGAACTTTTTCTCAACGATTATCTTGTGTGGTAAATATCATTCTGGGTAGTTTTTTTTAAATCTAGGGGTCTAGTCGAATCCGGCGCATGACTGTTACAATGCCGGAACGATGGAATGCACACAAAGAATTTACCGCTAACGAACTTACGAACCTGTAACTGATTCGCTAGGTATAATTATCGCATGGCATTCAAAGCTCACAGCTTTCCTTGAGCCTCACTCTTAGAAAACTGTTCGCATCCCAAAAGAGATAATGTTAGCGGAACCCAATCTCGTTTTCAAAAAGCGCAAAATGAAATAGTTGTTTTATTAATTCGAATAATTCTCAATGCACGGAAAAATTTTTTGTTTCCAGCCAAAGGAAATTTAGCGTAATAACGGTTGGTGAAAATCATTTTCCATATAAGGCGATTCGGTATATAAGTCTCATAAGTGACGTTTTCTCAGATTTCCCTGAAATCCTGAGGTCAAGGAACCGTGCCCTGGAAACTACCCACAATAGCTTTCGAGGTCGTCGCGTGTACTTTGAGCATTTTTTTCCCAACAATCTTTCTCGAAACAGCCGTATTTTCCCACGACAGATCAGGATCCGTTTGACCAGGTTGCACTTGGTAGAAGATGACAGCCCCTTAATCCGGAAGTAAATCTGTGAGAAGTTTAATACATTTTTCATGGTCACTGTTACAAGCGTAGAAAGACAAGAATTATAGTATTTCTTTAACATAAGAACAAGCATTTCTCAAGAATTGTTTCTATAACCGATATCTAGCGTTTTGTTTTCTTCTTTGCGTCATGATTAAACGTTATGATGCCAGTTGTAGATCACTTTAACCATTCCATTCCAGGTAACTTTTAATATGATGACGTAATCAAGGAAAGTTTTGGATACAGAGTGCGAATTAAGAGAATAAAATAAGGTCTGGAGCTGATTTATAGAATCAAATAGCTTTAATTCATATGTACATAATAAGGTTCAGATGTGCTTCATTAAACACTTTAATCATATATTCGAGTGTGTTTTATGTCGTTATAGTGAAGGTAATCTTCAAACAGTCGAACTGTTTCAATCTCATTGCAGAAAGAATCGCTTGCACTTTGCTTGTTTTCTGCTATTTTTTGTTTCATTTGCTGGAAAAATCTTCATTGCAATTACTGTCTACAAGATACTAAGCCTGAGAAAACCTATCAACCTTTTTAACGATGCATCATGAAAAAGGGGGTGTCCAGCTTTTTGACTTGTCGTAACCATTTTCAGAGATCTGGAAGCGTGTTAACCGAGTGCTTCAACGTTACGAGATTTATTCTTCCTGCTTCTTTGTTACTTAAGAACTCAAGAGTATGTCGTAAAGAAAGTCCAATTTTTGTTTCAACCTTTGCAAGAATCATGTTATAAAAGTCACGCAGGTGGGAAAAAAATTGTGGATACGTCCCTGATGAATATATCATGAACTTAAAAGGACTTTCAGTTGAATAGACTAATAAATAAGCACACCGCTTTCAATTGACGCATAGGACACATTGTCTGCCGGATACATTCAATAACAGAAATTGCTATCCGCCAAAAATGTTCTCGCAAATCCGAAAAGGTCAAATTCTTTTAAATTTTCGTACATTTTTTCAAAGTGTACTGATGAAATCCACGTAGTTTCAAGAAACGGTCTCCATCGAAAGATCCCCTTTATTGCAGAAAAAACTCTGTCCTGTCCAACACGATCAAAATTAGTCGCGATTTATCTCCCTAGCTCACTACTTTTTACTAATCTGCATGCTTATTTTATTTTGTATACTTTTCACGCCTTTGATACTCCGTTCTGTAAAATCAATTTCCTTACCTAACGATGTTTCGTTTTGATTTTAATTTTCGTCGATTGTTGAACTGGCGCCCAGTAATTTACAAGGTGTGGTGCTGTGTGGTGCTTGAGCAAGGGCGACGGTTTTTTGACTCGATCCCTGTTGATTATCATCAGTGTTCGAGCCCGATTCATTGCGAATTTTATTGTAGTATGCACAGTGGAGTATTCTTGTGAACTCTAACCTAAACAACGGATTCATTCCGGCGTAAATGAAAGGATTAATAGTGTTGGACAAATTCAAGAAGAAAGCGCACAAAAGTTGAACATTGCGAGGTACTTTTCCCACAAAGCGTACCAGGATGGTAATCAACCAAGCAGGAACCCAGCATAACATGAAGGCAAATACTACGACGAATAATGACTTGCTTATTCGGATTTCATGTGCGCTGAAATCGGCATTCCGTTTTTGACTTTGATGGGTCATTGCTAAATTGGTGTTGTGTTCCTTGATCTTTCTGGAGACTTTTCTGTAGCTGAAAATAGTCACCGCCAGGGGAAGAAGGAAAAACAAGCCAATAACCACGAAATAATGAACAATTTTGCTAGATGCAGCCAGATGTTGGTTCAAGCACGAGGCATACTCTGGCACAAATTGAAAGCCTTGTAGACCAGCCAAGCGGGAAACCAGGATGTAACAAGCAATTAAGCCCCATGTAAAGGCCAGCACGAGGCGGGATCTTATTGGGGAGAAGAACCGTTTATACTCCATGTCTGACTTGCATATTCTTATGTATCTGTTAACTGCTGTCAAACCCATCGTCACAGGTGAAACGTACACAACAAATAGGCTGAAAAAGGCGTTTATCTGACAAAATTCTTTACCAAAGGGCCATCTTCCTGAAATGAGCACTCCCGCTGCAAACGGCATGACGAAAATGGCGCTCAAAAGATCGCTGATAGCCAACGCGATGATGTAAATATTAGTGGTAGTGCGGAGTCTTGTGTTCCTGTACACGGCTATACATACCATGATGTTGCCTCCTAGAGACAGAATATTCAGTGCAATCATAAAGCCGGACTCCACGATGGTCAAAGCTACACTGCGTGATGATAGATCGACCATTTTATTTGGAGCGTTATCGTTGTTGCCGCAACTTTTGCTTTTCGTCTATTATTTCAGTTGATGAGACGAATGCTTATCCTAAGCTGGTTTCTAATGGGCTTGTGTCAAATGAAAGTATGTTGGCTCCCACTAATTTCTGAGGAAACCTTCGTTCAATTGGTTCCCCAAAACGAAAGGTGTTGATTGTAGCTGTAAATCAAAAAAAGGAAGGCCTTATATTAACCATAAATTTCAAGCTTCTCGGACAGCTGGAGGAGTGTTTGACTCACCGATGATATTCAACATGATTAACATCCTGCCAAGCGTAAGAGTTGAGTTTTGCTATTTACATGTGTCACGTTCTCAATTAAATTAATCTTTATAAAGGCATCAAAACCAAACAGAACCAAGGCATTTATTGGCAGGTACCATTGATCCTTCAAAGTAAGACAGGTGATCAAATGTAGATTGTTTTTAGCTCGTCCCTGTCCATTAAGACGGTAGCGCAAGTTTTCTAGACCATTCATAGAGAGCGATGGAGCAAAACATTGTAATATTAAACCGAATACTTTCGACGCTCTCTAGAAAATTGCACTTTCGTTTTTGTAGCCAGCAGTAGCTTTAACTTAGAACATTAATTAAGATTATTGTGCAAGAGAAAAAAATCATTTGATTTTATTTGGACGTCGAGAAGATGATTGTTTATTGTTTACACGCCAACTGACAGACTGATGTAACTTTTTAAATAACAAAAACATGTGTAAGAGATTTCTGCGTCAAGGCAGGAGCACTCTTTTGCAGCCACTAAGCTTTGGGCAATGAATAAAGTATATGATACTTCGAATGAGATTCTGAGGAAAGTTTTCACCTAAACGCTTTTAAAAACCGTTCTGACCTCAAGGATTCGTTTGCATGTATAGTTCTCTAATATTGTTTTTTGTAACCGATCGTATCGCTTTTTTTTCATTTTGATAACAAAAAGAATTACAATACCAGTTTTAGACCATTCTTGGCTATTCCATTCCCGCTAACTTTCAAGTGTAATAAATCAGCTTTCAGGAAGTTTCGGTACAGACTGCGAATTAAAACTAGAAATGAAATAATTTCTGGAGAAGCTTTATCAAACATTTCTAATATATATATGTAAAAAATGAGCTTTTTTTTCTTTAAATAGAGTATAGAGAGGCTTCAGAGTCAGACAAAGAACTGTTGGCTAAAGAAGAAACTGATCTCACACTGAGTTCTGGCGTCTGGCGGAGAATGTCGACTAACGTTACCAAGACAGTGAATGGAATACAGATCATGTCGAGCTGCTTCAATCCCGCAGCTGAGAGAATTGACGAAAACCCTCAGAAAGCCAATCAACGTTTTAATTGTAAATATGGTTATGTCCGATCTACTGTATCCGATTTTCCTGCTTCCAGAGAAATTGATTACCTTGTATAGCGGCTCTTGGCTGGTCAGCGGTCCTCTCGGTCAAGCCCTGTGTAAGTTGAACTACTTTTCAAGGAAAACTTCCCCTGCTGTGTCAATTCAGAGCCTTGGTCTGATAGCTGTGGATCGATTTGGAGCTGTGGTATTTCCTCTCCGTTCACCACTCATCAGTTCAAAGCGGTGTCGGTTCGTTATTCTCGCCACCTGGATCAACGCTTTCGCTGTCTGGGTCCCAGAACTGTTCGCTCGGAAAGTTATCAAGTACCGAGGAGAGCTGGTGTGTGTCCGACAGTGGAATGACACATTAGGAAAGTCTTTGTCCTACGAAAACTATGCTGTGGCAATAATCGTGGTATTCCTGTGCGCCCCTTTGGTTTTGATTGGCCTACTTTACTTTGGTATTGCTTTAAAAATCAAATCCCAGAAGATTCCCGGCGAACAATCAGTCAACACGACAGCAAAACGTTTAAAAGCAGAGAGAAATGTTCTTAAGATGTCCTCTGCTATTGTGTCAGGGTTTATAATGTGCTGGCTGCCGTACAGTATCTGGTGGTTTCTAACCCTCTATTCCTCAGATATATTATCATCTTGCGGCTTCCAATACTTCACAGGTTTTGCTTTTTTCCTGGCACACTCAAATTGTGCTATAAACCCCATCATTTGTTTTGTATTCTGTCGAAATATCGTCAAGGTCTCAAGAATTTCTTCAGTTGCTTTTTTGTAGATCCGCAGAGAGTTGATAAAATTGTATCGTAGTTTGAGCTCCGAATTGTTGTATTTTATTGAAGACCACTCAAGGATTAGGTTCGCGCGAAGCTTTTTACACTGAGACCCACAAAAAGTCAACCAGCTGACGCGAAACCTCTTTGTTGAATAACGGGGTCGAATTGTTGATTGTTCCAAATTTCAGCCATACATTTTATTTGGTTTCACCCACGCATTTAAAATTTTCGAACACTAAGCTTCAGAGAAAATATATTAAATTCTATGTTCATGATAACTTCCTCCAACCAATATAGGAACTTGCGAGTAGTATTCGGGCATTCTAATTCGACGAAAGTCGGGAAGTCGGAAGTCGGAAGTCGGAAGTCGGAAGTCGGAAGTCGGAAGTCGGAAGTCGGAAGTCGGAAGTCGAAAGTCGAAAGTCGGTAGTCAAAATTCGGAAGTCCCTCCTCGGCTTTCGTAAATTTTATAGTATAGTGTCGAGTCTCACTGGTTGATCAAGAAAAACTGCAGCGAGCGAAACCACCGAAATATGTGTGGCTGAAACTTTCAGTACTTAAGTCAAAATCCTTTGGTTTCCTTCATTTCCAAAATCATTCAAGAAACAGAACTTTGTTTTTTTACTCCTTTTATTTATCCCTTCTGTTCCTTTTTTTCCTTAAATCTTTTGATTTACAGAGCTCTTTTCTATAATCTAGTTTCGGCGACATCATTATGATCTCCCCTCCAATAAGCATGGCTACTTTTGCTGTGCTATCCATTTGTCAGAGAACCTCTCGTCCATTCCCTCGCGTCCGAAGCTTCTCGCTTCCTTCTGGGCTTCTGCCCTTCTCATGATCCTTCTGTCAAACTGTAAATATCAAGTGTAATAGAATATATTTCAGCCAACAGTGGACTATTTGTAACACTTAAATCCACGAATCTCAGCTTAGACGCTGCACACTACTTACAGAGGGTCGCTTTCTAATTCGACTACTTCAAAAACTTCGTGGTTTCCGGTATCGAAATACCGTTCAGTTTCATACAAATAAAATCAAAATCTTGGATACTTTGAGGAAATGAAGAATAACTAAGATTGCAACGATCAAAGCAGCGAGAAAAGATGTAAGGCAAAATGATTTAAAAAGAAACTCCCCTTTTACTCATGTAAACGGAATCGTCTATCTATAACAACATCCTCAGAAGACTTTGTTACAAAAATTAGTAGGTAAATTTTATAATTTGGTTGAATTCTGTTGTTAGGGGCCTTAAACGCCTGGACGAGAACGGCGAGGAAGACGTCAATTAAACAATGAATGGAAATTTTTAGTTAGAATTTTGCGGATGGCCGGATGTGTTTACCGTCTCTTACGACGCCGCACCTCAAGTTCACTGAACTGTCAGCTTAACGTATGTAAGCAGCGTTGAGTTTCAAATTGAAACTTAAATAATTTGCCGTCGGGATTTTCATTCTGAGACCGCGCATATTTTAGTACCCTTTCAAGTTGTTGTTTTGCAGAGGACGGCTTAGACGATGTACAGAGTTTTAAAACGCTCTCGCTAAGCGTTTTTTCTGCTTATTAGACGTTTTGTTTTACTACGTCTTCGTTGGTGTTGCTGTTGTGGTTTGCTCGAGGTCCCTGAGAACTATTCTCTAATGAACTTTGGAAAACACGCATGCCGTGGATAAAGTCGACTACCACGTTGAACAAAACACCTTAAGCAAAGTCTTGCTAAATAAAAACAGTTAGAAACAACATATAATTGCAAAAAGAACTACAGAACAACAGAACAACTGTCTAAATTCTGATAATTGTTTGGTTCCCGTACCATATGTAAAATGTTAACGAAAAAAATTATACCTTTGCTTCAACCTCTCTCTTTCCTGGTATTGGTCCAGTGATGCAATCAGTCTCAGTAATCAATAGTAAATTAAGAATAAGAGCAGCAAGAGCGATCGAAACAGTTTGGGTCTTCATAATCCAACAAATATCTCGAACTGTGTTGTGAAGCTGCGTTTCAAAAATGACCTGAGTCCCCAGAACCGTCTCAGCCGGGATTTCACGACAAATATATTCATTCAATTTTATACCCTTCTAAAAAATTCACAAACAAGCCAATTACTTCGAATAAAAGAGATCATTTACAAGATAACCTACTAAGCCAAATGAACAAACATGAAAGGGCTTTTACTCGCCCACTGGGTAAAGTACTGCAGGCGTCTGTGAGTTGTGAGCCGCGGGGCATGGGTAAAATCTCAGTTAAGGCATGGATAACGCATTCAAGACATTTTCCAGTCCGAGGATTAATTTGGCTTTATTTCTTTCCCATGAGAAAACTTGTAGGTCACGCGAAGGTTAAATAGCAGGCTTAATTTCATATCTCGCTAAAAGTTTCCAAAAATGTTATTGAGGCGTCTAATTAAAGATTGTCCATCGGATCAATGTCATATCCGAGTTCTGGTGGAATTGTTTCCTATGACTGAGCGTAAAATAGAAGTATTGGTCACTTGAAAGACGTCTTACTGAGTCAAATATCTACATTGGGGTTTTAAATCCCCAATCATTCAGTCGTTAACCCAGAATCCCCACTGGCTCAAGCGTTTTTAATGGAATTGTTTCTTATGACTGAGTGTAAAATATAAATGTCGGTCACTTGAAAGATGTCATACTGAGTCAAATATCTACAATGGGGTTTTAAAACCTCAATCATTCAGTCAATAACCCAGAACTCTTACTGGCTCAAGCGTTTTTAATGGAATTGTTTCTTATGAATAAGTGTAATGTCGATCATTTGAAAGATGTCCTACTTCGTAAAATAAACAAATCGAGGTTTTAAAACCTCAATTAGTTTCAGTAACTTGGAACTTCCACCGGATGAAGAGAATAATATCTTTTTCTCATTTTACTCAATAAATTACTCGGTTCCCAAGCCGGTACCCAGTTCTACTAACATCCGAGCTTATTTCATTCTGTGTAACTCTGGTTGATCACAATTTGATTGTCATTAAATAATTCTTATCTAACTACAGAATTCTGACTCTGCTCTTTTGCAGACTGTCTTCACTCTTTTAGTATTTTTCTCTCTCTTCTTTCCAGTCTCCTCTCTGAGTGAACTTGTTTCTTCACCACTGGCATATATGAATGGGCATGCCGGCTGGCTGACCGTGGGAGACTGAAATTTTTTTGTTACAACACTAAACCAAACAATTTCACGGGACTTTCGACATGAACAACAAAGAATTTAATCATAATGCTTCCGATCAATTCACCTTTTGGGCTTTAGATTTCACGTATAGTGTCACGTGACTTTTGATGTACACAAACCCTGAAAGTTCGGACATTGAGTCGAGCTCGCAGCACGTGTATCCAAACTCGGCTTGGGAAATTTTTCTTAAATAACTGCCCACTTTCAAAAAACGTTTCTTCGCTCAAAATTGACCTCTTTCTTTTATCATTTATTTGATCATTTGTCAAGCAAGTTGTCGTTTCGCTGCACTTGAAGCAGATGCGAAAAAAGTTACAGGAAGCGCTGCGGCATAGAATAATCGAATTAGTTCTGCGTACAGTGATGTATCTGATCAGGTATTTTCAGGGTATTTAGTGCGTAGATTTTCAAATAAATCCACGTCTGACAGGAAATTAGTGCCCACGAATCGCTGTAGAACGTGAGGAAGCCTTGATTCCCAAAATTAAAACCGATTTCAACTCTATGAACGTGTACGATTGCAGTTGTCTAGTAAGTGTATACCTAAACATAATGGTTACGACATAGAAATGTGCTTATGGCACTTGCAAAAACGATTTACGATACCTCAACTCCTGGATAATAAACGCCAACAGCCTAGGTGTCGCGACTCAATCGTAAACGGAAGGCATCTTGCGAACGAGAAGCAGACAAAGAGAGGTGCAAGAAAGTTTGCCTTGAACGATCAGTGGCAAAAACTCCTCTGACACTTGATCGTCAAACTGGTAAATCGACAGAGGAATACGCAGTAACCAAAGCCCTTTTAAATCTGAGTGTAGAGCTAGTGATGAGTTCAGGAGAGCAAATCAACCTCAAATCAACCCCTTAAGCTCAAACTCCCTAACGTGTAGTCACGCTGTTGAGGTACTTTTTCCACCCTGCTATGAGTATTGCTTTATGCTTACTTATGTGAAATTTTAGGAACAAGTAAACAATATCATCTTTCCTTTCCCAATCCAAAGAGCTGTAATAGGTTTTGAAAATTTCCCTTTCCTTTCATAAATCAAAAACGTCATCTGATACCGCAGGATCGGTATTCTTTTGCTGCATTTTCTCAAGACACAAGAAGCACATTAACAACTATAATTTGTAGTATTAACCTTCTTTTTTCTGCACAGATTGCGGCATATATTGCTACATTGTGAGCAACCTCTTTTTGTACCTGCGAGAATTCTTTGGCAAAATAAGGAGCCTTCGAGTATTTTCGTCCGCTATAATAACTCTACCTCTCTCTACCTATGAACCGGGCCTAAGACATTCATTCGTATCAAGCATGACTGATAACGAGAAATTGTCACTGAGGAACCTATCTCAACGCCATTTTTGACAACCAGCTTATGTCTTATTGGCTAATGAATGTCTGAGTTAAAAGCAGTCCCTTCTAAAAAGTCGTTACTTCAGTTATTATGCAGGACATCTCTACTGAAGGTGCGATAATATGTTGAGCTTAGAAAGAGAAAAGCAGTTTCAATCTGTATGAAAAAATATTAATTCGAAATGTTTACTTAGTCACGTGGGTATTTTTATGAGTCCCACACTTAAAAGTGAGAGACTTATGTGTATTCAACTTGACCGCGTTGGGTTATAGAACAGCAGTTCCCGTGCGCCACTATTATTAACATTCCCCTTATTCAACCTGATGCAGGTATGTGAACTTCAGGTGTTAGTTGTAGCCTTAAGTGCAGGCGTCTCGTTAGGAAGAGTTAGCGTTACAAACTCACGATCGTTTATCCCGCCGGCCATGTTTGATTTAAGACCTTTCAGATTTAGAGTGGA